CTCAAATAGAGATGCAAAGTTTTCTGAAACTTTATGAACTTACCACGATTCTACTGCATGCAATTTCGAAGAATTTCTGCAAAGGCCTAAGCATACCACGAGACTCACAGAAATAGAGAAAGAAAAAAAAATTACATTGTGTATGAGTCTTTTGAAAGTCTCATACCTATCGAATACTTGGATCAGGACCGGATTTACCTACCTGCCGTCCATGGACCGCCTGTATTTTGCCGCCCCTTTCTCATTCGTTTTGAAAACAATATACATACCGTCAATAAAAACCATCAAGTGAACGTTCCGGAGGGGGAGGGGTGCATAAGACGCGTTTACTCGTGTTGGACACATTTGTTGGGAAAGCCCTGTCAACACCACTAGTAAAAGTTCACGGAACTTTGCGCATAAGTTAAGTTCCGTAAACCTATCAAGATATACAATAAAAAACAATTTAAAAAGCGGGTAACAAGGCTAAAATTTCACACACGCACAAAACCAAAACGTTTCGGCTGAAAATTCTGCCATCCTCAGTTGGATAAATCAAAAATAAAAATGGTTAAAAACCTAAAATAGTACCTTATAAGTACCTTTCAATTGAGAATGTTGGTATTATCTAATAACAACATTCCCAATTGAAATAAGACTTATCAGGTGCTATTTTAGGTTTTTAACCATTTTTATTTTTGATTTATCCAACTGAGGATGGCTGAATTTTCAGCCGAAACGTTTTGGTGTTGTGTGAAATTTTAGCCTTGTTACCCGCTTTTTAAATTGTTTTTCATTGTAAACCTATCTCTGTGTGGACAAGGCCTTCCATTTATCAGAAATGAACGAAAGAATTATGAAAGAACAAACATAAATGTGGTTTAATGATTTTAACTTCCCCTCCGCGCCGCACTGTGTTTGGAGCAACGCGTGAAGTATTCCTACAGTCTTGTAGGCGCTATACGTTTCACGCCGACCGCTGCTGAACGCACTAATGTGTATGACGCAATGCGTGAAGTATTCGAAGTATATATGTATTCATACATTAAAAAGGTGTTGCATTTCGGGCATCTTGGAATTTTCTTGATGACGTAGGTCGGTACAGCGACTTTCATCATCGATTTTCTTGGAAATGGTGCAATTTATGGAACAAAGTCATTCTATACATAGTGCTTGAGATTATATCATGAGTTGATCTAAGCAAAAAAATGGGACATTACCTATGGTCCGTTTTTCATACTTCGAATTCCAGATTTCGCTGGCCAGGTTATACCGACCTACGTCACAGGGTAAGCAAACCTCAAGATGCCAACACCTACATTCTTGTAAGCGCTATGCGTTTCACGCTGACCACACTGTTTGATGCAATGCGTGAAATATTCATGCAGTCTTGTAGGCGCTAATATGTGTTACATGCCGACCGCCGCAGGCTTTTCCTTTTCATCTCAAGTCCTCGTCATAATCTCTCTCTAAGCCGCGCCGTTCCAGGCCAAATTGCGTGTTTGGTTTCTCTCTTAACTCGACTAATTAAAGGTGCTGCTTCTTGAATCACTGAAAGACGACAAAATTAGAAATTACTATACTTTCAGGAAATGAGAGATTTTGTCGCCTGCTTCTCTACTTTGTAATTTTTTTTCTGAATCCGATTTTTTTAATACCTACATTTAAAACAATTGCAAAATGTGCCACCCCCTAAATGTGGCCCTCACTTGGGTACTTGAGGTACTTGTGGCTAGTTATACATTCGCAGCCCCTGAAAAATCGTAGAAATTTCACATCGTCTTTAAAGGGTACTAAGCCACAGCCTCAATCTTATTAGTCTTAAATCTTTTGGGGCAAAACAGTTGATTCTTTCAAGTTGGTATGTTTTCAAATGATGGAAATTTTAACGTCCAGTGAAGGGATTTTGTGCAATTCATCGATGTGAGTCCGGCAAGCATGCTACTAGGTTTGTAACGTGGCAGACTTCTTGTCATATGTATTTTATTTTATAAATGGAAAACTAGATACTTAACAAAAATTCTGAAAACCTGCCAGGATTTTTCTCCTCTGTGTGAGGAATATTCTGCAAAAACTTCAAGGAATGATGCTGATTTCTTCCCTTTTAAAAAAATATAATAGGATCGGAGATTTTCAAACACCGTAAACGAGATACGTCGTTGCAGACTTACGCCGTCGACATGCTTAAATATACGGAATTTTATGCTTATGAGGCGATAATCAAATTTGAAAAAAAAGGGGGAAGGAAATAGAATTCAAACTGGAAATGTTTGGGAATAGGACTGACTAGGTAGTATTAAGGCAGTCCCTGTTTCTTCTCATGAAATTTATCTTCTCTCAAAATTTGTGTCTTTTGTACAGTCTATCTAATAAACTCTGCTAAAAGAGATTTTTGCGCGAAACATAATGACACTTAGAAATTAGGGGGGGGGGGGGACAATCCAAGTATACCTACTGTTTTAATAGTGTAAACCTTTCTTTAGTAAAGTAGGAGTTATTCCTAGATTCAAGAAATAAAGTTCCAGAATAAAAATAGGTAGGTAACAGCTAAAATAATATTGTGTCTACAGTTGTGATACGATAGTTTAATGCATAAATGTGAGGGTAGTAGAAAAAAAGAAGACAGACTTATGTTAACAAGATACATTTATGAAGCTCACAACATATACAGGTTGGTAAGTTCAAAAACAAATGTTGAAATTAAAAAATAATCGAACAATTTTAGCTGGGTGTAATAATTTTACTGACTTAATCCAAGAGATAATAAAAAGAGCGAAGACTCTTCAAACTAGTGACAAAATAATTAGAAGATACGAACATGATTTAACGTTTAGAGTATGATGGAATATGGTATGTGATCCAGGCTGGAACACCCAGGCAGCCCACAAACAGGATGCCACCAATGACACCTCTTATCTGAAACAAACATGAAAAAAGACAGGTTAAGGCTATGTCTGTTGCATTAAGGGATTTTTCTTTTTATTTTTATCAGAACCTCAGAGGATTGTGATGGCATGCAATAAAACGCGTCACTTTTTTGTCCCAATCCACTGGCATGATACGCCCATTCCTTGCGTTCCAGTGGAACGCTTGGATCCAACTTCCGAGGTGGGTTACGGGGAATTATGTGCAATCTTCACCTTAACCAAGTCACTTTGAAACCCTGAAAAGCCAATCCATTGCGTTCAATAGAAAACAGCAAGCTTAAAGCTTTTTTGAATGTCTACTGTAATCTTTAATGCCTTTGTAGACCGAGAAGTGACCAAAATAAACCACTTACTTACTAGATGAATGGCCCTGTTTCAGCCTCAACATCACATTTGTTGAAAACAGAGTCTTATCATACAAACCCTAAGTTTTATGGATGTTCGAAGTGTTAACACAGATGAACCTGCTCTGAAAATAATAAGAGCAACCCACCTTATAAAACGTTGGAGATTCTGTGTAAATGCAATTTTTGTTGAAAGTAACTATCCTTTTGTTTACAGTTTGCCATTCTAGAAGGCAGAAAGTTAGGATCTGTCAGTCTTGGGATCTAAAATGCATGCATAACTTTGTCAAGACCTTCTAGCTGCACATTTTCCTACTTAAATGACTTCCGATTGAATAATTTAAAAAAGTTCATCCGCGGCACGGAGAGTTATTGAAAAGTCCTTGACAGTGAAAAGTCAAGGCAAACAGCACAGCCTTAAAAATGCCTCAAAAATGAATTTCAAACTTAAATGACTAGGTAAACCACAAAAGCGGATGCCACAGAGTTCATGATGAAAAGCTTAAGGGTATCTGTACTTAAAAATTTAGACTCACTGCTTTGGGGATTGGCCTTGTCGGTGGTCCAGAAATGATGTGAGTTCTGACTCCGGTCGCTCTTCGTGCGACGGAGGCAACGCTGTTAACTTTTGAGACGGTTTTTAGTATGGAATACATATTTCGAGGAAAATGTGAAAAGATATGAAAAAAGTACTTAGACAATGAGAAGTTCTCCGGAAATTTTTCCTCACAATTTACTGATAAGTGGGTCCCCGACAGGATCAACGAGCAAGAAGCGCATTTCCGATGAGTCTCGAATTGTCATCACTCCTCATTGTTGATATTGAAAACGATGATTGTTCCACATGTGGACGTCAACAAACATGTGATAGTACAACATTGACGTATAATACAATCTAGACCGCGCATTGGGCCCGACTTTGGGCGGGGAAGGTAAGACAGCTAGGGGGGTAAAGACGCGCCTTCAGCCTAGTTGATACCGCCGGATATACGAGCTAAGTGTACCCGTATCAGGCAACGGCACTGGCAAGACTGGCATTTCCACGAATTCCACCATTGTCTCGCCGGTACACTTGCTGTGTGTTGCTGGGTTGCCTATCGTCTCGCTTGAATTTCGTAATGCGCGGTCTAGATTGTATTATACGTCAATGTAGTACAACGATAGTAGTGTTTAACCAATACCATCTACCCATACCTGGCCATTGGAGAAAACGTGTGAGAGTGTGTGAGTAATAGCTCCCGACGTAGACATAGCAGCCATAGCGAAAACGGTCGTTTCTTCATCGAGCTCCACTTCAACATCACGTGGAAATGTGAATTATTTTAGTTTTTCTCATTATTTCTTTATCTCTACCCATTCTAAATTTTTCTTGAATGGAATGTAACAAAATGTGTTACAAAATAAAATTTCTACCTTTAAATCATAAGAGCTGAAGTGGCCCCCCCCCCCTTCTTCAAATAAATACTAACTTGCACCGAAATAAGGTGAAAAAACCAATTTTTCTCAAAGGGGCATGTATTTAGGAGTCTATTTTACTCGCTACTTTGCGGTTGGGACCTAAACTAGCATCACTCAGCGTCAGGAAGACATCTCGCTTCACGAACCAAATCTTGTGGATGATCACTTGCCTTGTATTCCCCATATGACTCCACTACCATTATTAAATATTTTTTTTCTTCCATTAAAACGCAATTCGGTCGCATATATTTAGCTCAATCGATCTACCTTACTTAGAGCCTTCGTAACAAATTTTTTTCCCCGCATTCAAGCACTTTTTATGTAAAAAGAATCAATTTTTGTAAGTTCGCCCTATACAATCCCGTGTATTCTTGGGAGTTACGAACATTTAACCTCAAACCCATGGCCAGGTATGGGTAGATGGTATTGGTTTAACGTTTAACCGCCAAAATGTCAGATTAAAATTTTCTGTTGTGTACAAAGCGAGCGAACGCCAGTCGTCATCTGTCACGATTACTTAAAGTTTTAGACGGCTTTAGAGGACTGAACCGAAGGTAGGACCAACAGAACTACAGGCTTCTTCTTTCCTCATTTCATATTTTTCAAATAACCCCTTGGTTTCACCCAATTTAGCTCTTGCATCTGTTCGTAGTTCATCAAAGTAGTACCTACTTATCATAGGCTTAGAGTAGATAAACAACTTATTTTATGTCATAAGAACCTTATTCTTCGCAGGTTTCTTGGACAATATTCATCCCACTCCTCTTAGCCTCACCACGGATACAGATGTAACCTTCAGCTTTTAATTCAGCCATTATTGACTGTTTATTTAAGTAGCGCCTGAAGATATCCTATGCTCTCCCTCCCTGCAGTAAAAGTAGCCCCAATTGTGATTAGGGAAGTTATCTGATGGGCCAAATTTTCTAAAATCTTTCAAAGATATTCACGGTGTAAGTCGGTAATCACATAACTTGGTTTGCAACGTCACAGACTTTCTGTCATACTTTATTTTTTAAATGGAAAATTATTCAGCGGTAATTCCTGAAAACTGCTGTGATTTTTCTTCTCTGTGCAAAGAAAATTCTGCATAAACTTCAAGGAATGATGTCAATTTGTCCTTCTTCCAAAATATAATATAGAGGCGAAGATTTTCAGACACCGCAAACGAGATATGTGATTGCGGACTTGCGCTGTCGTTATACAATATAGAGGTGTGTAAGTACCTTCTCTCACATCAACTGATACGTATTTAAATACTTTTGTTTCAGAAGCACTGTACATCATGTGGAACGAACAGATCAACGGGCTCATGACGGGCCTGGCCACTCAAATTGAAGCGTCTTTTGAACCAGTGCAAGCCAAAGTTCAAGTAAGCTCTCATGAACTTCTTTCTCAGAATTTATGAAAGTTTAAAAGTGAAGGGCACAGAAGAAATTCATAGAAGGGGGTCAAGAAATTCTGTGCACATCAGCTACCTAGTTGGAAAATTAAATTGTTCATTGAATTCATTTCTCACAGTCCCAATCTCTTTTTGGGCCGAGGAAAATGCTGCGTAAATAGCTGGTCTTCTCAATATTTCTTGCTGTACAATACCAATTTTCTAGAAATTTCTGCAATTTTTTTCTCAGAATTCCCTTTTAAAATATATTGCATTTGAACATTGGTAGTTACTGTTCGTATCTAAAATTCTATATAGATAGAAATTTTTTCCTTAAGTAAGATAAACAATTTATCAGCAAAAATGTGGCAAAATTTGTATGCCCACAGAGTGTTCCCTCTCAGCACAAGACATATGAGTACACCAAATTTATTCTAAGTTTTAAGCGCTCTTTCCTTGCGAGAATAATTTGGGTCAATAATTTTATGGAGTGACCACCAGCTTTGGAAAAATCTCCTCTACACAATACTAAAAAAGGGTCATTTACCAGCTCTCAGGAATGTCTGTGTTAGCTTTACAGTCTTTTGAGGAGATAAATGGACAAGATTTGGGCCTCTACTGATTTAAAATTCCTCCTCCTAACTTGCACGTAAGCTTTTTTGTTTTTTGCCAGACATTCATCTGAAATTCCAATTATGCCTCATGTTTTCTTGTTCAGGAAATCAATACTTGGATGGATCAACTAAAAGCCGACATCAATTCGGAGGATTTTCAGCCTAACGCTCACTCTGAGCCAATAGAAACAACAAGGAAAAGACAGAAAAGGACAAAAAAAAATGGTAATACTTCAACAATATTCTTCTTATTAATTTTCTGTTTTTGAAATTTTACTTAAAATGTAAAAGTTAGAATTACTTACTTATCAACCAGTAGGTAGGTATATTATTTGTTCTAAAATTATTTTGAAATGACAAATCTAATTTAGTTTTTTCCCCCTTGATGCTTGGCTCTTAATGATATCAGATATGTGCATAAATATCATTCATCGGTCAGATTGACCATGAGACTAAAATATTTTCCATTCTGCCCAAAAGAAATGATTGTACTTACTTAATGACAAAACAAAACAGAAAACAAGCAGTGAACTCCAACACCGTGTATCGATAAGGCGTGTTATTGATTCATGCGTCATTGATTCATGCAAAAAGTTAATTTAAGTTTATTAATTTAAGTGTTAAAAGTTTATTAAAGTTTATTAGTTATTATTAGTTTGAATTTACATCAAGTATGAGATTGCAAAATTTATGCAAGAAAATGCATCGTCATACATCTCCGTTGAACAGTTCAAAGTAAAATTCAAAGCCAGATTACAAATAATTGTGAGTATGTGTGAGAGTGTCAGTGTCTCTATTGTTTAAGGCGGCAGTGTGAATTAGGGCTACATTGAATGACTCTTCACACAATCTTGGAGAACAAAAGAACTCTCATGCCTTAACATTTTCATCAATCAAAACTATCAATCCTCTGAAATAAATGACTGATTTGGGCCCCTATGGACTTAATGGTTCTTAAAGAGAATTTTTCACCATGTTCGATGCTGAATATTTTTTATTTTCCATTTTAAATATTGAAGTGAAATAATGGCGGCCTATCAAGGTCTGCAAAATTCCAGGAATTTCTTGACAACTTTGATTTTTACACTACTGCTTATGTTGCCAAATACGAAATAAATAATACCTCGCTTAAATTACATGAAACCTTATCGGTTTGATTTCTGTTTTCAATGATAATTACATGAAATTCATCTGAGACACATCTTAGTGAGTATAATCCCTGTTTAAACCATGTCAGTGGAAGTTTCTTGAACACCTCGCAGGAAGTGCATTCCCTACCTCTTTGCCTTATGAATAGCACCATTGGTTATCACAGTTGGCTATAATGGTCATTTTTTTCAAAATCAGTGGGGGCGGTCTTTCATTTCTTTGAAAAAAAAAAAAATAATAATAATAATAATAATAATAATAATAATAATGCAGACACTCATATTAATCATCCAAAATCAATAAATACAGAGAAAGACAAACATTTATCAACTGGAATTAATAAACATGCACCAAAGAAAAAAGAAAAAAAATTGGCACTTAAGATATTATATCATTGAATGTGTTGATAGTGTGTATTTACCCAGTGTTCTTCCCAAGATCCGATGATGAATAGTTTCAGTATTACAAAAATATTTGATTCAATTAAAATGATAAAAAATATTCTCTGGATGAATTCAAATTCCTATCTATTAGAAGTAAATGTTTTAGTGCTAGTGTGTTAGTCTACTCAGCCTTCCAAACGGCATGGCTCTTATGGTCAAATGTTGCAATTATTACTTAAAGTGAAGCGAATGAGTAGGTTCTTTTATCTAATGTGCAACCTCCGAGCTGTAGAAACCGAAAAATTGCAGGATTCACTCCATAAATTTGTCATTTCCCACACAAAACAATGTAACTACATTTCAATGTTGCGAAATTCCTTCTCGCAAATTGCAGTTTTACCAGGAGAATCTTGAGCATTTTGAACTAAAAATTTCTCTGATTTTTCTCCTGATCTCATGCAAAAATCAGAAAATTTTTAGGGATGAATTGCTCCGTAATATTCTTGTAAAAAATTAAACTGTTTGAGTCAATTTTGCAATCTCGGAATGGAGGAACATTCCTTCATCCTGATAAGGACAAATTCTCGGTATCCTATGAAGTGATAGTAAAAAACCTGAGCCATAATTTCAATATCTGAGTAAAGAAGGCTCATCTGGGAGGCTCTACCTTTCTGTGTTGTAATAGTTCAACTCAATGAATTTATTTAATTACTTCCAGCTGAAACAGGAAAAGAAACTTTGCCTGTGGATGTAAGTCCTTTTGATTCCATTTTGAGCGAAAGTGGCTCAAGTAGAATGACCCGCAGCAGTGGAGTGGCAAAAAATGTGAACAAGGAAAGTGATCTGAAATTCAATATCAGTGAAGAAACTTTCACCATTCCCACTCGCAGTAGTAGGGCAGCTTCAAAGGTATTTTTTTTTTTCATTTCCCATTTCATTTGTTTTACTGTATTGAGGCCTTTTTGTTGTAACTTTTTTGCTGGACCAATATTTTCCATAATAACAATTTACTGTTGATGAGTTCAATGGAAGAGCGGGAGGTTGTAAGAGTACAACAGTATTGCCTTTCTGTAAAGATCTTAGCACCACTCCTGACTCACAACCCACTTGACAGCGACTGTGAGTAATACATGTGATGACCCCATGTTTTAACATTATTTGAATGAGATTGGTTCTGTAATATTTCTGAAGTTTTTTTTTTGCAAAAAGTATCCCTCTTTCTGTCCGCAGCAGATGAAATTATCATCACTTCAAATCAAGGCTTGCTGAGTTGTCATCATTTAGAAAAATGAAAAACACATTGCTGGGATAGGAATTTAGATAGGATTACTGAAAATCTTACTTATTTAGAAAGAATTATTGATTCAAAGTTGTTTTATAGAATGTTTACCATCTGAATGATTAAATACAAAAAGGGCACATGTCCAGTAAACTAAATTGTTCAGGAGACACAAAAAACTGTTTATTTCGAGGTAGATATTTTTTGGAAAGTCATTATGTTTAAAAATACCGGCGCGGGGCGAAGCGGAGCGCTGCTTTTTTAAACGTAACGACTTTCCAAAAAATATCTACCACGAAATAAACAGTTTTTTGTGTCTCCTGAACAATTTGGTTTTCTGGACATGTGCCCTTTTTGTATTTAGTGATTCATCTAGTGTTCTGAGCAGTAATGTGGAAGACTCCTTAAACAGCTTCCCTTAAGATTGTGAAAGAGAAAGGATCTCAAGACAAACATCCCTATCATAATAAGTGTTTTGCCCATCAAATGCCTCTCATAGCAATGGCAATGAAGCAGTATTGTGACAAAAATAAAAAGTAATTTTTAAAAAGAACAAAAAACTAACTGACAGTCTTTTATCTTCTTTTTCGCAGGCTGCTGCCAGCAAGATCAACTCTCAGTTAAATATATCTCTTACCAAAAAACTGAGGAGACCATCATCTGAAGGAAGAAGTAAGTTTCTTCTTTTTTTCTCTTCTTTTTCTTGAACTTGCAATCGGGAAGCAGCGGTAGCGATGACGCGCTCTCCATATGCACTGTTCGCAGCATCTACATGGCCCATTTGCAAAAATTTAATACGGCTCCTAAAAATTGGGTTGTCCGGCCAAGGTGGCTCCTAACTTTTTAGGGGGAAGGCAGAACACTGCTCTTGTACCAATCTGCACAAATGAAAACCCTTAATTGGAAATCATTGTTCTTAATTGCAAAATGTAGTTCACGTTATGGTCGTAGAAAGCATGTACGGAGGCATAAAACATGGCATCATGTGAGATGAGCAAGAACAAAACGGGAAGAAAAGTTGGCTTATGGCAGCCAGACAAAGTACATTTGGAGGGAGAGGAGAAATGGGATCAATCCCTGGCAAAAGTTTGTGTCTGAAGACGTCATCATGTCAATAGTAGGATTTTTCTTTGTGTGTGTTGAATATTTTCCATCCTTCCTGTAAAAGCTTTTCTCACTAAAGAATCTTAAACGTAAATTCGTGATTCTTCTGTTTAGCGGAGGCATCCATGGAATTCATTCCCCCTGTGTCTTCCACCGTGTTAGCATGTAAGAATGATGGACCTTTTCTCAATACAAGGTATGTATTTGACTGAGTGGAATAACAGTTACTTTGTTGATTTTTATCTTCTGTAAGTATGGCCCAAACATTCTTTTGCTTCTTAATGCCAAAGCCCAAGGCAATCACAGGTTTAAAAACTCCCGAAGTTAGAAAAAGGCAAATACCTTTTTGAGAATCAGTCAAGTATACCTGTGATGTGCCTGCAAGTCAGAAACAATGCCAGAAAAGTCTCAAAGGTAAAAAAAAAAAAAAATTTAAATTTATAAATGGATGAATGGTCCAGTTGAAAAGATTACATAAAAAAAACGGCAAGACAAATCCTTGTCAACAAAAGGCGGACGTTTTCTGGCTAATCAACGCTGCAAGCCTAGTTTGAAAAAGCCGATTTCCATGATCCTCACTCTATTTCAGTTCCTCAGTTTCTTCCTTGCAGTTGCATTTCAGCACCGTTTCTAAGTGTTCTCTGCATGCGCTGCGCTAGTCGGTAACAGACGAGGTGTAAGATGGTGCTTAAACTCTTATCTACTCTGTTGGCCCCATATACAATGAGCTGTTTGTCATAATCCTAGACATAAGAAAACCTGCCAAATTAATTTTTTTTTACTTTATCGTATATCATTAATTGTATGTATTTAGTAAATTTATACTTTTTTTAACAGTCCTGGGCCGAGTGTTAAACAACAAATCCGAGTGTTCGAAAAACTCACTGCTCAATCTTCCCCGGTCCCTGAAGTAGGAGAATCAAGTGACAAAGAAAGTTTGCCAAAAACTCCTGCTGCACGTGTAACACGGTCTAAGGCTCGGTTCTCAGGAAAGACAAAAAAGAGCGGCTCAGGAACTAAAACGTTAATAATCAAACCTAAGGTAATATTGAATGTATTTCTTTAATAGTTTCGTTTGTTTTTATTATTAAAATTTTGTATTTTGTCTCAAAATTATTTGTGCTGAACCATAAAACCAAAAGTTTATCATTGAATTGACAATTGCTAAATCTCTGCTCAGTTGTGCCACTGTGCTAGCCTCACCTTCCTGCTGAATTCCAGTCTGATCATTGAGTGACACCTCAAAATCTATGAGGGGTTTTTTAGCTAAATTTATGAGTCTCCTAGTTTCAAAAACCTTTTGCAACTAAATGTTCTATCTCTTTCTCTTGATTTCTTTGTCTATTACTGTCATTTACTCATCCTTCAAATAATATTTATATTGTTTCTGTGTCCTTTCTAAGGTACTACAACTCAAGGTGAAGAGACTGTCAACTGGTGCTAAACCCAGACTTTCAGGACCTCTAGAGAAAGATAAAGAGGTTTGTATTTTAATACTCCTTTAATCTTCGTTAAAAGTAGGGGGGGGGGTTTCATGCCGCAATTGTGATAATATTCAGGTTTATAAAATGGAATTTTCCTGTAATTTCTTTTACAGGGACTCGTAAAAATTTGAGAAACACTCATTTTGTGCAATCCTGTAACCCAGAAATGTCGTAAAAAAATCCTTGAATCGTTCCAAGATCTTTTTTAATGAAATGACTGATCAGTTTTTCATCACTTTCTTCTCCCATTTTTAATTCCCTTAATAGTTCTCAGCTGTGGACAGAGGTTACCATTTACGGCAAGTTCCGCTGTGCATACTTAGCAATTATGAGAGCTGTTCAAGTCTTCACCTAATACCCTTACCTAGTAGCTTTAGGATCATCACTCATCAGTAATTCAACTGCTATTTATTAAAAATTACATATTGAAAACAACAGATTCCCTTGTTTACATACAGAGGGAGGGGGAAGGGGGCATGGATTCATAGCCCTCTGTCTAAAATAAAACTCTAGGACTTTTTTCAGAGTTTATCTGAATGCATAGTGAAGAGTATGAACATGGATTCTCAAGAATACAAAGTAGTCACACTTAAATCTGCCATCAATTAGTTTTTGATTTTTCAATTCTTGCCTTAACCCTTCCCCTTCAATTTATATGGATGCAAATTAAAACAATACTCTTGGTGTAAAATGAAGCAAAATGTTCGCAAGAGGTCTCTTTTAGTGAGAAAAGAATGGAAAACCTTTGATGGAACAATATTGTTAGGGTATGAAGTAAAATAACGTTAGCTCAAAAATATTTTTGAGGGTGGATACGGTAATATAATCGAGAAGGCATTCTACTAATTTTCTCGTTAACTCTTATAACTTGTGTAACCTCTCTATTTCACAATTAACAGACAACCTTCTTTTGCTCAGGTGAAAAGTGGAGCAGGAAGCTCAAAACCACAAGCAATCTTCCCCAGCAAAAAAGAAGAGGAAGAAACTCTGAGAAAAAAAAGAGAAGAATTATTGAAAAAGCAAGAAAAAGAAGAAGAAGCACGGAAAAAGAAAGAGGAGTCTCTTAAAATGCTGTCAGAATTATCAAAACGGTAAGAATATCACCTCTCTCATGCAAAGTAAACTAAAAGTAATTTCTGTAGTACACCCTTAACTCCAGAAAAACTGTACCACAAAGAGATGCGTTCCAAAGAGAGAGATCTCACTCCCAGGTTTTCCTGAAACTCAGAACTTACGAAGGTGGGTGCTCAATTTCTACTCTATGCCTTTTCTTTGTTTTTGAATTCTCTTTCTTTTCCGATGACAGAAACTCTAACTTCCCTCTTTGAATTACATAATCAACTCTGGGTGGAAGAATCCCCTCTTAACGATTTTCAATATTTTCCTAAGAGGACATGCCCCATAAATTATTTTATAATTGGCCAACAGACTGTGTAGGAGTTTTTAAACATCAGAAGGCACTTTTCGTATCAATTGCTCATGTAAAATATGCTGAACAGTTGAACATTTTCAACTTCAGTTCAAGAGTAGGATGTTAGTATTTTTTACTTTAAAATTAGTCAATTTCAAGAAAACGAAAATTAAGCATGGTAAAATCAATCCAGTGGTCCACTATCACAATCAATAAGAAACATAAATTATCTCTCCGGGAGATTTGTCAAATCAATAGATCATCACGTCTTCGTAATTTATTTCCCAACAGGAAACGAGAAGAAAAGAGAATGAAGGCTGCTGCTGCACGAGAAGCTAATGAGAAACAAAAGCAAGAAGCTGCCTTAAAAGTTGAAAGAGAGAAAGAAGAACGAAAGAAAATACAGTTGGAACGAGAAGAAAAACTGAGAGAAGAACAAGCCAAAAAGCGCAATCTAACCGCCCAGAAAGCTGCTGAGACAGAAGAAAGACGGCGCCAAGAAGAAGCTGCTCGCCAAGCTAGACTCCGTGAAATGGCAAGTATCAACTCATTACAATCTTCAAGAACTTGTAAGGCTTGAGCCATTATTGATACAAAAAAAAAACAAAAAAACAAAGCACTCAGTATTCAATTCACATTTCTGTGCGCGGAATCATGTAATGAACTTGAAGTTATATATTTACTTCCAATTCACCATCAGTGAGCTCTCTGTGGTTTGAAAGTAATTTTTTATGTGTGTAAGTTATCATTACGTTTGTTTCCTGGCACTTATTTTTTCATTCTTTGATATTTTCACCTCAGGCTGAGGAGCAGAAGCGAGCTGCTGCCATCAAACTTCGGGAGCAGGAGGAAAACGCAGCTATGAAGCGGAAATTGGAAGAAGCAAAACAAGCAAAGAAGCTTGGCAAAGAACCAAAGAAGGAAGTTCAAGAGTACAAATGCACACCAACAAGAGAAGAACGCCCTTTGAAAAAACCCAAAACAGAAGATGACTACGGTGTGGAGGATGCCTCTGCCAGCGACTCGAGTGATGATGAAGCAAATCCTAAGAAAGAAATACCTCGTTGGGCTACTGGTAAGTGCCAATTACTCTCAAGGGGAACTTCTGAAGCTGCCACCTCCGATTGGGCTGAAAAAAATCGGACGAACTCTTTGGATGAATTTATTGGACCCGTATTTTTTTGTTTTTTCCAATGCCCCCTGGAAACACCCCAAAAAAATTCCGAAAAGTCTTACTTTGAGCACTCGAGTGTATACATGAGTGCTACATGTATACATTTTTCAGCTTTCAAGTCCATTTATATCCTTTAATTGTGGGAAATGAACAGTGTTTGAAACTCATAGGCACCAACGTGCCAAATGCGCCTAAAAAATCGGCCATGGCGCCTAAAAAATGGAGGCTCTGCCCCAACATGGCCCCTAAAATTCTGGATTTTCACAGGAAGTCACATAAAGAAAGAAAAACAAATCTATTTGAATTGAAAAAGCTCAGAATTTACAGCACTACAAGTGAAAGCTTGCCTTTTATATTCTTCACAATTTCATTCTTAGTTCTGTTGTCTTCCCCAAGTTACAGCTACTTACTAGTTTTGTCTTGAAAACATGCGCCGTAATATATAGGCAAAAAGTCAATTTGGGGCTTGATGCACCACATGGCTCCTAAAACTCAAAGGTGAGTTTCGAATACTGGAAATGAACCACTAGACACGGTAAAAATTAAGAAGCGGATGTATTAATGCTAAAAGGAACAAGGAACATAAGGTTTGCACGCAACAGCATAGCTCCTTGTAGCATGAATACGTCCAATTGAAGCATCTCATCCTTATTGCTATCATAATTTGATTAAGAACTTGTTCAACTTGTTGGAATTATTCAAAATTAACTTTTAAATGAGAAATTAGCATCCATAGGTCTTCCACTTTAGAATCAGTAAGTTCAAACGTGTCCCTCATTTAAAAGCCAAAATCAATGTTGGATACATTTGTCTTGCAAAATAAACTGAAGTATCCAGCAAATACCTAGAATTGTAACTCATAAAAATCTGCTTCCCATTTAGACTTTCAGTATTCCTAAAATTGACCAGAAAACCAGCTTACCGAAAGAATCAATTCACGGCAAAAAACACATAAGCTCATTTTGAAACAGGAATGACTGAAGTAGATTTTAGTTTTTTGGGAAGCAAGAAGATAAAATTCATGATTTTACAATCCGTAAATTTCGTTTCATGTGTTACATTTGGAACGGAGTAGAAACATTAAGGGTCTTTGCCAGTCCTACCTGCATTTTTCTGAACGTTTCATATTTTCAAAGCACTAGTCTTAGACTGTGAAAATTCAACTGGAAGTCACGCTCAGCGACCTTTTTTGAAGTGAAGGTTACTTTTAATTCAACTTCAAGTCACCCAAGTGACAAGTGTTGAAATTATTATCATTTACAATTTCATATCTCCTTTTCATTAATGACCATTGAAATTATCTTTTAAGTGCGTCTTCAGGACCATCGTTGCCATTTTTGTAGAATTTCAAAAGAAATTTAATTTTCCCCATGTAAACCAAGACCCATGACTTAGGAGTCATGCACATATTTGAAAAAAGTGTAATAGAAGGAGAAGTTTCATTCTCGAGAAGTCTATCATTTTCTGATGTTGCCAATTCCTGGGGGAAAATCCCCCATTAGTGCCAAAAATAAAATAAACAACCATGCATAAGGTTGAAGATTGTGAAGTACGAACTTCATTTTTAAAGCCCAGGAATGATAAGTAAGAAAACATTTGACGAAATTGGCAAAATGAATTATTTCTCAATTCCAACATTCAGGGATTGACGTGAGTGCCTATGCGTGGGCTCCAATTTGGAATATATTCTGCATTAAGTCTACCCAGGGCTACTTGGAAAATATGAAACTTGACAACCCAGATGGGGCCAGAAAAGACTCTAAACGCCACTCCTTTGCGAGGAGTGGCTCCCCTCTACTGCCATGCTAAGTAAAAACATCTTATGAACCTTGAGGCGTTGCCAAATTTCCTTGTATATAAAACAAATTCATTGGTAAACTAATAGATATTTTGCTTCTGATTTGTAAGATAATTTTGTTCACAATCTCATCCGAAGCTCCTGAAAATTTTGAGTAAAAATATTCCTAACTTTCCTCTAAAATAAACATTTTATCGGAGGAAATTTGGCAACTCTAGCATGTTCATACAGCGTTCTTCCTTAGCACGGCAATCTACTTATCCAATGTCCTCAATACTAAGTGGTGCCATTTGACTACTTTACGCTGAGAAAGGAAGAAACACAGAAATATCAGCATTGATGCCAACTGCATTTGATCTCATCCACCTGCCCTCATGAAAGTCAAAAAGTTGGATCTACTGCATTATCATCTTTTTTGTTTGTTAAGTTTTTTGTTTTTTTGTACTTACAGCCTCAAACCGAAATCCGCAACTGTTGCTTCAGACGTACTATCCGTTCCGTTATCTTCACCAGTTCATGTCATGTAAGAAAGAGGTTGACCTCACACAAATCTTCAAGTCATCAGAGGTGAGAGTGCGGAATAGAACATCCAGTGCTGTGTGGTCTTCTCCTCTATCAACAACTTTCACTCGGAAGTAGTTCAATGTAAATATAGTCATTTTTAAAACAATAGAACAATTAATTTAATTATCTTTCATACACACTCGTGGAAAGGAATAATTTCAACCATGATCTTAAGTTTCATTTTAATTTTAACGCCAATTTTGATAAGGGAGTTTATTATGAGTACTAAATTTAAATAGGAAGCTTTGTCTACCAGAGCAAACTTTTGATAAACCAGGAATCTCATTCGCTTTAATACGCATTCATAAAAGGAAATAATAATTTTAACGAAGGTACTAAATAATATTTTTTTGCAACTTTATCTGGAGAACTAAAATTGAAATAAGAAGCTTCTCTTCAAAATGTGAGCAATCTTTCGATAAACCTGTTTCAACCTATATCTATTAATACCTTAACAAAATTTTCAATACACAGTCCACAGCTGTGGGAATTCTTTTAACTGTTTTAAGATTCTCTCTCACTTTCTATCCATAATGCGTGGATTTATGTTTGTAGAATTGTGATATTTTCTCATATTTTTTTTTTTATATAATTAGATTTTATAAATTTTTATTGTTGGATCCTTTTGCCATTACTTCAATGATATTTTCGTTTACATTGATCGGTATACTCAGAATGGGTCTTTGGAAGACAAGAGGTGCAGTAAACTGACAATGAGTTGACTTTAAATGTCAGAATTGCATTAGAATTATCCAGTGCTTCACGGAAGTGAAAAATGCTCATTTATTGCACATTTCGCGTAGTTTATATCATGCGTTTTCTAACATACCATGTCCGTTTTCTTAATCCCTTGCAACCAGTTTTTCAAGAGAGAAATGGAAGAGAATCGATTATTTTAGATGTAATGAACACATTTCCTCTTGCTTTGAGAAATTCTTTAAAATGATTGAAAGTATACAAAGTACTTGTGATGAACATCAAAGTATGATTGAAGTGTGAGATAGATTGATGACCGCTTATGATATCGTCTGCCTTTTTTACATTCAGTTTTTTCAGAACAAAAATCTCAGTTTGCTACAACTCTAATCATGAGGTTTTTTTGTACTAAGTTCTAAAGTCTGAGGATTTCATATTGATTCCTATTGAGATGGATTTCGCTCAACCTTGTATTTACTTTGCAACCGTGTAATGCATGTATATAAATATGTAATCTACTTAATTATATGGCATTAAATGTTTTATACTTCTAACCCTTCTTGTTTTCCATAATATCCCCATCCAAGGCCAAGGAAGATGAGGAGCTGTTGGAGTATCATGTTGCGTTTCCAAAGCTTTAGAATTAGGGTTAAAATGAAGCAAAGGTGTGGTGCATTATTAATGGGAGTTACTAGGAGAGAAACTGGTGGTAACCAGCGTAATTTTTGGACAAAATCTTATGGAATTTCACAATTTTTTAAAAAATAAACCAAGTGTACTGAGAGTTTCATAAATTTTTTAGGGCTGTGCGAATATGTAGGGAATTTTTCAAACTAAGCGAATGGCAAATAATTTTGCCAATTATTCGCGAACACGAAGCTAATAATTTAGTCAACACAACTACAAATAGTAATACGGATAATTTATGTCTATTACTCAAATACTCACAACTACGAATAATAATATGAATAATTTAAAATGAATTTTTTAAGTGCAGAAATTCGCAAACATTACGAATGTCGACAAACAAGTGTAATTAATTTATATAAAAATTATCCATTTTTTTTTTAATAGCCAATTGGAGTTGCATTGATTTTGGTGTTTTCATGAGCTAGAAGTTTAAATTTACTGATTCTAATGTAGACTATGTCCCTTAGCTTCTCACTCAGTAGGTAATTTTTGAACTTTTTGAACAGGTTAAAAATATTCTGCGAAAAATTGAGGGAGTGTCCTTGATGAAAGCCTACACTACTGAAGTACCTATGATGTGAGGAGAATATAAAAAAAAAAAAAATCATGTGATTACATGTGCTTTAACAATCTTCCTTTTTATTGAATGAAATCTTACATTCCAAGGATATGAAAGCACACTAGCATTTGTTACAAAGTTGTCTGAATCGACTCGAAAAAATTCCGCACGTCAAATTAAAAACATCTGGATACGACTACTTATGAGTCATTGGTGCCTTATGAGTGTGCCTAGTTGATTGCCGCGCCAGGGAGAAATGCCACATGAACATTTGAACATTCTTGTCCAAAATTCCTTAGATAAAATATTTATTCTTGAGGAGAATTAAATTTTCTTTAAATTTTTAGATACATCAGTTCAGCTTGAGAATAAATTTAACAGAGAAATCCACAAGAAAAAAATTCCTCACTTTCAGAAAAAAATTTATTTTTTATTGGAGGCAAGTTAGGACCATCGAAATGTTCAAGCAGCATTTTTCCTTGGCTTTACAGTTAAGAGCTACTGAGGGTCATCCAAATGTTGTGGCTGGCACCTGAGGTTTCTGAGAATGTCTCCCAAAAGGGTGACCGGGGGGAGTCAAACATGACCTTATGACAGGCATGTATTTTGAAGGTATGCCAAGTAAATAAAGGGAACAAACAAAAGAGAGATACAGACTTCGTCCTGTTCCTTTCTTTTAATTACAGAGGAGGGTATGCTTAGCTTACGGTGATTTTTTTTTTTATGGAAGGGGGGGGGGATAACAAGGGTCAGCCAAGGGAAGAAGTGGCGGACATAATTTATGGATGACACCTTGCAGAGTATTCTTCAACATAGCCGACGACAAGGAGGTCTAAACCCACTATGCATTTTGATGAGATCCTGTCGACATTCTAGGGAGCCAATTACCTAAGTTTCTTTTGACTCAAACAGTATGAAGCTAGAATTGCGGCAGCCCTTTGAATCAGATTGCTCCATCAGCAGAAATTTGACGAAATAATGACAAAGAGCTATACTCCTTGTATTGCAGGTACATTTTGTACAGCTTATCTGTTAAGTTTCTGCTAAGAACACAGTTGATGATCCAAACATGACAAGTGGTCATACGTAATCAAAATTAATTTCATCTGCCACGACTTCAAACTCTTGATTTTTTGAAACAAGTCATCGAGATGAGGCTTTTCTTTCTCTTCCTATCAGCAGATCGGGGTCGAAGGTTGGAACAGCTTCCACCAAGCTTCAAACCATCATTGATCATTGCCAAAACTAGACTGTATTTTGTCCCAAGGCGACTCCAGTACTCGATCAGAAGCCACTCCAAGAAGCAGAGACTTCTGCCTCACACCAGAACATCCACTCTACAGCCAAATCTGTCAACTTCTTCATGGAAGTCTGACAGAGGTTCAAGTTCCCAGGCGTTTCGTCGAAAAATCTGTCTTACAGGAATTTCAATTGAATGGCCTGGAAACAATAATAACTGTACATTATCTCCCGAACTGGCAGGATAGAAATTTTAAAATCTTTGTGTGAAATTGCCTTGCTGCGTATTGGCACTGGACGTGTAGATCATGGTTTGCGGGTGCGTCGAGTGATGAAAATCACCTTGTTGCTGGTTTTGCTGCTGTTGTTGTTGCTGTTGTTGTTGTTGCTGCTGCTGTTGCTGCTGTTGTTGGGATTGTTGTGTTTGTTGAGATGATTGCGTTTGTTGTGAGCCGCTCACACTTAAATGTCCTGGAGGCCCGCTCATCCGTACTCGCTTGGCACTCGCAGCGTGCTGATGGTTGTGACTTCCCTGGTCTGAGGCACCTTGACCATTGTTAGTTTGGTTAGTTTGCCGCCCTTTATTTGTGTCTGATTTGTCTTCCTGGTCTTCATCGGTGAGAAACTCCCGTTTCGGATAAGGAATTGCACACCCTGCAAAAACATCTTGAGTGGGGAGTGGATCTTCTAAGAAATATGAATCTTGCATCGCTTGCTCCGATGTTATTCGTTTATTTGGATCCATAAGTAGAAGTTTCTGAAGCAAGTGAAATGCTTTACTATCTGGTTTAATTTTGTGCCGATCCATATACTTGACCAACGAACAAGTTGCGTAGCTGGAGCGCTTGAAGTCTTTCAATAGAGTGGGATGTTCAGGCATTTTGCGGATATCTTCCCAATCTTTTTCTGATGGAAAACCCATGACATTGAAGATTCTATCAAGCTGGTCCTGGTGATACGGATTACTCGTCTTAATATCCTCTTGTCTACAATGAAAAATGGGTTCAGAGGTTAAAAGCTCGGCGAAGATGCATCCGATGGCCCAGATGTCTATTGCTTTTGTGTAGTGTCTGGCACCGAGAAGGAGTTCAGGTGCGCGATACCAGAATGTTACCACAACTGGGTCCAGATCTGCAAGGGGCTTCAGAGGAGCTGTGAATAATCTTGCAAAACCCATGTCTGCAATTTTCACTCGCCCTCTCTCCAGACCTTCACCCATGACCAAAATGTTGGCAGGTTTCTAAACAGAAAATACGAAATTGTGTTACTTTGTAGAAATCAGCAAGCTGATACCTTAAATTTTGAATTTTCTAACTTATAGATAGGTATAAGACTATCATTTTTTCAAGATAAGAACTATTGTCGATTTGGGATGAATAATCAGACTGAGTTTTCATCAAAAATATTCTCTTAAGACCGGAAAGATAGATGAGTGAGTCCATGCCCAAGTCATGTTAGAAAAATTAAAGAGGCCACTATTTTGAACATTTTGAAGATAAGGCTATGTTTTACTTGCTGGCATAATCACAGTCATTCTTTACAAAAATTAGAAATTGTGTTCTGGTATTGAGAGCTTCATGATGAAACAAAAAATATTATTTGAAGGAGATCTGAAGTATAATGAAACTCTAAGCAGGTTCAGAAGTTGATTGCAGTACATAATAATTTTCCCTCAAAGATGCAGAAAATGCTCTTGCAAGCAAGCCTCCACTTGCACATAGTGCGAAGATATTTTCCAGTAGGGAAGTTTTATATATTTCATTTTTTTTCTTTTCCATTTTTTCCCTAAATGTTTTTTATGTATGCGTGTCCCCCCCCCCCCATTTTAGAGTGGAGGAAGAGAAAAAAACAGAAAAACATGTTGATTTTTTAAATTATTAGCTTGGCACATAATTTTAAGATTTTTCAAAACGAAGGAAATTTGTCAATAGTGAGGAAATTTTGAGGCTGAGATTGCCACAGAATTTTTGCTTTGAAGAACTTTCTGTGCCCCTGCTTTTTCCCAATAAAACTTATGTGTACCAAGAAAACAAGGCATATGGACATTGCGAATTTCTGAATTCAACTCAAAGGTGAGAATTCGATTGCTTCCCTATCGATTCATTTTAATCACTTAAAAACCAATTTTTACTTGAGACACATTGTATCCTGACTTAGTTCTTGTGAGCTTCAGGTTTTAAAGGTTTTTTCAGCATACAATTTTTCTTCTTCATGGGTACACAAGTATCTGACTTAAGTCAGTTTAAGACGATTTTTTTTTTCCTTTCAAAATTTGACTCAGGTTTAATTTGTCTATCATATACATTTGTTTTCAACAGTCTATTTAACCTGCATTGATTAAGAATTTTTCTATTGTGAAAAGTCTAACTTCTAAGGGAAACTACAAACATTTTACATTCAGGAGTAAAATTTTAAAGAGGAGCCCTTGTTATGATATGTTCTTTGCTATACTGAGTGGTCCATTAACCGCAATGACCTAAATACAACTAACTGCTGGCAATGAATACTATGCCCTCAAATTTCAAAGACTAATTAAAATTATGCTCACCAGATCTCGATGTAAGACCCAATTGGAATGCAAGTAGTGGATCCCATCTAGAATTTGATAAAGCAAGCTTTTGACCATTCCTTTCGGTACCATGACAGGTTTTTTGGCTGCTTTGGCAGATCGATGAAATTTGATAATGTGCTAGAAAAAATGAGAAAAATAAGTTGCCACCACACATTGTAAAAGTAAACTCAAAACCTACCCTAACTAGGTGAATTAGGCAAATATAAAATTCAGCTTATGAGCTAGGAGGCCATAAAAAACAAGAGAAGCCTTTGGTATTTATATGTATTTACATGGCTTTAATATAGAAGGAAAGAAAAAATTTTCAGAAAACAAAAAATATTTAAGTTTTCATGGAACGAGTGAGGTAAATTTGTTTACACAAGCGCAGGCAAGCCATTGGTAAAATTGGAGATTGCCAACTTTAGAAGAGAGAACGCGCGGAGATCACTGATTTTGGCACTGAAGGGGTAAGTATTTTCACATACTGATTGAATAGCTTTTTTGCCAATTTTTTAATTTTTCTTTATGGTTTTTTTGCATTCAGAATTTCTCATGGAATAATATCTCACCCCTGACTCAATTTCGAAAAAATTGGAGATTGCTGGTTTTGGTTCTGGATGCCTCAAATATGATGCACCACAGACATGCTGCTACTGGACTAAATCACTCAACTTCATCATGCTAGTTTTAAACTAGAGATATTTGTTTGAGGGGGAATTAAAAAATGATACCTTACCCAAAGATCATGTTCCGCATAATCAAAAAGAAGCCACACTTTGCGATCATTGTGCGATAAAAAAACCCTGATCAATGTGATCACATTGGGATGCTTCAGTTCCCTTAGTAACTGAAACAGAAAAGATATTACTTGAAATGCAGCAATAACAATTTTATTCAGAAACAGAAAACGGTGAGAATTTTGCATAGGTGCTTATTAATTACTTCAACTAGAATATTTAAATATTATATTTACAATTACTATTACTATTATTTACAATTATCATTTTATTATTTTTATTAGTTATAACATCTTTGAATTTAAAGATTGATAAAAATCAGAAATACATTCAATCTGATTTGTTACAGTGTAAAAAGCCTCCTTCATATTCAATTCTGAAGGGTTTCACCCATCTTTTTCTTTTTCAACTAGTTTAATGCTTCTCAGTGCTACTGGCTGAATTAAGTGGTTTTTACAACTCTTATTTTCAGTATTATTCTGTTAAGGCAAGTTACAACAGGTATCCTCTTTTTACCTTTTCATTTTTTCAACTTTGCGAATATGCTGTGAAGTTTTTAGATGGAAGAATGCAGATAAATTCTGAGGCATTACTAGTCTCATTGAAGACACAAAAATACTCATTTGTTAATTAGTTATGCTGCAATGAGTTATTGGCAGTCACAGAAATCATGCCCCATCTTGACCAAATTGATCAACAGAAAAAAAGATTTTATTGTGTTGCACTTCACTGAGACAAGTTCACTTCCATCTTCAGGTTTAAAGTAGTCCATAGAAAATGACTTGAACACTTACAGCTATTTCTCTGCATGCAGACATTGACAAACCAGCTCCTTCAATTTGCTTCAGGGCATAGTCTTTACTGTCTGATCTGAAAAACAAAGAAAGAAATCTTCAGCTGTAGCCAAATTTGGTGGAGAATACAGCAATGAAAGTCTGCAATGGCATTTGCATTTCCTCTTTCAGCAGTTACTGATTGCATTGGCTTTCCACTACAGCATAGGCACTAAGGGCCAAGCATGAATGTTAGCCTTGATTGACGTATCTCATTGGCATCATTCTTATTTTACCTTCCAGTTTTTATGGGTAATACATGGGATTGATTGAACTAAGGCTAAAGTTGGCAAAATTAGTTGAAACTAGGTCCCTGCAGATAATATTTTGCCACGATAATTAAAATTATTATGAAGATCAATTTTGAAATGAATTACTTTTCATACATGCCATGAGTTATATGACAAGATGCAATCAGAGGATTTAAGCCGCTGTACAATTTAAATATAATGATCAAGGTTTAAGATTTCTAACACTCATACTTACTTAAGAATTAAAATTTAATAAAAATAGATACGTTTTACAGAGCCCTGCTCTGCATCCTTAGCGTATGAGCCATCAAACTATTTACGTACTAACTAAGGATATAAAGCAGGGCCCCTCAAAACACATTCTTCAATATTAATTTTGTACATACCTTGTCAGTATTTCAAAATTTAAAATTTCAATACTACGTTTTATGGTATGAAGATAGAGCTTTGATCTAGACTTCAAATGCCTTATCAATAATAATATCCAAATTAATAATACAATAACAAAGCACTGCTTTGTAAAATAAACCATAGGCGATTTTAAAGCAGTACTATTCAGTGCCTTGAACATACAAACGTGTTCAGTGTTGCAGACACTGAGGCGCAAGATGAGAATGATGCCAATTCTGAATTATACTATAAACGTAATATTGAGCAAATCAGTGTGCATTCTCAAATAAAGGTGACGCACTGTATATTAGGGACGCAAGATATTTGACATCCCTATCCGCTTGTAGGATATCCAGAACTGACTTAGCAGCCAAACTCCGGCATGAAAGCATTACCCGGGAAGTAGATAGTGTTATATTGCTGTTGGTTGAGAAGAGAGCTTTCTGAAATTGAACAGAAGTTGAATCAGCATGTTTTCACATGCAGACAAAGAATGGAACTGATAATAGAACTTACACATTCTTCCTTCTAGCTTTGTAAACATGACCATAAGTTCCTCTTCCAACTTTGCACCCTTCGAAGTCGAAAAGGTCTTCCACCTTGGTTCGTTCATTAGCTGTCTTAACTTTGAACTCGTAATCCATGATTAATAAACAAGAATTTGCTTTACAGTCACTTTGCTTTGATTAAACGAAATGAGAGAGATCGTGATGATATTTACACAACACAAACCTACGAACAAAAATAGCGAAAGGTGAAAATTGAAAATTTCTCGTACAACGTCGTATAATATTGTTTTGACAGTAGCGCTACATCAATATGCAACGAGTGTTAACAGTACTAATTTGATTGAAAGCTAGGTTATGTTGCCAAAATTAATTTTTATGTGTTGTTTTGATTTAAGCATGATTTAAACACAAGGACTGACTTCTTAAAATCGGCAACAGTGTATCGTCATGAAGGCTTCTATTTATTTATCTTTCCTTATCGTTATCAAAAAGCAAATCTAATCAAACACCAAACAGTGAAGTGTCCGTGTAGAAGCTACAATATGAAACCATATGAACGTTAGCCATACCAGTAAATTTTGGTGTGCTAAAAATAAGGATGTCACCTCCTATTTTTTTACTTCATCAGCATTTTCATGATAATAACTCCTGAGCTTGTTTAAAAAGTCGGTAGGTACTCAATTTTTGTAAAAACTCTGGTCACTATAGTTTTACCAGTAGGTAAGTCAAGCTGCAGCCGGATTGTTGAAACTTGGCTAAACTGCAGAGTCCGACACCCCACCATCCTGAAACTTTAATAACTGACTATGCCGGCATGATAAGACATGACATAGCCCTATCTGCGCTGTGAAATATTTCGATTTTTGATTCTTGTTATACCGTACCGACATAAATTTCAACAATCGGGCTGCTTAAGCTATTACTTTTAAGAGCGATCAAGTATTGATTACTTGGTACAAGGCCTCAATGACTAATTTCAATCATATTCCTCTCATAAGTGTTCCATCAAAGTTAGATATGGTCTGTCTACATCTTCTCACTACAAGCATCACTTTGTTCTCTAACTTACTTTCTTAGAAACAAGGTATCCCAGGGTATTTTCTCGGCAGTGCCTGTCAGTAGAAAGCACTGGTACTTCTCTCTGTTGGCTTTCTCCTTTGCAGCGGTACTTGATTGGACAATCATTTGTGACCAAAACATTTGCAGCAGTGTAGTTACACATTCAGTTTCAAGAAAAGCACATGTAAACTTACACATGAGAGGTCTCCAAGTTAAAATTAATTGGACAAGAATTTGTTCCTGATTTCTGGAAGACTCTTATAAACAATCTGTAATTTAGCAGACAGAGACAAGTAAATTTGTAGTTTCATCATTGATAGAATCCTTGATACCCTCTCTGTGTTCTTTACACGCTAAAAAGTAGATGCTAAAGGGTGTAGTGAAAATATCACTTTGACGATCACCAAAGTATTATTGCGTTCATGCATTTTCCTCTGTGGTGACTTGCCACTTGTCATATCTTGCTTGCATGTCACATTGACCCCAGCAATATTTGCTAATTATACCTTACCATCTTGAAATGTGCTTCCAGAATAGATATGGAAGATGAAATTGAGAATGTTAGAGTGGTTGTTCGCGTACGGCCACTCAATAACCAAGAAAAATCAGCCAACCACAAGAATGTCATCTCTGTGAATACACTAAGTCGGAGCATAGCTGTTACCAGCCCTCAAGCAGGAGTTGACGAGCCCCCAAAAACGTTTTCTTATGACAATGTTTTTGATGTTAATTCAAAGCAAGTAAGGAATTAAGACAGTAATTTTTTATTTGTATTTTTGGTTTTATTTCCTCCCTTTTGGTATTTAATTTTCATCCAGATAAGCATATCTGAAAAAAAGGTGTTTTTTCAATTTTATTCGGGGTGGTCTTGTTTGCAACACATGTGGATTACTGATTTGGAAAAAGGCAGGTTTCTAATGTAATGCCTCAAAATCTCTGTCCTTGTTTGATTTTTTTTTTTTCAAAGGAAACCAAGCCAAATGTCTCCCTATAAATGTTTTTGAACAAGTGGAATGAGCGTAGACAATTTCAAGAAAAATCTTTGATCAGTTTTCTTTTAAGCAATAAAACTCGAGTGGAATTTTACAACTCAGCGATCAGAAGTATGTATCTTTCCACTTTTTCCATTGATTTGCTAGAACGCACTGAATCAGGTACATATGAGGTTTTCAGTTTCTTCAATTCTTTTTAAGAAAAAACCATGAGTTTATCCATTGTTTGGTTTCTGCAGGGAAATGCTCTCGAGCTTGAACGCCATCATACTCTCCTCTCCCACTGCGTTTTGTTTTACTTACACATTCTGCAAATTTAGTTTAGGGAGAAAAAACTGAATGATTTTTTGGGCATTGGTTTTATGAATAAATTCAAGTCAATCAGTTTTCAAGAAGAAAACTTTCAAGCTCATCTTTTTATGCGTATCTAGGCCTCCAGCAAGCTATCTTTTTGTCAATTTAATGTTTGACTTGCACTGAGCCCTCTAATGAAAAGCTTGCTGATTTATGTGAAAGGAAAGAACTTTCTGGACCCCTGCATAATGTTTGTATTCTTCAGGTTCGACTTCAAAACAACTTTTCATGGTAGTAATTTTTGGTACAATGAATGCTATTTTTTACTAGAAACAAAAGTAGGAACAGGAATATTAAGAGCTGAACCATCCACCTTGATTTTAATAAGTTGCGGTACTTTCACTCACCATTTTAATTTTGTAGGTCGACATCTACAATGACACAGCAAGACCAATTGTCAACAAAGTATTGGCAGGCTTCAATGGTACAATTTTTGCTTATGGGCAGACTGGCACTGGGAAGACATTTACTATGGAAGGGCATTCAGAACCGGAACTGAGAGGAATTATTCCAAACTCTTTTGCACATGTTTTTGGTCATATAGCAAAATCCAATGAAGATGTGAAGTAAGTTATTAATTGATCCGAGTTGTAAACTGTCTCTATGAATGAGTTGAAAACATGATATGTAATTTTAGTCTCAAGAGAGTTCATTAGATACTCCATACTGCCGCTCTAGGGAAGAACGACGCTTTGGCATTGAAGATCTTCAAACTAATGATAGAAAATTCATTTTTAAGAAATCTCATGAATATTTTCCCTCAAAATTCTCAGATACGCCAGAGTTTTACTCTTTGTTCAAATTTGTTAACACTACTTTTCATTATTCTTTTCAAAGATGCACGATTGATAAAAATTCTGCAGCACTCAAGCTTTCATAAATGTTTTTTCTTCAAATGGCAGTATTCATATCTTTTTTTCATTTTAGAAAGTAAGGTTAATAAAGCCACAGAAAATAATTTTGTCAGGAAGAAAAGTGTCAGTTATTCTTGTCGGTAAAAAATGAAAAAAATTGAAAGTAGAAAAACATTAACAGACAGTAATTCTGAAATAAAGGCTCTGGTGAATATAGGAGGTACCTATGTAACATTTTTATATTTTCCAGAAAAACGAATTTATCCATTATAAATGTCCTTAAGTCTCATTACCTAAAGTTTTAAGCTATCATTCATAAATGACACATGATGTTGGGGAGCTACAAATTGAATTTTGAAAGTAAATTTTTCCCTTTTGTTGAGTTTCGTTCAAAATCACTATTAATACAATCTTCTGGAAGCTGACATGATTCCATCTATTATCCCACAAGGATACTTCACGAAGCAAAGATGTATCTTTTTTTTTTTTCTATGTGAGTTCTTACTGAAGTTTTTAAGACAATGCCCTAAACTGTTTGAAAAAAATACTGTTCTTTGTTTATCTATAGATTTTTAGTTCGAATATCTTATTTTGAAGTATATAATGAAGAAGTGAGAGACCTTCTCGTGAAACCCGGGAAGGAAATAGTAAACTTAGAAGTAAAAGAAAGGCCAGATGTTGGTGTTTACATCAAAGACTTATCGACGTTCATTGCCAATAATGCAGATGACATGATGCGAACTTTGAATTTGGGAAATAAAAATAGTAAGTATCCTTTTTTTTATGTATAAAAAAAATAGTCTAAAAAACACAAATAAATACATTTGAAGTTCTATTACATTAGTAAGTTTGACACAATAGTCACAGAATCAGTTAAAAAGCGTCTTCTTGTCCTAATAACCTTGTATATCGATGGCGAAACTGCAGAAATGCGTATATCTGTTTGCGGCTTTGCAGACTTCCTGTCATTATTTTTTATATGCAAAACCACTCAACGTCATTTATTGAGCACTTCGGATATTTTTCTTCCCTATGAGAAGAATATTCTATGATAATTTCAAGCCACGATGTTGGTTCGGTTTCCTTTTAAAAAATAAAATAGGAGCGGAGATTTTCAAACACCGCAACGGATATACGCATTTTTGCAGTTTCACCATCGTTATTCTTTAAACAGTGCCAAGATAATACATACCTAATAGTGCATCATTCTCAACAAGAAAATTGTATGACATAACTATTATTATTTCAATAATGTTGCCCTTACTTGTGCTCAAATTTCTGAGAGATAATGTCTATGGATGCGTGTTTCATGAAGGTGAAACCCATTCAAGATCGAGTCAGTTAGCAGCTAAGTAAAGATATAGGAGGTCATGAAAAAGAAATTCTTGAATCATTGCAGGAAAATTTTAGATCAAAATCCAAGACAGTTTCTTTGTGAAAACTTGCAATTTTTCTAAGAATTTAACATTTAAAGTGGAGCAGGAAGCTTTTTTCCTTTTATTACAGTATAAAAAATTTTCCAAGTACAAATGGAATTCTATAATGTAACTTTGGAACAAGCCTCTGTAAGTGGGATTAAGAGACTTGTCTTCTCATGTCAACCAACTTTCTTGAAGATCTCAACGAATTGTATTGGGAAACCTCTACATCTGGTATTCAACGATGCTATTTGAATTCATTGAAATCCTGTTTCCGAAGATCTTGGAAAATGAACTTCATATATTTATAGGCATTTAATTTTAGTTCGTTCAAGTTTCTTGCATCATGTTAGGTATGTTTTCACATTTTTAACTTGCTCCTTTACGATATTTATCACTTGCTTTCTAGGAGTTGTTGGTGCAACAGCCATGAACTTGGAAAGTTCTCGATCCCATGCAATTTTTTCGATCACTGTTGAAACTAGTCAAACAGGCCTTGATAATCAGTCCCATGTTAAAATGGGTCGTCTACATCTTGTTGATCTAGCGGTAAGTTTCTTCATAAGGTAGTTGGTTCCAAGAATTGCTGTTAGCTCTGCATTTTCATCAGGCAACCTCAGTTTATTTTTGCCTTAGGCTGGACGACATTTTACAGCCATTTATCGCCATAACTCTTGGCAATTGGGTTCTATAATCCAGTTAAAGATTCCTTGAAGCACCTGCCCTATCCAAAGACAGAAATAGAAGAAAACAGGGATGCAAGGGAAGCAGCAAAGGTTTCATTTGAGTCTTTCTTTCTTTAAATAGTGGGTGCTCTAGTTGTTTCATGCAGTAAAAGATTGACTAAAGTTTCAAACTAATTGAAAGAGAGTACATCATTACATGATGATTTGCAAGAGAGCTTGGAAGCTCCTTTCCTAACATTTTGTCAAAACTAAGTCGTATGTGACGTCGTGTATTTGGATACAAATAATTTAAAATTAAGCTATTTTTAAAATTGTTGTTGTTTCGATTCTCCCAACCAGTGAAGCAATTGCGAAAGCTGTCAACCAATTCAAGCCAAGTTAAAAAAGTGCACCGATCTAAATTAAGCCTCAAAATATTCCCAATCTAAATGTACTAAAATCGTGCTTTTTAAAATTTAAATCCATAATATTCAACTCCTCACCCTTGAGCGTATTTGTTATCATGACACCAGTTTAGTGAATTTTGACCGATTTATTTTTTTCAGGGCTCTGAAAGGCAAAGTAAAACCAAAGCTCAAGGCCAAAGATTGAGAGAATCGACGAAAATAAATCTCTCCCTCTCAACTTTAGGAAATGTCATATCAGCCCTTGTAGACGGCAAATCAACACACATTCCATACCGAAATTCTAAACTCACCCGCATTCTCCAAGACTCTCTGGGAGGAAACTCAAAAACTGTGATGATCGCAACTGTTGGTCCGGCAGATTACAATTACGATGAGACTATCAGTACATTGCGGTACGCTAACCGAGCCAAGAACATCAAAAACCGGGCGCATATTAATCAAGACCCAAAAGATGCCCTGCTGAAACAGTTCCAGCAGGAGATAGAGCTTTTGAAAAAACAACTTGAAGAACAGAACATTAATGAAGTAGACAATGGTATGTTCACATTTTGTTTTATCAGATTGGAACACCAATTTTTCAACCTTGGGTGATAACAAATGAATCGATGTATGCATAAATGTCCGTTGTCCAACAAAGGGTTTTGTCTTGTCCCATGACACTGATGAATAGGATCGATCTCTTTTGTAAACTTTTAATTACTCTTAGAGGATTATTTATGAAATTGTTCTACATTCCTAATGTCTCAAACCATCTTGCGTTGTTAAGTTACAACAAAATTGTCCACTCAAATTCTGAAACACTGTCTTGGACATCGGACGTTTTTACACACATTGATTTAAATGATCTCCCAGAAAATTGCCGCTGGAACCTTAGGACTCTTTTCTCGCAGACAGTTGCAAATAGTTAATTTTTCATTGCACATTCTCTGACAAAAAACAAGCAAGACTTTTTTACTCCAGAGGAAAAAAAATAACTCGTTTCCATTCCGTTCATCAAATGAACAAGTAGCCCATAAAGCCTTGAAAAACTTTTAACACTTTACTGAGAGGAGGAAACTACATCATGTGGAATAAGTGTCTCAAGTTTCCTAGTAAACATCACATATTCTTCAACATTCAATGGTCACTCTAGAATAGTGTTCGCTTTTGTACTCTTTGTAGAATGTATGATGCCTTAAAAAGTTCGTGAGTGCACTATTTTTACTTTATTAATTTTCTAGTCCTTTCGTGTTCTTGGATTTTTAGGAAATTCCAGTTTGCACTCAAAATTCATCTAATTTTATATCATACGGTTTTTTTGTCATAGGAAGATTTATCTTTTTCTTCTTCTTCTTTTGTTAGGGAGACTGCCAAAATGTAAAAGAGGTTTGTTTGTATGTCACTCATTTCCTTCTTCATGTGCAGGTAGTAGAAAACCAATGTAAAGGAAGAAGAAATTTCCATCTTCAAGGCATTCTTTGAAATTCTCAACATTTGTCTGTAGGTATATCCTTGAAAATACTCAAGAGTATTTGCAGACTTCCTTGAAGATCCTTGACTCTCGATTTTATTAACTAGAACCTCCCGAAAACTCCCTCATCATCCTAAATTTTCGTTGTGTAAAGCTGTCAAATACTTTTTCCTAATCGATAGAATTTTTTTTCAGGAAGCCCGAATGAATCTGACGATGACTCTCTGGGTCATTTAGAAGAGAAACAGGACAAAGTGAGAGAGCAGGGAGTACAAAAAGAGAAGGAGTCTCCAGAACGACAGAATATTAAAGAAAAAAAGGAACAGCATGATTCAGAATTGAAAAACGTTCAGTCAGAACAGGAGGCCCTGAGACAGAAACTCCAGAACCTCGAGCGGAAAGTACTCATTGGAGGTGAGAATCTCCTTCAAAAGGCAGAAGAGCAAGAGCACCTCTTAGAAACAACTGCGACGGAGTTGGTAAAGAGACAGCAGGTAGAAGACGAACTACGGAAAGAGCTTGAGCTCAAAGAGGTTTGTTTTACTCTCTCTCAATTATTTTTTAGTCCTACAGGAAAGTTCTCACTAATGCCAGAGGCATATTCAAAGCATCTAGTTCTCTGTGCCCCGGTATGTCTAGTTTGAATTTTTTTTATTTTTTAGTTTGTAATTTATGAATGTCCCAAATATTCATTTATACTAAATTTTCATATATTTTGGATGAAATTAAGTCACAGTGAATTTGAGGAACTAGTGACCATTAAGGATACTATGACTATTGTGTGCCTCGCATTTGAGGATGTTACCGTGTAGTTACGCCACAATGAAAGTTCCAAATTTCACAGAAACAATATTTAAAAAAGTTAGATTGAATACTTTTTCATTGGTCAAGTAGGGTGGAATACTTTGGGAAAATATCTTAAAACTTGATACTACATTTTTTATACCAAATTTCAAATTACTCCGATTCTAGGTTTGTTTAAGTCGGTTAACTAAACTGTATTGACGCCTAATTTCTAAGTAAGCGGTCAGATCTCCCTGTTTTACTCTGTGAAGTGTAGCATAGCTGGCGTTAGATAAGTCAGTACTCATTTACTTTTGACTGTTATGTGCAATAGACTGATTTTACGTTTCTGCGCCGAGCACTTCGTTCCTGGCAGTCAATTCTTGATGGACTATTAGATGATTGCAACGCAGTCGCTGGCAAATGGAAAGTTAACAACTGCCAACTTATCTGAGCTCAAAGTCCATCTCACTGCTTCTCATTGACGTTATCGTAGTATTTTGTGTTTAGAAAATATTTGTAACTGTTCAAACACTGAAACCATTGTGCCAAAAAATCAGAATTGAGATACTTTTACCGTTTCTTTCAAAAATATTTCACGCTCAATGTTACGGAAAACAAAGGGCCTTAAAATGTTAAACCGAACCGGAGTCATTAGGTTTTGATGTTTGCCGTCTAAAACACTCTGTTTTGAACAAACTAATTAAAAGTCGTCATCTGTTCATCTGTCTCAAAAATGAACTTCAGTGCTTGCAACTTATTCTTTTGTGCACCTAAAAGTATTTACCGTCAAAAACTGACCACGTGATGTTGCAACCCAATATGACGAAAGTCAATACCCTGAAACTTTTTCTCTGTGTGCCAAGTTCTCTCTTTGTAAAGGAATAGTCACATTTTACCATCTCTCATGGTTATTTTACAACAAGTTTGTTTTGCTAACAAGTTTGTATCTATCGTCTTAGTCTGAAAGAAGTGGGATTGAGGAGAGAAACATGACAAAACAAGAAGAAGTCGCTACACTAGGGCGTCGTTTGAAAAAACTCACCACACAGTTGATGGGAGCAAAGGAGGAGCTCAAAGATGTGCAGGCAGAGAACCAACGAGAAATGGAGGGTCTCCTTGAGAATGTCCGCTCTTTAACGAAGGAACTCGGGTTGATGGAAAGAATCAAAGATCAAACTATCCCACAGCCATACCTTGTAAGTAAACACTCTGTTTCAAATTAAAAAGATAGATTTTAATATCCTAAATGCTGCTTTACTGCCTCTCGCAATCTACTGTTTGTAATATTTGAGAGCTTTTCCTTTTGGAAATAATGCTAATATTTTTCATCTACCATGGCAAAAATTGGTACGGAAAATGCTATTTCTTAACTTCCAAACCTACATTTGAAAATTGCTGTTAAGAAGTAAAATAAATGCCTGATTTTGCAATCTACGAATCGTGGCAAACACGAGGCAATTTTGGTAAGCATAGAGTGATGAACATTTTTTTTTTGCACTAGAAGAGTGTGATATGTTGCACATACTGTAATTAAATGGTTCATTTTGTTACGTAAGCAGAAAGTTTGCCTCTTAAAAAATCGGAAAGGCCGTGAGGTAAAAATATTGGATCATGAGAAATAGTTAGCCCTTTGGAACTTTTTTGCATCCTTCCTGTGTTCATCATACATTGGTCATAAAAGTACACTGTGGATCGTAATTTCCTGCTGTGTAGTATTCTATTGAGCAATAGACTTTGCATCCATATCGACAGTGTAAGTCAGCAATCACATAACTCGGTTTGCGATATCAAAGACTTCCTGTCATACTTTATTTTTTTAACAGAAAACTACCAAACGGTAGTTCTTTAAAATTGCCGTGAATTTCTTTCTCTGTGCGAAGAGAATTCTGCAAAAACTTTAAAGAATGATGTCAATTTGTTCTCCTTAAAAAAAATAACGTAGATGCGGAAATTTTCAGACACCGCAAACGAGTTATGTGATTGCCGACTTACACAGTTGATATGTTAAGAAAAGTATAATTAGAGGAACAATCTCTCCTCAAAAGACCATCAGATTCCCTTATTCCCTTACTTCCTCAATTACATACATTCTCTTATTTTTTATATAATTCTTCAGCTTTAAGCCAATTGTTTTTAAAATGTTTCAGGCTTTGTTAGAGCAGAATATTCACTGGAATGAAGACATTGGCGAGTGGGAGCTAAGATGTGTAGCATACACTGGCAACAACATGCGCAAAACTTCATCAGCAACAAATTCCACAGTAGTCAAACCTAAAGAGGTGAGCCTTAGGTGTTATTTGTTTGAAATTAATTGGAACAAATTATGGATAAAGGAGTCTTGTGACATTTTTAAAAATTTATTTACTGGTCTTTCATGCAAAACTTGCACATGGTTACACCTACTCTCAAAAAATCTGAACACCGGAGTCTATTTTGTTGCCTCAGTGTTCTAGTTTAAAGTTCCACCAAGTCTTACACCGCCCCATAATTTACCAGTTTGAAAAGCTTTCTTCTCAAAATCACAAAAATGATACTTAAAGTGATTCGATGGACGCCATATTTTGTGTCAGAACGGCATGCAATATATGGCATCAATTGGTTCCATTTTTTCAGCTACTTGTCATTTTTCTCAAATTTTGAGGTCGCAATTCTGTTGTCAGAAGGCTAGAGCACTCTCTTACCAATTTTAACAAAAGAATTCAAGGTAATAAAGGCGTGGTTTTTTTAGAGAGAAAATATTTCATTCGAGTGCAGTTTTGATATCAGTATCGAATTTTATGTTTTCTCTCTGAAAAAACCACGCCTTTATTACCTTGAATTTCTTTGTTAAAATTGGTAAGTGAGTGCTCTAGTCTCCTGACAACAGAATTGCGATCTCAAAATTTGAGAAATATGTCGAGTAGCTGAAAAAATGGAACCAATTGATGCGATATATCGCGTGCCGTTCTGACACAAAATATGGTGTCCATCAAATCACCTTAAATTCTTGATCCGGTATACCATACAATAATTGCAAAAATCTCAATTGAGTTCCTCCAAGAACAAGGGATCTGCAATTTCATATTTCATTCTTTCGTAAAAGTTTGCGATAATAAACATAATAATGTCGATAGTTTTATCCAAAACTCCCAAACTCTCAAAAGCTTAAGGCTGAAATGCTTATAAAACGCATGATTATGGAGAAGTCCTCCTCTGCATTCTTCTGTTTCAAAGGAGAAAGCAGTAACTCCTCTCCATTGTTACCAGATAGGGTAGAAAAATCAGCATCTCATTCCATTTTAGCCCCCGTTAAATATCTAGGTTTTATCACACAATCTGGCAAACTTGTCCCACTTAAGTGTCCGTTGAGATTAGCTGATGCTATTCTGTAAATATTGTAACTCGCTAATATTGAATCTTAAGTAGCACAGTACAACACAACTTTTAAATAATTTTGCAAATCAATGCTTTAAAATTGAACTATCTAGGATCCAGGTCTCCAAGGAGTGGCAAAATACTTATGCTCATTAAGAACGGCTATTATTTGGATTGCGCTCGGCAAAAGGGAACAAACGCAATTTCGACGTTTTCAAAATCATTCAGCTTATGTTTCTTTTTCCTCCTTTATCGGGTTGTATCAGATAATATTCACTTCTTCTATTTTGCCCCATTTGAAAGTCGATTGCCAAGCTTACAATTTATTCTAGTCAAACGATTGGTTCCCTTCTGCTGAACGCGATGCATTTTAGATAAATGTCATATTTTCTATGAATTATTAGTTGAGGTCCAATTTCAATACACCTTATCAAGTATGCATCTGTTATTTTATGCATTTTAAGTCTTCATTTTTCTTTTTCCTCTTGCAGATCATCAATCCAGACCTTTCAGACGTGTATTTTGCCTACTCACATTCTTCGAACAAGAGTAAATCAAAATCTTTAAGCATTCAATCAAAGTTGGCCTTGAACTTATCATGAAGGAGCTCATCTCATCATACTGTGTCTCCTCTTTCCCCAATTGAGCAACTCAAATCGTATGCCAATAAGTTAGAAAATTAATGAAGACTGTCAAGTGATTTTAAATCTAGTCAATTTAAGTTAGATGTGAATGATTGTGGTTCACAGGGCGCAAATACAACTATGATCCGGGCCCAAATTTTGATTAATTTTTCAAAGTGTTGGAGGAAATTTTCTTTTATTTTTTTATTTTTTCCATGTTTAAGAAGTGCAATAAATGTTCCTTTTACAATGTAAGATTCAAGGAAAACATTATTGATGGTGAAACAAGCACCAGCTGTATTTGAGTTTTACATTTACTGTTACTTTTTTACGTTTCTAAAGGTTTTGTTTTTCAACAGAGTCAATTTTTTCTTTTCTGTTTTTCGGAGGAACCTTTTTTTTTGCCTTGTTTTTTATTTGAAGATTCCTCTCACCAGAACAAATACAAATTTGATTGAATTTCAACAGCGCACAAAATTTTGTTTCTTTTTTCTAGTGAGGTAGCCATATTATTTTCTATAAAGTTGAAAGTGAAAATATTAAAATATTCCCTCAACCAAATGAAGTATTGACACTATATGTGTGCGACACTGTAGCTTCTGCTCTTGCTTCACATTTTACTTTTTGTTTGACCCTAAGCTTTGTAAGGTCAATTTATTAGGTAATAGATTATAAAGTAAGTACATCTGGATATTTCATTGTGTAGGCAAGAAAATCCTTCAAAACTTTTTTTGCGAAAACATCATGCAGTATTCTTTTAAAAAATGGAACAGGGGTGGAAATGTTGGATTGTTGCCATTAAGATACATGTTTTTATTGTTTCACCATCTATAAGTTCTCCTACTTTCGCCTTTCGTATGCAAGTAAAGTATGTGAATGATATTTTGGATACATCGTTGTGATAATATTAAACTTAAGTGAGTAGCGTCTCCTTACCTCACCAGTTATTTCTTTTTTACCCGGAGGAATATTTTTTTACCTCCTTATCTCTGATATATACTTATTTGTTTCATTTCTTCCTTTTGCTCCACTAGGACAAACAAACATTTTATACATAATGCTTCTTTTATTATTCAATGGCATACCACACCTTTACATCGTGTTTAAACTTACTGCTTGTATTTCTTTGTTATCATCAATAAACACTCCAGTTGAAACTTTTTTACCTTCACTTTTTCCTCATCAGAATGAAATCACAGAGAACTCCAGTAGCATTGACAGTTAAATTTTGGACCTCCCCCCCCCCCAAAAAAAAAAAAAAAATTCAGGAGAACTGTTTAGATGTTCAAATCAAGAAACTTTATTTTGAAATATATCTCTAGTGAAATACGCGCCAGAAAGCTAGGGCATCCACACTCCCTGCCCCTTCTAAGGTGTCATTGGGCAGAGTCACCCGTTACCTACGAGAATGGAGTCTTCTAGTTTGTAACTCACCATTGATGCGCCCCTGGTTGATCTCCCAGGAAAAAAAATTCTGACCCATACTGCCGCGCTAAGGAAGAACGCTGTATGAACATTCTAGAGTTGCCAAATTTCCTCTGATAAAACGTTTATTTAGGAAAGAAGTTACGCATATTTTTCCTAAAAATTGTCAGAAATTTTTGATCGAATTTCAGCAATATTGTCAGAAAAATTAGAAGAAAAATACATACAACTTTCCCAGTAAATCAGTATTTTATGAAAGGAAATTTGGCAACATCCGAAGGTTCATAAGGCGTTCTTCATTAGTACGGCAGCATGCTTGTGACGATTTGAAAATAAATTTTCTCAACCATAATAAAATTAATGCACTTATTTTAGCGTTAATAAGTCATTGGGATGTCGCCCTCCCTCCCCTTTCCCTACTCATTACAGACGATTCGGTTCTCTCTTTCCCTCCCTCCCCCCCTTCTGAAGAAAGACGAGTGGACAAGGGAGCACTGCCCCCTACGGCTCTTCCACCTTTTTATGGCCATTTTTGCGTCAAGTTACGTCACCGTGTACCACTGAGAACGAAGTCATCGCTGCCAAGTTTACGCATACGTGGCAATGCGGTTCATTATCAAATTCTTGAGAGGACCTCTCCCCTTATCTTGGTGGTCAATTATAATGAAATTTTACTTGTAGTGGTATGAATTTTCTAAAATCTAAAGTTGAATTTCGCACCGAGTTCTCATTGTAAAGTGTGAGGACATGCTGCAGAGACTTGGCAGCAATGATGATCATCGATGACGTCACGGGGTACATGATTCGAAAGGACACCCTTCCCTTCCATACATCATTCGAATGTCGATGTCGAATTTGTCGAAGTGACCGAAAGAAGCAGAGTTTGATGATCGAGTTTACTATTTATATTGGCTTATTTTGCGGTTTTACATAAATATAATTGTTCATAATTAGTCATGATTAATGTGTTCTGTTTATTGACTCACCAGTTGAATGTGTAGTGGAATTTACCTCCACTCCTAACTTAAAATGGCCAAAACGTACGACTATTTATTTAAATTATTGCTCATCGGTGATTCAGGTGTCGGAAAAACTTGCGTATTATTTCGATTTTCCGAAGATGCATTCAATTCTACGTTCATCTCCACAATCGGTATGTTTGCAGTTTCTTTCATACTTCCCGAATCGGTCGTTTCCCGAGACTGTTTTTTTCCGACTTTCTTTGTCTGTTTTGAGGTTACCTTCCTTAGTTGTCTTCTGTAAGGAAACTGACAGACTCGATTACCCACTCATTTGCACCTGAAACTCCATCCAATGTAGGATTCCATCAGCTGAATCAAAATATGCTGGGGCATGAAATTGAACTTCTTTTTCACTGGACTTACGTCTCATCCACTAGCCTTATGTCATCATTTGTAACTCACTGCTGCGGCGCGCTATTTATTTTCCCGTTTTGTTTACTTTTGCTACGTCCCAAAGTTGCAATGTCCACACAACTTACAAAGCTTTGTTCCATGTACTAAACTCCTTAAAGTTATTACAATGTACCTCAAAATCTCTAAGAAGCTAAAGTTTCATGAAATTCTACTGTTTGTTCCCATTTTTTATTGTTGACTAGCCAATGTCAAAATGAGTGCCTCTATGATACGTTAAGTGAGTTTAAGTCAGCTGAAGAGAAATATATCCTGCCAGAATGCTTTTGCACGTACTTACCCACCAAATTCAGGATATATGTAAACATGACCAGTCAAAGTTAAGACTCTTTTCTTGCCAGTGATTGTGGAGTTAGCGTCTAAGTATTAGTGAAGTTAGGGTTTTAAGTAATATCTGACTGTGCATTTTGCTCCTGAAAAAGCTCATTATTTCCGGTATAATTTTCTGCTCAATTTAAAGAGCAAATAGTTTCATCTAGAAAATACTCTTCAGGTCGGAGAAATTGCCTCATGATAGTATCTGTGTCAACACCAATGGTTCCTTCATACAGGTCATTGAAGTTTTAACTGACTCTAGACCCTTCGTGTGTTGTTGCGAATAATGCATCTGTAAAGGCTGTCAGGTTTCACAAAGGATGTAAGCAGACTTTGAAATACTCCTCCCCAATCAAAAGAGGGCCACAAATCTGCCCATTTCATGCAAATGACGAGCTTGATTAGAACTCAAATCTTTATGTCCTTAGAATGTAATGTTTCAAAATATTCCATCTTTGCAACTGCTTCCTATAATTAATATAGTCTCACTATCCTTTTTATGTTCCAGGAATTGATTTCAAGATTAGAACCATTGATATGGATGGGAAAAAAATCAAACTGCAGATTTGGTAAGTTTGTAAGGAAATATCTAATCATTGAGGACAATAATAGAAAAAAGGTCAGGAGAGGTCCAAACCATGAATGGCTTTGTTGCAAGCAAGAGATACAGCTTACTGATGTCACTTATTAGGAGAAAATTTGCTCGAAAATCATTTCGGGCACATCAAAGAAGTCTGAAATTCACTCCTCAGCACATAATCTGTGTAGTTTGTTTCACGCTTTTCTGAGTTCACCGTGTATGAGAGCAGTTTTTCTTGGTGGTCGGCAGTCAGGATTGCCTAATCTTAATAAACAAGCAAACTCTCAAACTGTCATAAACCCTCCTTGCAAAATATTTCAATTGATTCAAAGCTTTTGTTCTTGCAAAATGAAGGGAAAAAAACGAAACAAATTCTTGAAAATAAATGAAATCATACAATTGCAAAAGTTACTTAATCGATTATTTACTTTGGGTAGTTCGTTCTTGCTCCTCTTCCTGTGCAAACCTGACCGCTGGCCACCAAAAAAAACTGCCTGCAGATGGAGGAAACTTGGAAAAGTGTATTTCAAATTCAGCAGATTGCGCAAAGGAGCGGATTTCAGACCTATTTGATGTGTGATTTTCGAGCGAATTTGTGATTTTTGAAAAGTGTATTCAGTTGGAGGTATCTCTTGCTTGCAACAGACCCATTAAATAGACTAGGATAGGAATCATTGTTGAGGCTTTAGTTTTCAGTTAAATGATAAGTAAATATTTATCGACACAAACTAATTTTCCTCACTTTTTAACCAAATCATTGCCCTCCCCCCCTCCAGTCAGTTTGATAAGCAGGTCCCTGCTCTGAAACTTAACTCAAACTGTTTTTGGTTCTGAATGTCTTATTCATTCTTAACTGTAGCTTCTTACAAAGCCTCTCAAGCTTCTAGGCTTCAACTGATTTTTTCTGCCTCTGCTCTGTTGACTGCACTCAGTTTTAATTGTTTCAGCCTGTAAAATATTGTGAAGCAAAGATGAGCTGTTTTTGAATTGACCAATTTTAATTATGTTGTATTGTAAAGACTACTCTGAATTATAATTTTCAATGTTGTCTGTGAAACAGCGCTTTGTCTACCTAAAGTTTAATGGTTTTATCTTCTTTCTTTTTTCCCATTTTGTACTGAAATCTAATTACAACTTTTCCTTATTACAGGGACACAGCAGGTCAGGAACGTTTTAGAACAATCACAACAGCATATTACAGAGGAGCAATGGGCATTATGTTAGTGTACGATATCACCAATGAAAAAAGCTTTGACAATATAAAGAATTGGATTCGTAATATCGAAGAAAATGCATCTGCCGATGTGGAGAAGATGCTACTGGGAAATAAATGTGAACTTGAGGACAGAAGAGCGGTAAGCTTTTTTAGCTATTAACTGTTGTTTTCAACAGTTTCTCATTTTTTAACACATTGTATGTTAAGGAGTTTCTTTTTTATGTCAGTATAATGTATGAGCAAAGAAGCGAACTTCCGGTAACAGTTAAAAATCTGGAACCCGGTTAAAGTTTGCATGTCGCCAGAAGCAGGTTGCTGTCACATAGTTGATGTCAACTTGCCACCAGATCTAAGCAGTTGGCGTCAGTATCTGATGTTGATTTGACCATATCCACCCCATGAGCCTAGCATGGTACCAGAGAAACTCCTCTGTTCAGTGCTCATGAGCCTAGTTTGGTAAGAAAAGTGTTGAAATTAATTTTTAATTCCTTGCAACTTGCTCCTAATTTTTTTCGGTTGGTTGGCTGATATGTTTAGTTGGTTAACCTCTGTACAAAAATCAGGAAAATTTGGGTTACCATTTGTTCAAATATACATTTATAAAGAAGTACAGTAACAAAACAAAAAATTACAGCCCAGAAGAATTTTAAGATAGATCACACTTCTTACATAAAAATTAATGAGGACAAGATCTATAAGAAGTCATCAGCATATCACAAACATAAGTTGGCTGGTGGGTCTGAGCTGTCAGTGTAGAACTGGCAAAGCTCAACTCAGATGGCTCAAAGCTGTCTCTTTAAATCAACGAGTTAACCCATTGCTACGTTCTCTTTAAGGTCATGTTGTCATATTTCCAGTGAGATGGTCAGTTAAAAGAATGTTTAATTTATCTGTCAACAGGTTTCTAAAGAAAGAGGAGAACAGTTAGCTATTGAGTATGGCATCAAATTTATGGAAATTAGTGCAAAAAATTCTATTAATGTTGAAGAAGCTTTTTTCACATTAGCAAGGGATATCAGAACTAAAACTGAGAAAAAATTGGTGAGTTTTTCCTTCCTTCTTATCTTTTTCCATTTATAATATTTAGTATCTGTAATTGCAAAAAATAATTATTTGACCTTCTTCATTGTATCATGGTTCTCTACATCCAGGAAGTCTCTTAATTTTTCCTGCAAAATTTTAGCCTTATCTGGCCTGAGAAATTAGTCCAACTGAGGCTAAAGTCTTGTTTGGAGTTTTTTGTACAGAAACACTGAAAAGTGATTTCTTGGCAATTGAATCGGTGAGTTACAAAAGGGCTCAAGGGCCAAAAATGAGAATACAAAAAAAATGGTGATAACCGTTTTAATTGACCCCTCACAAATCTCAGAGCTCTGAAATATCAGAACGATGAATTAATTAATCACATTATCAATTAATCTGCATTTTAAAATAGGTTGGTTCTTACAGTTTCTACTGTTTTTTTTTTCTTCGTATTTTTATATCTGGAGCTTGAGCCCTTTTGTAACTGACCAATTTACTTAGTTGACAAGTAGTGCATATGTTACGTGAAAAGTACAAGTAACTGTAGTCAAGAATGAATTTTGTTACAAAATCCAAGGTGAAACGAGTCATATCAAGAATCTTAATTTGCAGAGGAAAGGTAGGGTAGTGCAATGCGCCAATCTTATTGGAAACTGAATCATTATTATTGGCTGGGACTTATTCACACAAATGTTACATTAGAGGTCAAGCCTCCCAAATAAAACAATTGCCTACAAATAATCTAAGAATAAAAAACACTACCACTTTTTAAACACAGCAGAGTAATAATTAATGAATGCCATTGCCACTGATTGGAACAATCATGCTTAGAACGCAGCTCTGAGAAGATGTAAAAATTAATCAGACTTCAAGCGTTTCGGAGAACCCTAAAGAAGTCTAATATTTTAAGGGAGAAAAATGCTCTCATTTTTTATTTAAATATAAAAGTGATACCTTTGTATAATTTTCATACAGATGAGACAAAAATTTGATCGTAAAAGCCCAATAAATTTTATAGCTTTAGAAATACTTTCAGGCGAATTGAAGTTTTTTTCCATCAATCTTGCTGTGAGCTGCCTGCTGTTTAAAGTGAAGTACTTAAAAACTGAAGTTTTGGGTACAGCTTTTCTGGTGCTCATTTATTACTTTTTGCAAACTGTTTTTCTTTTCATTTTCATTTCTAATCCATTCTCCTTTTTATATTTTTGCTGTCAATTTTTTTCTGGATTTCTAATCATCATTGCAGAAGGTATACATACTTTTTCATTATTACCCATTTTTCGGGTTTTGAAATTAACTTTTGTCAGCTTGTGTGTATGTGTGTGCCAAATTTTGGTAGTTTTACACTCACTTTAGAAATCCTGCCCCTTTTCTCCTTTTTTGATCTGTTTACTTCACTGTGGTGAGTTCTCGTATGTCTCAGGAATTTGTTTTTTGGTGTTCATCCAGTGTGACTTTTAAATTTCTCAAATATTAATATTTATTTTGAAATCTGAGCATGTGTGACATGGTATTGAAACTGTTATTAAGGAAAAAACATTGTAATAGAAAAATAATTTTCATGCACAATCATAGTCCCATTCTTTTGAAGGTAAATGAAGCTTGTAATTCAGTTTCAGGCCCTGGAATAGACCATCGCCGATATCATTCAAATTAGGCGAGTCGAGTTAGTTCACCATTATAAGATTCTTATTTGAAAATCGGTCGATTTTTAATCATCCAAACGATTTCTAAGAATCTTTTGGATGATTAGTGGAGATTTGACAAAGATTGGAGGTTTCTTCCTGTAAAATTTTCCTCACTGACGCTTCTAAGTCCGTTTGCTCAAAACTTCATTTTTCCACTCACTGCTCTCTTCGCTATCATGGCAGAGCAATCCTCAGGTTCATTCAAAGGCTCATTTTAAAGATTTCCATTCCCCCTCTCCCCCTTGAATCTCAGTGATGACCATGTTTTTCACTATATTAGTTGATGCAAGAGTGTCGCCAGACCATTCTCTCAAGTAAATTTAAAGAAGCGCTAAGAAAATTGTCTTAAATTATTTTAAAAATATCATATTTTTTAAGTTTATAAAAAAGAAGAAAAAAATTGCCATCGTGCAATGAACTGAAATATTGAAAAAAAAGAAAAACATATTAGAGTTACATTTTTACTGTTTAAAAACTAAAATGAAACTCAACTTCTTCAACTGAAACTTGGATCATAAAGTTTTTAGAATGTTTTCTTATCCCATATCTTAGTGCATGGCTTAAATTTTAAACCATCTTTGTTCTCGTATGTATCTAGTTGTTTCCAAAATTTTAAATCCTATTCATGTATCATCTCTTATGGCATTCCATTTGGTCGTTCGAATTTAGATTTTAAATGCGTTGATAATTTGAAAAAATGGGCTATTAGGTCTATGAAGAAGCCTCTGCTACAATATATAGTAGCTTTGATTTCCTCAATAACGAAATGAAATATACTTCCTGAAAAGTTCAGTTCAAAGCCTTCTAATTAAAAGCAAGATAGCAATTGCGTAAACCACCATTTCATTCTCCACTTAAAGTAGAGAGGAAAGAGCAGAAGTAAAAGGAAACAATAGATTTCATGTGGAGTATGTTTTTTTTTCTCCTATTGGTGTATTTGATATAGCGCTAAATACCTTTCCTTTTTTTGTTTTTTTTTTTTTTTGTTTTTTTGTTTTGTTTGTTTGTTTACCCTAACACATCCCAATGCCTACTGATGATGACATCTAGAAGTGGAAGTAGGAAATCATACAACATGATTGTAGTGTTTCATAATTCTACTTGTACTGAATTGTTTTAGAGAAAACTAACTGGATAATATTTTTGCATGGGATTCTCAGAGAAAATATATGTCATGATAAAAATATCAAGCAAAATTTCACAAATTAAGAATTGATGGCTTTTCTGTGATATAATTAAATGGAGCAAAAAGTGCGTAACAAATACAGCTGAGGGACACATCATCTAGTTCTATCAGTGATACTGAATATCGCATCTTCGACCACCTCCTCCCCACTCAGGCAGCTGAAATTGGGGCTAACTTCCTTCATAAGGGAGAGTTTAAATTCAAACTGAAACTGTCTCAATTCTTCTCAATTATTTGTGGGTAAAATATAACATCTGTTTGTAAATCCAAAGGCTTAAATAATATAACAAATGCATCTGTTTTCCTTTCTTGCAGGAGGCTTCCAATCCTTCTAAAGGCAACCATCAGTTGAAAGCAACTGAGCCCTCTAAAAAACAGCCCAACTGGCTCCAGCGCTGCTCTCTCATCTGACATTGTTCGTTTCTTACTTACTTGTCTCTGTTTACTTTTTTTTAAATGTTTATTGCGTCTTTACTGTCTAAGAGAGGAAACAAATATGTCAAATTAATATTTGTTCATGACTTCACTTTCAACGTGAAGATCACTCAGCAAAATTCTGACAATATCAATCGCTATCAATGTACATAGTAAGGAGAGGAGGAGAAAGGATGTTTTTAGTCGATAAATAATTCATCGGGAAGCTATGTACATTAAGTGCAAACTAGTAATTGCGTGTAACTTTTCAAGGTTAATTTTAACCTAAATTTTTGATCGGCTGTAAGTTCCAGCTTCAGGGAGCATTTTTTATTACGCTCCAAATTTTTCCCACTTTGCTTTTTGACTTTCGGGATTTTTGTCCACATCGAATCTTTTCTGCTTTGAAGCATAAGTGAAAGTGTCAATGAGAATATTATCGAAGTATCAAAGGTCAGAGAAATCTGAGGAGAGTGGAAGAACAAGAGATAATGAATTTTTTAATATATTAAGAAACAGTGGATTGGCAGGTATTTCTTTTGTGTTGACAAATAATAATAGCCCTTATTTGTATCATCACAGTGCCACCAATTAAGGGGCAAAATTGGCATAGCAAATTCATTGGTCAGAGGGACATGCTGGAGAGTATGCTCTGATTTTCAACACCTGTTAATTAGGAAAAAGTAGTGAGGTCTGTTTGAATGTCAAGGCTCTGTGTCCTGTGTTGATGTAGGCATAGCCCCTCTAAAAGTTTGATGATAAATGTTGTACACAGCGTTACTGCATACTGGGCTTTTTCAGTTTCAGTTTGATTGGTAATGTACGCAAAAGAATCAATGCAAACGTATGCATTACTAATTGAAACCATGGTGTGCACCAATATATAAATGATGTTAACCAAATTGATTTTCAAAGGTTGGTACTTTTATTAATGTTGGCTAGAGAAACACAGTGTTTTGACAGATCTTGTCACTTTTTCCCAATCTTTAAATTTCATCCATCAAAAAAAATTTAGTAACCAGCTCCACTGACCCAGGAAAAACAAGATGGAGGGAAGCAACCCAAATAGGGCCTTCTCTCTTTGCTCCTCTGAACTAGTAGAGTGTCTTACATCCATTATAGGGTTGTGCAGGGTGTCTAGCAACCGGGGAAATCGGAAAACGTCAGGGATTTTTTTTGTGTCAGGGAAAACGTCAGGGAATCCGCAAAAATTTTGCATGTCAGGGAATTTTACTTTACAAGCAATTTTCGTGCTAGGGAAATCGAAAAACAAGGATTTCTCGCGAATTTTAATCGGAGACTTCTACCAGAATTTCTGCTGATGTCTTTTAAATTTTAAACATGAGGAAAAATATCTCGTATAAGTTTCGACTCCATGTATTTTGCTCTATTTATTACATTGTATTCCTAAAACATGAAAAAATTCTTACTTACATCTAATCTGTTCAATTGTGTCGAAAAATTAGGAATGGGAAATGTCAGGAAATTCTTTTTTCTGTCTGTCAGGGAATTTTAAATTTTTTTACCGCATTTTTTTTTTACCGTTTTTGTGGGGGAAATCAGGGAAATGTCAGGGAATTTTTTTACAAGATTGCCAGACACCCTGTTGCGACTCATATGTAATTTTTCCAACTTAGAATCCATGTTTTTGGGACCTTCATCACTTAATGTGTCACGATTTCCTGCCAAGAAAGTGTTGCATTTATTATTCACTTGAAGAGTCTTCCTCTAAGTTTTCATCCGCTTTGTTGAGTTTCAATGTATACTTAATCTTCCCAAGCATGAGATTCGCAATGAAAAGTTAGGATATGCTTTGATAATTCTTAAAGATAAATCTCTAACTTCTTGAAAATGTTGGGGAGGAAATTACTCCCCTCAATCCTTGTTTATAGATAGATTTTTCTGTTTGATTGTTAGTGGAATGTTATACTCTCCCAATGCGGTGTTAGTCACCCTTAAAAATAATATATTTATGTGAGTCTGCGTTGACTTGCTAGATTTTGGGTCTGCTTCTTTCCCTGTTTCTCAACGGCAAACTAATGAGATTTCAAATCACAGTGAATCATATACGCATAATTTTCGATGTTGATTGAATTTTGTGAACAAATTCAATTATCAACTTTTTTTATTTTATTCATTTATTTTTATATTCATTGTAATATTTATCAGTTATGTTGTATAAAATATTTTCTCTTGTGTACTTTAATTCAGTGAATACTTCAGCACAAACCTCCAAACAATTATAGGAATATTCATTATCGCAAATGAAAATTTGCTGTTATTTTGCAAACTAAGCCTAATTTTCCTTCCTTTTTTACTCTCAAATAATTATATTTTGAGCTGTAAGTTGAATCTCTGTTTTTTATCATGAATAAAATAAAAGAAATACATCCTCTTTCTCATTTTGGAGTTTGTTTTTCCTACTATCCAGGCCCGCCACATTCCATCTCGGGCCCTGGTACCAGTTTTAAGGTCCGGGTCCCAAGCACGGGGGGGGGGGGGTCCGAGGGGCATCCCCCGAGAAATTTTAGAATTTATACACCTAATCGGACGCATTTTGAAGCTTTCATAAAGAATTTTTCCATCAATTTCTGCGGAATAATTTCTTTTTTTTTTATACTTTCCGCACAAAATACTTGTGAATTGTTGCATTCAAAACATCTGGAAAATTTTTATTTTTTTTTGGGGGGGGGGGCATATGATACTATTTTCAGTTCTAAGAGGGCCAGGCGCCCCTGGACTCCCCCTTCGTTTGTCTATGGCAATTGAGTTGAGCCATGAGCCATTGAAGTCGAGGATGCCCAGACTAGAGACTTCTAGCATCTGACGACGGAAGAAAATGAAACGCAGTTACTAAAAATATCCCTCCGTATTGAAAATCTTAAAAATAGATAGAAATTTTCCAAGAAGTATACTTCTTTGAAAATTTAAGAAGAATTCTACAGTGCCCCAGTTTCTGAAAATCTATTCACCTTTTGCAAAATTTTCAGGGTAAATTGTTCACTTTTTCTTACAAAACAAGGGTTGCATGTGAATTCGTAGTGCTTTTTCACGGGTAACACGGGCCCCCTCCGGGGCATGGGCCCCGGTACTAGGGACCCGGTATCCCCCCCTTGTGGCGGGCCTGCCTTCCTGCACGCTGGGCTTGTCGATTTCCTCTGAAATTTTTGCAGTGGTGAATGCATAGCTGAAGTGCGCTTCAGCTAGAATTGTATTTAGCAAATGGATGGTTTTTCTACGAGGATTAAAAATAAACGATTGGTACCGAATATAACAAAAGAATATGAACTATGTAAAACGATAATCCGAGTATCAGAACTTGGCTGTTTCGAAAACGCCTTCAATTGAGGCGTGATACCTCACGCATTCCGGAGAGTTCAAATAGTTGTATCATTGCGCCGTAAGAATGTGACGGAAGATTTAAATGGAGATAGCCTCCATGCACGCTGGGCGTGTCGATTTCTTTTGACATTTTTGAGCTGGCGAATGCATAGCTGAAGTGCGCTCCAGCTAGAATTGTATTTAGCAAATGGGTGGTTTTTCTACGAGGATTAAAGATAAACAAATGGCACGGAATATAACAAAAGAATATGAACTATGCAAAACGATAATCCGGGTATCGGAACTTGGCCGATTTGAAAACACGCCTTCAAATGCGACGTGTTACCTCACGCATTCCGGAGAGTTCAAATAGTTGTATCGTTGCGCCTTAGAAATGCGACGGAAGATTACTTTTGAAATAGCCTTCATGCACGCTGGTCTTTTCGATTTCCGTTAACATTTTTGCAGTCATAAATGCGCGCTTAAGTGCGCTTCAGCTAGAATTGAATCTAGCAAATGGGTGGTTTTTATAGGAGGATTAAAGATAAACAAATGGCACGGAATATAACAAAAGAATATGAACTATGCAAAACGATAATCCGGGTATCGGAACTTGGCCGATTTGAAAACGCCTTCAAATGTGGCGTGATACCTCACGCATTCCGGAGGGTTCAAATAGTTGTATCATTGCGCCGTAAGAATGTGACGGAAGATTTAAATGGAGATAGCATCCATGCACGCTGGGCGTGTCGATTACCGTTAACATTTTTGCAGTCATGAATGCGCTTAAATGCGCTTCAGCTTCAATTGTATTTAGCAAATGGGTGGTTTTTATAGAAGGATTATAATTAAACAAGTGGTTAGAAATGGAAACAAAATAAACTGTACTATGCAAGACGATAATCCGGGTATCGGAACTCGGCTGTTTTTAAAACGCCTTCAAATGCGGCGTCTTAACTCACGCATTCCGGAGAGTTCAAATAGTTGTATCATTGCGCCTTAGAAATGCGACGGAAGATTACAATTGAAATAGCCTTCATGCACGCTGGTCTTTTCGATTTCCGTTCACATTTTTGCAGTCATGAATGCGCTTAAATGCGCTTCAGCTAGAATTGCATTTAGCAAATGGGTGGTTTTTATAGAAGGATTATAATTACACAAGTGGTTTGAAGTGGAAACAAAATAATATGAACACGCATAACGATAATCCGAGTATCGGAACTTGGCTGTTTTGAAAACGCCTTCAAATGCGGCGTGATACCTCAAGCTTCCGGTGAGTTCAAATAGTTGTATCATTGCGCCGTAAAGAATGTGACGGAAGATTACAATTGGACTACATTTTGCAAATTGGAACTATATATTCTAGCCCGGTTTAAAAACAACGCATGTGCCATTAGTTTCCCTCTGCACATAAGTATTTTTTCAGATGAGCCAGAATTTATAGCTCCAAATTGCAAAATGCAGTCCAATTGAAATAGCCTTCATGCACGCTGGGCCAGTCGATTTCCTTTGACATTTTTGAGCTGGTGAATGCATAGCTGAAGAGCACTCCAGCTAGAATTGTATTTAGCAAATGAGTGGTTTTTCTACGAGGATTAAAAATATACGAGTGGTACGGAATATAACAAAAGAATATGAACTGTACATAACGATAATCCGGGTATCGGAACTTTGCTGATTTGAAAACGCCTTCCAATGCGGCGTGATACCTCACGCATTCCGGAGAGTTCAAATAGTTGTATCATTGCGCCTTAGAAATGCGACGGAAGATTACAATTGAAATAGCCTTCATGCACGCTGGGCGTGTCGATTTCCTTTGAAATTTTTGAGCTGGCGAATGCATAGCTGAAGTGCGCTCCAGCTAGAATTGTATTTAGCAAATGAGTGGTTTTTTTATGAGGATTAAAAATATACGAGTGGTACGGAATATAACAAAAGAATATGAACTGTACATAACGATAATCCGGGTATCGGAACTTTGCTGATTTGAAAACGCCTTCCAATGCGGCGTGATACCTCACGCATTCCGGAGAGTTCAAATAGTTGTATCATTGCGCCTTAGAAATGCGACGGAAGATTACAATTAAAATAGCCTTTCATGCACGCTGGCCTTTTCGATTTCCGTTAACATTTTTGCAGTCATAAATGCGCTTAAGTGCGCTTCAGTTAGAATTGTATTTAGCAAATGGGTGGTTTTTGTAGGTGGATTATAATTAAACATGTGGTTAGAAATGGAAACAAAATAATATGAACACGCAAGACGTTCATCCGGGTATCGGAACATGGCTGTTTTGAAAACGCCTTCAAATGCGAAAGAATGTGACGGAAGATTGCAATTGAAATAGCCTTCATGCACGGTGGCCTTTTCGATTTTATCGAGGATAATCGGTCAGATGTGATGATCCTGGCGATTTTATCGCCCATAAAATCTCAATATAAAGCGATTTTTCCGTCGAGAAATGCTACTTGGGTTATGCTGTCAGTGAGGAGTGTTGCTCAGATTCAGGAGAAAAGTTAAAAAAAGGCCCGATTACGTCTCTCGTCTTCGGCTGTGTTTCGCACGTAGCTCATGACGTACCATAAAGTTTATAAGACCAACGGAACGAACACAACATGGGAATAGAGCAAGGAAAATACTTGCATTGATGACGGTGCAGAGATACAACTATTCGTGCTTGATGGATGTCCGTGTTGCGTGCGCAAAATTGAAGGCGCGATGGTGCGAGGCGTGAACGCACGATGCTCCGCTCTATGATGCCAATCAGGTGCATGTCGCTTAGATTCCATAGACAAGTTTGTGAATCCAGAGAGAGTTGGGTCAATTTGATCCGGTTTAAGATATCTACGAGTAGGTACTTAGTTGTCACAAATAAAAAAAAAACTGGCACTCGATTTCGTCTTTTTTTTAAAATTGATATTCGATTTTTATTGCATTGCAACGTCCTCTGTCTTTTATCGCCTGCGTTAACCAGTAAAAAAGCGAAGACATTTTATTTTATTAATTAATCGTTAGAAAATCCAAAAATCAATTTTCGGTGCTCACTTTGTCTTCCCCCACAGCAAGCGAAGTATTAATTGCAATTCATAGATAAAGCTAAGTACAAAAAGACAAAGAGAAAATGAAGCAATCCTATTGGTAGAAACGGGCGATTGTTGTACAAATTAAANAGGGGGGGGGTGATGAACTAACTATAGTCATTTGTATGGTCTCTCGTGAATTGCTGTTAGTCTATTACTTACCTCCTTGGTGCGTTGCAACCAAACGCTTCCACCAATAGGATCGCTCTATTTTCTGGCGACTTCTTTGTCTATCAATCTCAATAATCAGCCCTCAGGTTGGTTGGTATACCTACGTACTGTATTCTTTCAACGGCACGGCGACGGCTCTTGTTTTCTCTCCAAGTACTACTCGGCTACTGGAATTAGTATCTTTTGTCTCCTGTTAAAAAATAAGTAGGCAAACTATGCTTCGAGAACGCGTCACACGCAAAGTAGCCTACTTTAAGTAGGTAATCGCGAAAGCGATCAAAAGTATGAGGAGGTCATCGCTGAGGTGCCAAGAAAGAACGCCGAATGAACCTTTAGACATTGCCAAGTTTCCTTCTTTAAAAACCGAATTTACCACATAAATTGTGGTATTTTCCCCGGAAAAAAATGTAGAAAATTTTGTGCGCAATTTAATCTGAAATACCTGAAAATTCAAAGGAAAAATATGCATGAATGTCGTCAAAAACACGTGTTTTATCGAGGGGATTTCGGCAGCTCTTGAATGTTCATACGACGTTCTCCCTCAGCGCGGCAGATCGCGTCTTACAATTAGTTTTCCTTTTCAACCTGGTGATTTCCGTTCATACGCTGCTTTTTCGAGAGGAAATGTGTCGGCCTTTGTGTTTCAGCCTTGAAACTTTTTGATCGATCAGAAACTGAGGCAGTAGGTGTTGCATAGGGACAGGAGAGTTTCAAAGAGGTGGGGCTGGGGAGAGGGGGTTATTGTATACGCATCCAAGCAATTCCTCATGATCAGTCGCAATAATCGACTGTTTTTGAAACCGTCTCCCACAACGGCTTATCATTAGGGATGTTTTCAAGTCGGCAAGTTTTCTTCGTAGTATTTGCATGAAATCATTCATGAAGTTAACAAATACCTACCTAATGTAAAACCTTAATATTTTGACATTTATTGATCGTAAAATTAGAAAAACGCAGTATTCCAATTGCGCGGTGTTCAAAAGTTCCTCATTTAGTGCACAGGTTTAGAATCGGAAGTTAGTGGAGGGGAGAGGGGTTTACTGAGATCTTCCTAAAATTGAGGTAAGTGGAAGAAGATTATGGAGCACGGAAATGATTTTTTTTTAGAAAATCGTGTTTGAAGTTTCGAAACATGATCAATCTAAGCATGGCGTTTGAGTGTAGTAACGAATGTATTTTTACGTGTACATCTGACGCCTTCAATCTTACGTGATACATCTAATCATACACTTAGGTCCGTATTGTTTGCTTCTGCATTATTGTTTTCGGGTTTCTTTTATTGCCGTCGCCTCGTGTCTCTGTCGAGCGCCATGATTAGAATACTGTTCCAAAGGGAGAAAAAGAGAATCCATGTCGCGCGAGTTTCAAGCCTTTACCTATTTCTCAACGAAATGCGGAGTTGTTCTTGAGATTCAAGCTTGAACGAAATAATTAGTGCGAGAATAAGTTATAAACGAAAAGATGCGTGGAGCTGAGTTGTGAGGAAAAGTTTTAATGAAGAAAAGACTGAAGATTTGAAAAATGAGAAAATGAAAAAAAAAATTGCTTTTCCTGATGTAGTAGGTACGACTACTCGTCTTCTTGAAATTGGGGTAGGTACTGAATCCGACTTTTAAGGTTTTGCTCAGAAAGTATTAAAAGAAAAAATTATTGAACGTTACTTACTTCACAAATATGGTCGGAGAATTGTAGTAAATAAAAGGAGGGTAATTATAGCTTCCTCTACTTCTTTCAAATTATTCGAGTTCCCGATTGCGAGAAAAATTCCGGAAACGCTGCATAAGAATATCATTGAGTTAAACGAAAATGGCTTCAAATTTTCCTCTAAATTTGTTTGTAAATTTTCTCAGAAGTTCAAAGTAAACTACTTAAGATGGTCAGTATAAGTAGAACAGTTAAATACCGCTTAATACGAAAGACATTTTTCCGGCACTGTTGCCACTTTTCGAAATTGTTCAGTCCAAAAGCATCATAATATCGTTAATAATGCGATTTATGACTTGAAACTTTGCCCCAGATCGAGAATGTTACGAAGAAAAAACAACTTAATCGGCCCGAAACACTAACAAAGAAAAAACTCAAAACGGGACTAAGGCCGCAAAAAATAAAAAGAAACTCATAAAATAAAATAAGAAACCCGGGACGTTTCGCAGGGATCACATCCGCATTTTCAACCGGCAACACAAAAAATTAAAAGAAGGACACTATGAGCCTCGCCCTGCGAAACGTCCTGGGTTTCTTATTTTATATTTTACGTGTTTCTTTTTATTATTTGCGGCCTTAGTCCCGTTTTAAGTTTTTTCTTTGTTGATACTAGGAAGCATGTAACATCGACGATTGAATTTTGGTGTTTTTTACCCCGACCCAAACCACTTTATCGCTTTACTTAAGTTTCCTCCTTGGGGGCCACACTTTAACTGACTCCATCACGATTCATGATACCACAAAAAAATCCTCTCCAAAATCGACAACCCTGTTTTTCGCGGCCGAATTCACGTGCAGTGGCCATGGTCGATGAATGAGGGGTGAGGAGGGGAGTAATAGAGCCGCTGTTACAATGAAGAGGAGATGGTTAATCATGCAACTGAGTCGTCCGTCAAGTCCCAGTGGCGCGGCATGCTTTGCGATATATCGATAGATCTGCTAATTTAAACCCATGAAAAAGAATCGATAAACAGGGTGCTCGCAACTAACACCTCAATCATCGATTCTTTACCATAGCTTCAAATGGGGAAATATCGATAACCGACCACTCAAGCCTCTCCACTGTCAAGCCCGTCTTTTGTATTCTGTTTTTCTTTGACGTCACACAGGAAAACAAGTCATACCTCTGCTCCCAGTTCGCAATGTTCTCGTGAAAAAGTGCTGCGGCGCATAGAATTTCTGACGTCAGTGGTTCAAGTGCGAGATTTGTGAGAACGATTTACGCTCATACATTTTCACCAGAATACCCGTTATGAGGTACGATACGAATGAGTTTTGGTCTATCAGCGTCCTTTAGTGGTATCATTTCGACATGAAAAATTGACCATTAATTTGGTCTGTTTTTCTGTAAATTTGGTGAGTAATTAAATGCATACAGATTAGCACTCATTAATTTTTCGCTCTAATATAACAATGTATAGTTGGACCGCATTTTTGTTCAGGCAGAAATTACTAACCAAACCCTAATTGAAATTAAAACAAGAAAAGAAGGTGCAATGGGCAAAGAACCTGCAAAACTCGAGCCAATCAGACTGAATTGGACGCATTTCTGTCAAACGAAATAATATGTCATTTTTCTTTGCCTGTTAAAGAATCTTTTAACTCAAGTAGAAATATAATTAAAAAAATATCGATTCATTTCCTTTCAAACGTCAAAAGGAAATAAACTAAATTTTGAAAACAGACGGAGATTTAATGCAAGTTTTTTTTTTTTTTTTTTTTTTTTTTTTTTTTTTAAATTCATTCTCATCATTACTTGATTTGCCGTCCTTATTCCATGAATTAATGAAGTATAAGTCGTAGCATTATTCGATTTTCACAAAAACCTTTGACTAAAAGCCAAGTTTCGCCTTAATTATTTTTTTTTTTGTCTACTCAAAAATTATGCGTGTCAATAGGAGGAGATTGTAAATCAACAAAGTATCAAGCAAAATGGTTGGAATTGGCGAATTTTCTCCAAATAACCCAAAATTGTACAAAGATGGGAAACCCACTTTAGGTCTAGGCGAATATGAAGAAGCGAGGAAGAAGTTATTGGAGCAGGATCGTAAAGAAAAAAAAGCAGCAGACAAAAAGGTGCGTTTTAAAGTATTATGCATGCGATTATAATCGTGTATCATGAACCCACATTCCGATCGTGATCCTTGGACGGCAAGGGGGGCAGCCCCTAAGGGTTGGGCTTCTTGGTTGCCAAGGGAAGCAGCCCCCGGGGGGTTGGTCTTTATGGTTGCCAAGTGGCGCAGCCCTTGGGGGTTTGGCTTCTTTGAAGTCAGATGGGGCAGCTCCTGGGGGTTGGACTTCTTTGATGCCAGGGNGGGGGGGGGGGGGGGCAGCCCCGAAGGTTGGGTTCCTTATATGCAGAAGCAGCCCCCGAAGTTTTTGCAGAATTTTCTTCGCACCGAGAAGAAAAATCACGGCATTTTTTAAAAATTGCCGTTGAGTAGATTTCCGTTTAAGAAATGTATGACAGAAAGTCTGCGACGTCGCAAACCGAGTTATGTGATTGCCGACTTACACCGTCGATAACTGCCTGGCAAAGCGGAGAGTATCACCAGGGTTTGAAGGCGCCCCAATCCGAGATCGTGATTGTGAGATTCTTCAGGAATGAAACCTTTCCTACGTCAATATGAATCATTCCAATTGAAATTGATAACTTCATATTGAATCATTTTTGTTGTCTCTTTACAGCCTCTGCTATTTTACAGGCACTAGGCAGCCTTCCAGAAAGTTTTAGAGGGCTAAACAAATCAGAGCCCTTAGTGTCCACATTCTCCCTGCATAAGGCACTTTATAAACAAAGAGGGAAGAAGAGCAGCAAATTGAATTGCGGTCCGAGAGGCACCCCCTACTTTAACGAGTCGCATCTGATTGGCTGATCCGCCTGGTGCCCACTTTCTGGGGCTCTTATGGAAAATAACTCGGGGTTCAATTTTGTCAAAAATATCTCGGAAACAAGGAGCAATTATTAGGTCAGAAATCTCAGAAATCAATTCTCCAGATTTTTCTGAAGAGATTGATGGGTAATACATGCCACTTTTCTCATGCACGTCGAACAGCTCGACCCAGAATTTTGTCTTTTCATGACACCAAGAGCCATATTTCAAGTAAAAAAAACAAAATTCCACGTCGAATTGTTCTTTTGGCGTGGTTGAGTAAAAAGTGTCTCGTATCATTTAGTAATTTCTTCAGAAAAATCTGGAGAATCAATTTCTGAAATCTCTGAAGCGTAAATCGTCCCTTGATTTTGAGATACTTTCGATGAAAAATGAACCCCGTGATATTTTTCCACAAGGGCCCCAGAAAAGGTGCACCAGGCGGATCAGCCAATCAGAGATGACTCAAAAAAGTAGGAGGTTGCCACTCTGCCCGCAATTTTAAATTGCTGCACTTGTTATCTCTTTGTCCATAAACCAAGTGCGATGTGAATAGATATTCGTAAAAGTACTTACCTGATGCTGTCAATTGTAACTTTTTCCACAGGCAAAGAAAAAAAGCAGAAAGGGGGAAACGCCGAAAAAGAAACAAAAAATAAAAGAAACCGCACAAGTGCAAGCAGAAGCCGAGGGGGATCCGAATAAGAGTGATGATGACGAGTCTTCAAGCACACCCAGCTTAGACTCATCAGATGAAGCCCATTCTGATCAAAGAGACGCAATGGAAGACTCTCCTAGTTCATTTTCAAATAAAAACCAACCCTTAACACTTCCGACCCACCCTGAGTTCTCACAGCTTGATTCCGAAAGTAATAACATCTAACATTTTGATTTTTTTTACAATTGAGAGGCTTGGAGGACAAGGCGCATACTTGCAGTTTTTGGAAAAATTTAGATTTTGCCAATTTCAAGTAAATTAAGTGCATTAAGATTACTTGTGAAAAATGCGCTCCCAACTTCCAATTTTTAAGCATCAGAAAGTGAGTTTGAACTTTCTTTCCGCTTTCTTTTCGATCCATAAGGATCCGTGTAATTTCGAAAATTCAAACACGCATTTCTCGAAATAGCAAAAACTACTTGTGCGCCTTGTCCTCAAGCCCCATCATACAAAGGTCAATCAATTCGTTGCTCTTCTGACGCCAGAGCGTATAGCTCCCATTTTTACGAGATTCCTATAAAGCAAAGGATTATATGGTTATTTGGGCCAAACTCGAAAAACTGCTCACGCCTTATGTCAGAGAAACGAAAATTAGCTGTTTGGATTCGTTTAATCAAAAGATGCCAATTAATGTAAGAAGACCATCATATAGCCTAACTCATTTCATGTAAAAAACGTTCATTTGTGTGAGAATATAGATCGTCACCTTCCAGCCAAAGTACCTATCACAAGCGCCATGCGATGTTTCAAAAGTTCCACCGCCATTTCATTTTTTTACAGAGAAATTGTTCAACGAAGCCGACCAAAAATTTCACTGAATTTTCTTTGTGTTACCGATAAAATTCAATGAAATTTTCAAACAGACTCAACCAACATTTTCTTCGTAAAAAATAAAATGACGGCGGACATTTTGAAACGTCGCATGGCGCTTGTGATACTTTGGCCGAAGAGTGACGACATGTGAATGCTGTTTAATAGTCCATACCTGCTCTCTGCCAATAATTACTTATGTATATTTGGATATTTTGCGGTGATTATTAGAAAACTATTCTGATCATTTACGTTTTTAGATGTCCCAATGGAGATGTTGCATGTGTGAGGAATTTGCGATTTGACTATAGGTTCTTATGTAAAAGTTCGCAAGAAACACGATGGTGCCACTGGTTTTCTCTGAAATCAACTCCCAAGCTCAAAAAAAGCTCTCAAGTCGAGGCCAAAATGGAGGGCCTTGGTAAAAATTGGCGACAGGAGCTTTGTTTCAAAATACCATAGGAGTTCTTATAGCCGACTGAAGAAGGTGATAAAAAATCATATAGCTGGCTGTAGAAAGTGGAAAACATCATACGGCCGGGCTACACGAAGCGATAAAAAATTATACAGCCGGGCTATGGTTCCTATCGCCGGGCTTTACACTTTATCGCCTGGCTGTTGCTTTTTTCGCCATAGGCTATAAAAGGCTAAAAGAATTGTGTAGAAATTCGTGTGCTTTGTAAATCCTTAAGTTTGTACGGAATCACCTTAATATTTACAAAACGCACACTATATTTTCCTTTACTACATATTTTTTTTCATCAATTAAAATGAGAATAAATCCAACACAAAGCGGAGTGGCGGCGCACTGGCGCCTACAAACCTAACAGGGATACTTCACGCATTGCGCAATGCGTGAAGTATTCCTGTTCCTGTTAGGTTTGTAGGTGCCAATGCGCGTTTCGCGCTGGCTGCCCGCCCGCCGCGCCGCGCTGCAGCGTACCACGGCGCTTGAAGCAACTATTTCGCACCAGAGGTATTGCACAGTATCATACGAAATGGAAGGCGCTCCAACATATTAGGAATGGCAGGCATCCTTCAAAAGTACGGAGCTTTCCTCGCAAAATAAATCAAAAGACTACGGCCCAAAAAGAGAGCGGTAGTCCAAAATCTCACTAAGTCCTAGTATCCATAATTAGTAACGTTTAGCATACACTTTATCTCCAGGCTGTTGCTTAATCGCCATCGGCTATAAAAGGCTATAAGAAATTGTGTTGCCGGCTATAGAAGCTATTGGAAATCTTACAGCCGGCTGTAGGTCTATGGTATTTTGAAACACAGATTCTACTGCCATTTTTTACCAGGGGGGATATCCCACGCTATCCTGAGAGTCTACCGCTACATCAAGACAATACTCTCCATACTAAGATAGAGAGCAAAGACATTAGCAGGGTTGCCGTGTTTTCAGTTTTAGAGTCCCCAAATACAGTGGCGGCCCTGTATATGTATTTGCTCCCGATCGCTTTGCATGGAGAGTTTGTCTTGATGTAGACGTGGACTCTCAGGATAGCGTGGGATTTCCCCTCCATTTTGGCCTCATCTTGAGGGTTTTTTTTTAACTTGGGAGTTGATTTCAGAGAAAACCAGTGGCACCATCGTGTTTCTCGCGAACTTTTACATAAGAAGCAATCGCAAATTCCTCATCACATATGCAACATCTCCATTGTGATCGTACTTCAAAAATCATACAGAGATTGGTGCCACAGCTTACATGCGCTGCGTAATGTTTCTACACAATATTCTACAAGTATTTTATCATGAGCATTCATTCGCAGACAATCGTCCATAACGTTTCTGCAAACTGAACTGTTTGGCAACTCTGCAGCTGAGCCTCACGGTGCACGCAAATTCACAAGTCCGTCACGGTCAACGTGTGTGTGGGTATAACATCCACATCTTTTAAGCACGGGTAGTTGCAGCCGCAGTTGCCCGCTAAGTTTAAGATAGTTTGAAGCGCCTGCAATTTTGTGTGTATGCAACGCGCACATCCTTCGAGCACGAATAGTTGCATCAAGGCGTTGTTGTTAAAACAGCCAAGGCGCCTTCAGTTTTCTGCTCGTGGTAACGGGAATGTGTAATGTTGTCGACGTGCTTAATAAAGTATCTTTCACGTGTGACAGGACACTGCAGGGCAGTGTTGTTGAATGATGCGCTTTGCACGTCATCGGCAAAGATGTGCAGAAACATCACGCACGGGTCTTCACTTACAAGAATGATAATAATTAATAGGTGCTCTTCCTGGAACCTCTGAAATCATTGAAGGGAATAATACAGTGTGACAGCCAGTACATACGCATTCGCGAGGAAACTGGAGAAACGTGTTTCGTGCTTTAGGGACCAACCTTTCATTGAGAATTATTGGAAGAATACCGAGCCACGTAGGTAACTCGAAAGACTTGATTTTTGGGAGAGAATAAAAATTAATCATGCTCCTGATGTTTGAGGGAAGAAAAACTAATTTTTGTATGATAACTCCGAATTAAGATTGTAGTAATTCCTGATTTTGCTCTGCAATTTAAAGCGAAAGAAAATGAAGGATAAGAATCGGCGTTCGAGACTTTTCAAGAAGGGATGTACAAATTCCGGAATTCTCTTTGTTTTCCTTGGTTTTTTGTAAATTGTACCTTGATGACGGCGCTCATGCAGAAATGCATTGGTATGTAGATTTACCTAAATTAATAAAAATATTGTAATTTCATGCATGTAGGCTAATCATGTCAAATTATCTGCCGTGCTAAGGTGGAACGCCGTATGAGCCATCAGACGTTGCCAAGTTTTCTTCGATAAAAACGGAATTCACTGGGAAAATTGTGAATATTTTTTCCGAAGTTTTCAGAATATTTTGTACGCAATTTAATATGAAATATCTGAAAATTTCAAAGAAAAATATGCATGAATGCCGTCAAAAATAAGTGTTTTATCAAGGGAAATTTGGCAACTCTCGAATGTTTATCCGGCGTCCCTCCTTAGCACGGCAATAATATTAAAAGGCCTTGATAACTGCATTTTTCGATTTTGACGCTTGAGTCTTTTAGAAAGGGGAGGTTTCAGCTGGGGTTTTTTTTTTAATATTTTCGTAGTGGTGGAGGAGCTGAAGCGTTGGGAGCAGGAAAAGTACAAGGAGGAGCTGGACGAGCAAATTCGAGAGAAGGAGAGGCTCCGACGGGAGGCTGAGGAGGCGGAGCAGCGCGAGGAGGAGGAGAGAGACAGGATATTTCGCGAACAAACCAGGAAACTCCAGGAAGAATACGAGCGAGAACTCAACTCAAGGAGGTTCTTCGTCTGGCAGGTTATTATCAAATCAAGAATTTAAAAAAAAAAAAAAAAAAAAAAAAAAAAAAAAAAAACTCCTGCCGAAAACATCTGCCCGTCCCTCGTTCGGAAAGTCTGGTACCGCCTGTGACTATCGGCATTCAAACCTAGGACCTACGGACCTAAAATCAGACAGGCTGACCACTAGGCCAACTATTGAAATTGATAGACAAACCCATAGACAAAGGAAACGGAGGGAAAATGGAGCGATCCTTTAGGTGGAGGTGGGTAGTTGCTGATAGAGGTGTGGTGAGTAGGAGACTAATTAAAGGTAACCCATAAGGGACGCGTATAATTGGACCGCGTTAAGCAGAAAGGAACCAAGCCACGTCAGCTATTGCCAAATTGAACTGGGTAATTTAATTTTTAACAAGAGAACAGTTTTGCAGATTTTTGTGCAAATTTCAGTAAATTTTCTGCATAGTGTGAAGCAAATTCCTTGAGATTTTCAAAGGAATCCGCACAAATGTTCTCCTGTAAAAATTGAGTTGCCAAGTTAAATTTGGTAATGATTGATGTTACTTGGTTCCTTTTTACCAAACGCGGTTCAATTAGTCCATCATTTTCTCCATAGTCTATGAAATAACCACCCACGTTTCAACCAATAGGATCGTTCCATTGCCCCATGATCTTCTTTTTCTGTCGCTTCGTCCATCAATGTCAATAATCAATTTCCAGGCCGGCAAATCAATGATGAGTCCGCTGTTTCCTTTTACAGAGACGCAAACGCGCTGAGGTCCTAAAGAAGAGACTGGAACAACTAGAGCGAGAGGACGAGGAGCGGCGGCGGCTGAAGAGACTGGAGAGACAGCGCCGAGGCCGGAGGGCCGTTCTATCCCAGGGGAACATCTTCACCGACGACGCGACGTTCACGGACCGGCTCAAAGCGAGATCCCTGTCGCCGTCGTTGCTCTCGTACCCCATCCCGCGGAACCTGTACCCGCACAAGACGGACCCCCTGTACCACCGCTTCACGCCGCCGATCACGCCCAAGCCCTGGCTCCGAGGCGGGCCGGACACCCTCATCATCGACGCCCCGCACGACCTCTCCGTCAAGCCCAAGGTGGGCATCGCTCCTCTCCTCGTCGATCCCAACGCCGTGCCCTTGCCCTTGCCCAAGGTGCATCATAGGTCTCGACGCTTGCAAGAACCCGACTCCGCCAAATCTTACGTAAGTGCTCTCAACTGACCCAAGCAGCATTTTTCAAAGGAAAAACATAGAGTACATAGAGTCGTATATAATGTAAGTGGAAGAGCCATGTTCTGCTCGACGAATTCCGAGCCCGGTGTGCGCCGAGTTCGGGTCGCTTTTTCGATACATTTTCGATCCAAAATGGCGGTGTGGAATACGTGGTAATTCCTATCTCCTTTGTTGTTGTTGTTGTTGTCATCGGATGGCCGGGTACCCATGTATCGCAAACAATCGATTATGTATCGAAAAAGTGGCCCGGCATCACACAGGAGTCTTGGAATTCGGGACATGGAAAATGCCTAAAAGTGGCGCCAGCTCTCCCACTTACATTACGACTCTATGTACTCTATGAGGAAAAATCGCGATTTGTTGCGATTTTGTCGGCGGTAAAATCGCTAAGATAATCAACATCTGAGCGATTATCTTCGATCTCGTTGCAATAAAATCGCGATTTTATCGCCCGGTAATTTATCGCGATATTATCGCAACAAAAATCGCGATATTTGGCGATTTAATTTCGATTTTATCGACGAAAATTGATCGCGATTTTATTGAACAAAAAATTGCGATGCATACCGATTTAATCGCCATAAATCGCAATTTTTTATTCGATAATATTGCGATAAATTGCCACCGATATAATCGCGATAATCAACCGATAAAATCGCTATTTATCGCGATCACTGCTACTTGGGGAGGGGTCCTTCATTGATGGAGCTCTTCCAAGTGTTAGGAATGGGTCAGTTGCGCTGGTCACAGAATCGTGTTTTGATACTTGATTCTTGCGTGTCGATCAGTTGCGCTGGTCGCAGAATCGTGTTTTGATGCTTGATTCTAGCGTGTCAATCATTTTCGGTCAACGGTGCTGGCATCGATGTGCCTTGTTTGCTATCAATTTCCTCTCTTTCTCCGATCCCGGCCACCATCATGTAGGGCTCAGGTTTTTTATCGTTTTTTCTTTTAAATTTTTATTGTTTCCGACTGAAAATGACTCAGTTTTGAGTCGGAACGTCTGGGGTTTTGTTAATTGTGTATTTTTAGCCTGGTTTCCCGTTTTTAATCCTTGTTTATTCCACTGTTATCGTTGTCTAGGGCTGCTCTTAAAAATTTGTATCTATGCTTGATCCTTGTAGATTAGCTAAAAATAATAAGACCTGTCCAAACCGCAACTTTCTGTGTTCAATATTAACCGAGCTATCGCCCTTTAAAAGTCGGGTTTCTGACGTCATCTACCGCGGTTATGACATCCTTGGTTTCTTCCACCTTGCTTTCATCCGAGTTTCACTTTGAGTGACCAGTGCAAATATCCGTCACACTGACTGATGAGAGCAAAGTGGAAGAAACTAAGGGTGTCACTAGCGCGCGGTGGATGACGTCAAAAACCCCACTTTTCAGAGGGCGATATTACGGTTAATATTCAATTTAGAAAGTTATGGTTTAGACAGATCTTATTATTCTTAGCTAATCTACAAGAATCGAGCACCCATTAAAACACGATTCTGTGACCAGCGTACATGACCCATTTGTGTTTTAAGTAAGGATTCCTAATGTAGAATGTTGCGAGAGACACAATGGTGCCACTGGTTTTCTCTGACACCAACCCCAAAGCTCAAAAAAGCTCTCAAAGTTAGGGCCGTAATGGAGGGGATATCCCACCCTACCCTAAGAGTCCACCACTATATCGAGACAAACTCTCTATGCAGAGATAGGGAGCAAATACATTAATAGTGTTGCCGTGTTTTCAGTCTGGAGTCCCCAAACAAAAAGGCAACCCTGTTAATGCATTTGCCCCCTATTTCTGCGTAGAGAGGAGGGATTTTGGCAAGTTATTGGCAAAAGTGGATTCTCTTTACCTACATAAATCCATGAAGTATAGATATCGAACTCCGGCGAGACAATCTACATAACCCAGAATAGATCGTTAAACATACATTTAAATGTAGAAAAGTAGTGAAGCCACTTCAAGACAACTGCCGCCTCCTCTTCTTCTAGGATAATTCGTGATTTACTTTCATCTGAAATTCATCAATACTGCTAAGGTTATTTTCATAATAATACACAATATAAATTTACACTGAAAAATTAATTTCTATGCATTTGTTTCATTTCAGAAACTAGTGGGGGAATCGAATTCGCCGTATGGATTCCACAGGTCGAAAAGGATTTTGACGCAGTTGGGTCAGTTTCGGAAGCAACTTCAGTTCGGAAATAAGTTGAGAAATTTCTGAAAACTAGTGATTCACTAAGACTCTTTCATAGTGAATCAAGAAGCAAAATCTGTTTATTTTTTTCCTTTAAATAATTAAATTCTTCATATTCATGTTGAATTTTTCGTCATTTATCGTTTCTCGGAACGCCAATCCTCATGGCTGCTTGACACATTTGGTGAAGGGAAATAACAATCTAGAGAGCACCTATACATGAAACTGAGTTTCTAATTGGCTCTTCAACCCTTACACTCCTTTCTGTTTATCGCTAAGGTTAGTAAGGTCATCAACTTTCAACTGCACAAGAAATTAGAACGTTTCACTTTTAATAATTTTCTCTTTAATTAAACATTTCGATGTGCAAGATATTAGTCGGGTGCATTTAACAAGGTCATGAAGAATTTCCATATTCTTTTCATTTTAGTTGTCAGAAAAAACTGTTCACGGAAAAATATCATCTGTAAAAAATTTGAAATTTTAATGTGTCTAGGAGACATTGCAACGATGGAAATTTAAATTTTGCAATAGCTTTCTCATGAGAAATCAACGCTTATTTCTTGAGTCCTCCAGTGTATCCACTCTATTATTTCTTGAAGATGGAAGATGTTTTTATTTCACCTCCTTAGGAATAAAAAAAAAAAAAAACATTTATGGCAAATTTTTTCAGAGCAAATTAACGCTCGGGTGGAGCCGGGAAGGTGCTAAATCCATATTTTTGAGCGTTAAGATGTTTCATAAATTGAAACTTCTATAATTGAAGCTGCTTACCGTAAGCCTCCAATGAAAACATTCGAGGAGCACTGATGCAAGTTTGAAACCGAGATAGTTTTGGGAAGCCGTGAAAGTCTGCGTAAAACTTTAAGTAGATTTCTTGGAGAAATTCTAAAGAACAGGGGATTTCAGAGGGCGTATTTAAATCAAAGTATAGTTGTTTTCACCTCGTCAGACAACGAGAAAAAACTATCAACAATTATTTTTGTCAGAGGTTTTATTTAATTACACACTTCTCATGCGACCACATTGAATGATTTTCCTCGATAGTGAAAAATTCAGCTCCTTTTAATCTTCTTCCAGCTTGTGCAAGTGCCTATTTCTGATTTCAATCTGAAGTTCCAGAATTTTAATTTTGTTCATCTTCAAGGAGAAGTCAGACGTAACTGTCTTTCAATTTCCCGAATATATATTTCGGGAACATCGCGCGATCTGAAACATTAAGATATAATAAAACGTTTTATTAGAAACTCACTTTGTATGGAAGTCTGAAAGTTCGAAGTTCTGCGATTTATTACAAACTAAGAATGCAAATTTTCTGATAAATTTCAGTATTTAACCGCTGGTAGTACAACGGTATAGTATTACACAAACACACAGTTATTGATCACAGTCCGTATCTGATTGAAGGAATATAATTCAATCCGAACCGGGGAAACTTTGAAGTCAAATAATAAACTGATTTTGGACGTGGCCGGTCGATTTTTTATGTATTTTCGAAACAAAATTTATGCCATCGACTTCTTTGCATTAATGGGTTTTTTTTTTAAACTTTTATTGATGAACCCATCTACAAGGTATTAAATGTTTTTACATTAATTATCATTGTAATTGTGAAAGGGGAGTAAACAAAACGAAAAATAAAATCGTGGAAATAAAAGTAAATGGAAAGAACAACTACCTGACTGCATCAATTTTTTTCATCATTATTTCCTTAATTTTTCTGTCTCGTTGATCCTGCTCTGCTTTCCACTGCTCTCCCAATTGGATTATTCGTTGCCGTTCTTTCTTCTTCTCCTCTTCCTTCTGCTTAATCTGCTCCAGAAGCGTTCGGCGGTACTCCTCCTTAACCTATGCATTTTGAAAGATTGATTATCTATTTCTCCCCATTTGAAGCTATGGTTAATAATCGATTTTTAAGGTGTGCGTTGCGAACACCATGTTTACCGATCCTTTTCCATAGGTTTAAATGGCAGATAAATCGACATATCGCAATCCATGCCATGCCACTGGAAGGTAGGTACCTCAAAGTTACCAGGGCTGGATATAGGGGGTGGCCACATCGGCCGCGGCCCATTCAATTTATGAAGCGGCAAATATTGCAATTCTTTTAAATGTAGATATATATAAAAAATTGGATTAAAAAAATAAATTAAAAATTAGAAAAGGCGGCAGAATCTCTCATTTCCCTAGAGTAGAAGTCTAGTGATTCCTAATTTTGTCGTCTTTCGGCGATACAGAAGACAGGACCTTTCATTAGTCGAGTTGAGAGATAAACCATACACGCAATCTGGCTTGGAGCGGCGCTTTGAAGAGAGCAATGATGACGAGGACTTGATGAAATAAAAAAGAGAAACCCTCGGCGGGGCGCGGCGGTTGGCATGAAACACATACTAGCGCCTGCAAGACTGCATGGATACTTCACGCATTGCGTCAAACACACTGCGGTCAGCTGTCCGCGGCGTGGAACGCATAGCGCCTACAAGACTGCATGAATGCTTCACGCATTGCGTCAAACATAGTGCGGTCGGCGCGGCGACGGAAGTTAAAATTATTTTACCACATTAATGTATGTTCTTTCATAATTTTTTCGTCCATTTCTTACAAATAGAAGGCCTTGTTACACAGAGATAAGTTTACGGAACTTAACTTTCGCGCAACGTTCCGTGTACTTTTGCTAGTGTCGACAGGGCTTGCACAAGAAATATGCCCAACACGAGTAAGTACGCGTCTTATGCACCCCCTTCGGCGCGTTCACTTGATGGTATTTATCCAAGTTTCAAAACGAATGAGAAGGGGGCGAGAAAATACAGGCGGCCCATGGGTGGCAAGTAGATAAATCCGGCCCTGAAAGTTACGAAAAATAATTAGAAGTAATGTTTTGATAGGTAAGCTATCAAAATTTTCATCCCGCTTGAACCAAAGAAGCCATTAAAACAACTGTCGATTACCGATATGCTGCGCGCTGGCGCCGCTCTCAGATCGTCGCAAGAGAGAGCGTAACTACATTTCAATGTTGCCAAATTTCCCCTAATAGTACGGTTCTAGTCTAATATTTCCTTAGCACACAATATATGTCCCGATGTAATTATATGGTACGTGAATCAAGAGGACTCAAAATTAAAATTTTTGTGAGAAGATTAGCATATGAAATGAAAAAAAAAAAAATTGACACTTATTTAAGTGGACAGAACCGACCTTCAATTTTTGCATCTGAGTAAGTTTCTCCTCCTCTTGTTCCTCCTGACAGACTTGAATCATCTTCTGGATCTCTTCTTTACGTTTCATTACCTCTACGGCCTGACATTTTCGTTTGTCAAGAATTTGAGCAGCTCTGGCTTCTTTCAGCTTCTCTAGCGCAATCGCCTCTTTCACCACAGCCGCCCTCTCACGTTCTCTCCAGTTTCTCTCCACCTTAGAATGAAGATATTAAGTTTCATCATGCACTATCGTCGATTTTCAACGTTTTAGGACGATTTACAAAAAATCCAACAACAACTAAGGTATTTGAGAATAGTTTCTTCAGCTATTTTTCAGCAACTGACACTGATGTTTCACTTAAGTGGTCATGACATCACTTTAAGTACGGTTCAATAAATGAAGTAATAGGTAAGTGTCAGATGGGCTAATGGACCACTAGACAAGGTACAAATTTCAGCATTCTGATATACGTTTCATAACCAAAATTTCACGTAGAAAACGATGCGCACAACGAAAATTACCGAAATCAATTCCTTGCAACGATATTAAACGATTCTTGATGCGTGAATTCAAACCACCCGCTTATTAAAACTCAATGCTCTACGTGACTCACATCGCGCGCTAAACGTTATCATGACAGTCTCTGCGATATACAAATCTGGCAACCTCAATATTGACGCTTTGGCTCAGCCATAGCAAATTGCTTATAGTTTGAACAACACATGGTGGGACATCAATATTGCTCGACTTAGAAGCTTGCTGAAACCGTTGTAGTGCGCGATTTGACTCACGTAGAGCTTTGAGTTTCTTGTGAGCGGGCAGTTCAAATTCCTCGTAACCAATGTGAAATAAAAACGTTAATATCGTAGTTAGAAGTTTGGTTCAGTCATTTTCGTTGTGCGAATCGTGTTCTACGTAAAATTTTGGTTAGGAGACATGTATCAGATTGCTTAAATTCGTTCCTTGTCTAATGGTCCATTATTACATTCCAGCGTAGCAACGTTTCAACCGAATAATTCATTAATTCACCTAAAAATGGCTCCACTTTTTTGAAACTTATTTTTGAGAATTTTTCTCATGATGTGCCGAATATTTCTAAAATTTTTATGGATAACACACACTGATCGGTAATGACTTAAACACACAATTTGTGCGGTAAAATCTTGAGATTTTGCGTTGCAATTAAGCCTCTATGATTCTCGCCCGGGATCGCCGTTGTTCTGAGATTTGGAAAAAATCAGGTGCTAAGATTGACATACACACGAGAAAAAAAACCCGGAAAAATAGTGTAATTTAAAATGGAGAGAGGTTGTCCTGGGAAGAATTAAATATACATAATGCTACTACTACTACTAAGTCGCTCTTATAGCGCTTCTATGCGCTCTGCGACACCCAACCGCCACTGACAGCGATCTTGCCAGAGCTCCTCTGGCAGATCGCATCTCCTTTTTCCTGCCTTATTCCCTCAATCCATGATCTGACAGGGTGTCCTCTACGTTCTCTGCCAGGGGGGACTCAATCCAGAGCGTTCTTAGGCAACCAATCATCTGGCATCCTTTGCACATGCCTATAACAGACAAGCTGTTGTGTGAAAATGTCATGCACAACGTTGTTTCCAAAGCCCATAATTTCACGTATCCTTTCATTCTGAACGTGATTCTTTCTCGACACTCCGGCCGATCTACGTCAGTAGTCCATCTCGGTTACATTCATATACATAATGCTTATTTTTATAATAGTTTTTACCTCATCTTGTATCCGTATCGCTAAAATAATATCTCTTCGTGCTTGTTCGTCGATGGCTCGATCTTGTTCTGCCCGCATCCTTATTAGTTCTTTCTCTCTGAGGAGGCGCTGTTGTTTGATTTCCTCCTCTCGTCTAGCCTCTCGTTCTGCTTTCTGTCGCATAAACTCTTGAATCTGTTCATGGAAGCGAGGGTGGCATGAAACGAAAGAAGCATAGAGAGAAGAACGAATAACGAAAGAAGTTAAATTATATTATAGTATTAATTTGTCTTATTAAAGTTGGAATATAAAGTCTAAATCGTTAATTATAGTTAAGAGGCGAATAACTTAGACATTTTCGTCAAATATTTCACTCAATTTTAAGCGGCTCCTAAATTTAAAAAACAAAAACATCCCTTTTAGGGGCGTGATACACGACCCACAACCCACACTCAAAACACCAAGCAGAGAAAAAAATCCTCATTTTTCGGATTTAATTTTTAATTTTTATCCGTTTTCCTGCAAGTGGAACATTACAAGTCACCAAAAATAAACCGATGTCTCAAAATATTGTCTGTTACAAATATTTAATCATTTTTCCTGACAGAGCTAATCTTAAAATGGACGATTGGACCTATTTCTACCAAGGAACTTTATGCATTGTGACGTAAACCCTGTCATGTATATATTCTTATGGGTTTCAGGGCTCATATCATAATGCACATAGTTCTGTTTGGCAAAAATATCTCCATAATTCGCCCCATCCTCCACATTCCTGGCCTCTGTGCTAAAGCTCAAATGTAGAATGAACATTTTCCGAGCTACGCAATCTAATCAACTGGAACTCAAATATTAAAAGAAGGAAACAGCGAAAGATTAACCATTAATGACCAATTACCAACCATTCATAACCAATTACCAATCATTTAAAACCCATTACCAACCATTAATAACCAATTACCAATCATTTAAAACCCATTACCAACCATTAATAACCAATTACCAACCATTGATAACCATTAACCAATAATGATTCATACATACCTTCAGGTCAGCCAGTCGAATTTGTTCTTTTTGCCTTCTTGCAAGCTCTCTTTGCTGTTCGTTGGTCTCGGCCATTTCTTGACGTCGTTTCTTTTGTTTTTCTAGCATTTCTTCTTTCTCTCTAGCTGCCTCTGCCTCTAATGTTTTGGCCAGATGTTTACTTGCGACAATTTCCTGAATAAAATCAACAGGGACACTTAAGTTCGTCCTTAGGAAAAATTAAAATCCAAGAACTCGCTCATTTTGGACGTAAGACAAGGATCCCTCTGTACTGAAGTGCCTCTTTTGAGTTAAGATATGCATGATTCTCAAGACAATGCGTAAAAATCCGGAAATTTTTAGAACCCGGAGCATTAATTACAAGGATAACTTAAGTAGGTACCTAAAGATAATTTAATCATTAGTTTAAACTTCTTAATTAAAATTTAAACCAATAAATTCAATTGTTTTGAAAATTATTAGTTTAACTTAACTAAAAATTTTAATAAAATATAAATGGAATCAAATAAGATATTCAAAACAAAAATCTTTTAAATAATCGGGGCAAGATGCTCCCAATTAGTATTTCGTTTGACAGACGCGAAGGATAGGTAGTAATAAACGCGTTGATGCAACAATTCGAGCTTTACGGATGTGCTTATTGCATACACGAACACATGAAGGCACTCCGACCAGTCGTGTCCACGCAGGAATGAGCACGTCAAGCCCGTCCGAGTAGTTTGTCAGATCTGCCGTGTTACCAAAGAGAGGAATAAATGGAAAAAGGAAGGTGTTAATAGATGGAACTGGTAGCGATCCACCCAGAAAATTTTACTAGATGAGCTGTAAAATTATCAATAATCATCCAAAGGGCATCCGTAACCTCATTACGATATCTATATGTATATCAAATTTTAGGATAGTTTTTGATTAACAGTAGGAGATAGAAATAAAATGGTTTAAAATTAATTTTAGGGCGGCAGGAAGAGGAATGTATGTAGATTTTGAGATTAACCAAACACAAAACACAGGAGATGTAAATTACATTATCATACCTAATAAACGAAAGAAAGAAAGAAAAACCAAAGTTTGGTTTAGCAGTTGTAAATAAGTATTGTCTTATTCCTCATTTAAATTCGAAAATTTAGTAATTCCTGAGATAAAGTGTGTTTAAAAATCGGCACAAAAAAGTCAAATTCTTCACGTAAATTCCTCTACAAATATGAAAACAATTTCGCCATAATCTGATCTACTTAAACAGTTTCTTACCGCACATCATTTTTAAAATTACATGTTTTTACTTTTTACCTTTTCGAGTGCGGCAGCTTCCCGATCGAGAGCTCTCTGATTCTCTTGGATCTGCTGGATAATGTCTAAAATGAATTCGTGTTTCCTTTCGAGTTCATTTTCTTTTTTCTTTTCATACTCTTGCAAGACGCGTTGCCTCTCCTTCTCCATCATTTCTTCCATCTGGATTTCATAGTTTTCCAACTTTTTCCTATTAAATGATCATTGCTCAAGTTAATATACATTTTTAGGCTCAATTAATTCATCCTTAAACAGCAGACGTAATACATTGCAATGAGATAAAGAGAGCTATATCAAATCGTTCATAAATTCAATATTTCAGCGATATACTTGTGTGTTTCTTCAACCAAATACATATTCGGACTCCCCGGTATCTTTGTTGCCTATGTGTAGCAAAATGGACTGCATTTTGCAATTTGGAACCATAAATTCTGGCTCTTCTGGAAAAACACCTACGTGCTTAGGGAAACTAATGGGACATACGAAACCGGGGTAGAATTTATAGTTTCAAATTGCAAAATGTAGTACAAATCAAAGACGGACCTTCTGGAAAGTGGCTTCATATGAGGGAGGCAGCCGCTGCCCCCCTCCCGCACGGTAGCAAAAGCCTCGGTAAACGAGACATTGAACGAATTGCTGAAAATTCGATTCATTTTCTTTACTTAGGTATTTTAGGGGTCATGTCGGGTCTTTTCCTCCCCCCCCCAAATTTTTGATGAAATGACGTTACTGCTTAAATATAGACGATATCTATCAACAGGTGTACGTGACATAAAATGTGCTGCCTCTAGCTAAGTCTTTTCCTTACGTTATACGTATTTTATTTATACCTACTCTTTGTTCCATTGACTCTCTCCTCCTCTCTTCATCTTTTGCCCCTCCTCTTTTTGTAACGTCCTTGTGAAGGCGTCCCGTGCGGCACCCTTAATTCGACCCTAGTTTTAAATACGACCATGGTTTTAAAAATTGTGCATCATACGAGAAAATAAAATTGATTTTCAATTTTCCGGTGAAAAACTGTGGACGAACTCACTTAATAATTCGCTTTTCTGCAACCTGTGCATCTCGAATAGCATTGCACTTGGTCGCTAGGATTAGAGCATTGCATCGTTTTATTTCATCTTCTTGCTCGAAACGTATCTGCTCAGCCCGTTGTAAGAGATATTCAGCTCTTTCGCGCTCCTGCAACAATTTACGAGGGTAGCAAAAATATGATGGGAACCTTACGTAAAGACTATTAAATTAAAATGTAATTTTTCTTTGTATTCTAGGAGGAAAAATCTTTGGTGTTGCCGAGCACATTTTTCAGAATTTCACTTGCAACGTCTAATTATTAAGAATCGTCATATTAATCTATAAATCATTTACGCAAGTCTGTGCAAATTCTTGGATAAAAATTCTTAGAATGTAAAATCCCGCTTTTCCACTTTCCCAAAGGGAATCACGCCCACTTTTACATTGTTTCTTATCCACCTTTCTAGAGCACATCCCATATTTCCTGTTTGTCTTTAGTTCCGTTTAGTAGAAATAGTTCTATTTCGCGACCTCAGTAATTTTCTGCCAATGATTTTGAAGCTAAAAAAAAAAAATATTTATTATTTTCATTATGATATGAGTTTATTATTACCTCGGCAGTAAGTTCTTCATGTTCCTGGTATTTTTTTTCGAAATCTTCCCTTAATTTCCTTGAGTGTGCTTCGATTTCTTCAGCCTCTTTTTCTTTCGCTCTTCGCATTTCCTCGATTTTCTTAATTTTGTCCTCGAACGTAACGACCTATAATTTAAGAGCCAAAAAAAATCTCGTATAAGTTCTGAGTGAATATTTTATAAGAAAATCTAAAGAGCCTTTAGTTCGTCTTTTTGCAAAAATTCTCGTAAGTTGCCGCATTTTTGCTGGACACTTTTTTTTACCAATTTGCCGGCGGCGACTCTTAAAAGTTGGAAACACTGAATTTCTTCCATTTAAATGTATTTGAAACATAATCGATTGAAGCAGCTTGCTTCGCGTAAAGTCGACATTTTTAATGTATTGGGTAATGTAATGTATGTAGGTATTATCCATGTAATGGGGAAAAACAATGTCGCCAACTTTCAAAATCGCCATGAACAATCTGCCGTGTGAAGAATAATTTATAGAATAATCAAACATTGTTTTTACTTTTTTCGCCTCATGCGTAAAAGTACATATCTGCATGAGGAAACTAATAGGGCGTAATTTGCTTCTAAAATTAGCCGAAAAAAGTTGGTTTCTCTTTGCAAAATACGATTCAAATCGGGATGTAGAGGAAAGGTTCCAGGACATTTTGTTAAAGATTTTTTGTCCGCGCACCTTTTTTGTCCAGTAGTTTACGCCCACACGTAAAATAAGCAACGGCGACTTGGTCCAAGCGTCATATTTTAGTCGGTATGTAAAATTGTATTGACAACATTAAATTGAGAGAGGAGGAGGTGTTGTTATGATTGCTCATTTTCTAAATGAAATGTTACTTTCTCATTTTGAATCATCTTTTTAAATTGTCATTGGTGAATACATATATATGGTTTTATTTCTATCCTTAAAATATTCGATGTACAATATACCTCACATATGCATAGGTACTTTTTTTTATTTTTTTTTTATTTTTTTTTTTACGAAATTATTACTTCGTTTTGAAAACATTTATATTTTTGAAACGTGACAAATATTTGTAAAACCTTTTCCAAGCGATTGCACCTATATTAATCTCAATGAGCCGCAGTTGTGCCGAAAGAAACTGCAAAAATGAATAAAAGAGGGGAAAAAACCAAGAAGCACGCAATCTTGACTTTTAACCTATTTGTACATCGATCTTTTAGAGTCAAATACGTCAAATTTTGAGCGTTTGGTTGCGCGTACACCTCGCTGCAGCACAGTAAAAGCACAAAATGTAAAATAAAAAATTAAAGTGCCTTGGAAATCATTAAATTTGACACCGAACTACCAATATTTAAAAAAACACATTATATTATTACTCTCCTTTGATAAATTGATACATATTTTTTTTTCTTCAATTGAAATGAGAATAATCAATACATAGTGTGCAAAAATTTCGAAATCATCAGTTAAAGAACGGTGACTATGCGAGTATTAATATTAGAACCTAACAGAGCGGAGCGGCGTGCTTCCAGCGTGAGAGGCTCACTGGTGCCTACAAACCTAAGTGGATACTTCACGCATTACACAATGCATGAGGTATCCACTTAGGTTTGTAGGCACCAATGCGCGATTCACGCTGACCGCCTGCCCGCCGTGCGGCGGCGCGGCGCCTGGAGCAACTATTTCACAACAGAGGTGTTGCACAGTATTACACGAAATTGAACGTATTAAGAATGACAGGCATCTTTTAAAAGTATAGATCTTTCCTCGCAAAATAAATCAAGATACTTATCGTACACAGGAAAAATCTAAGGGCCTTTAGCCAAGGCAAATCAAGAGGTTGTATTTACATGTGGACCAATTAACTTAGGGTCTCAACTGGTACGTGGACCAAAATTCCCGTGTCAAAAAAACGCGTGGACGTAAACTACTGGAAAAAAACGGTGCGGTGGCGTTTGCGGACGTGGCGTTTGCGGATTCTAAGAATCGGGTGGCGTTTGCGGATTCTCATATTTTGACGGTGGCGATTGCGGACAGGCGGAACAGGGCCGGTGGACTTTGCGGACCAGAGAATTTCGGCGGTGGCGATTGCGGACGGAGGGGTAGGCACCTACATATGCTGCCCCCCACCCCTGCGCTGTATATTAAAGAGAAAAATTACCGGAGAGGCTCTTGATTCCTTTTCGTGGATGTAGAAAACATTAGTATTATATTAGTATGTATATTAAAGAGAAAAATTACCGGAGAGGCTCTGGATTCCTTTCCGTGGATGTAGAAAACATTAGTATTATATTAGTATGTATATTAAAGAGAAAAATTACCGGAGAGGCTCTGGATTCCTTTTCGTGGATGTAGAAAACATTAGTATTATATTAGTATAAAAACATATGAGAATTGAACGCACAGTAAATTTTTAAAAAAAGGCATATCAGAAATCGCAAGAAACTGAAAAATCGTCAGTTTCAGTCCATTTTAAGGATGAAAAACATGTTGTAAATTCTAATCCAAAATTACTGAAAGCTAAAAGATTACATACGAAAAATGGAAACATACATTTTAATTTTTTGAATTTCAGTAATTTTGGACTAGAATTTACAATATGTTTTTCATCCTAAAAATGGACTGAAACTGACGATTTTTCAGTTCCTTGCGATTTCTGATATGCCTTTTTTTAAAAATTTACTGTACGTTCAATTCTCATATGTTTTTATACTAATATAATACTAATGTTTTCTACATCCACGAAAAGGAATCCAGAGCCTCTCCAGTAATTTCTCTCTTTAATATACAGCGCAGGGGTGGGGGGCAGCATATGTAGGTGCCTACCCCTCCGTCCGCAATCGCCACCGCCGAAATTCTCTGGTCCGCAAAGGCCACCGGCCCTGTTCCGCCTGTCCGCAATCGCCACCGTCAAAATATGAGAATCCGCAAACGCCACCCGATTCTTAGAATCCGCAAACGCCACGTCCGCAAACGCCACCGCACCGAAAAAAACAGGCGCGCGGACAAAAAATCGTTGACGAAATGTCCTATAATCTCAGAAAATATATAAGATTTATTTTTTAAAACCATTTTTAATGAAAACATTCGGGAATTGATACTGTCTCGGATATTAAGATTGATTTTAAAATTATAATTTATACGTAAGAAATTTCTCAAAGATACCGAATTGCAACCTCAATTGGACCGCGTTAAACAGAGATGAACCAAGCCACATCAGCTATTGCCAAGTTTAATTGGGCAATTTAATTTTTTACATGAAAACGGTTGTGCGGATTTTCGTAAAATTCTCCATGGTGCGAACCAAATTTCTTAAAGTTTTCAAAGAAATCCGAACAAACGTTCTCTCGTAACAAATTTAATTGCCCAGTTAAACTTGGCAATAGCTACTGTGGCTTGGATCCTTTCTGTTAAACTCGGTCCAATTGATTGCATGTTGGTGCAACTCCAAATAATGCGAGAGGTGTGAAAATGAGGCATACCTTTGAATTCTGCTCTATTTGTTGCATTGTTTTTGGATCTAAAACAATTGGTTTGGGTTTCCTTTTTAAACAAGGAATTCTTAGGTCCCGAATTCCATTATGCTCCACCAGTCTGATGACTTCATTCTTACCCGGTCCGCGTCGTCTGGTTCTACCCCGCTTTTTCAAGCGATTTCCTTCTTTCTGAGTGTCCATCCTAGTCCCTACAAGTAGAATTACAATGTGAAATTCGAGGAAAGAAGTTACCTAATTTTGCATTAAAGTTTGTTCGATTTTTTTTTTTGATTTTTTGATTTTCATTTTTTTTTTTTTTATTTTTATGGAAAGTCATGCGATGAGCTTGGGATATGCTTGAATCTTCAGACACACGTAACGAGACGTGACTTTCAGTTACATTTTAAAGAATGATTTTGACCATGCTATCAGAAAAAAGTATCTCAATTTGCGATGTAAATTTTTCTTTCGCAGTAATATCATTTCTATGACAAACAGCTTAAGAAGGTTACCATTATCATTAATCTATACATGGTGTGATCTTTCTTTGGTCCAATCGAGAGTTTTGATAAGTTTCATACGAGATCGTGACAGTGGCGAATCGTAAATGATCGATTATCGATATTTCCCCATTTGAAGCTATGGTAAAGAATCGATCATTGAGGTGTTCGTTGCTAACACCCTGTTTATCGATCCTTTTCCATAGGTTTAAATGGATGATAATCGATACATCGCAAAGCACGTCACACCTTTGGATCGTGATTGTTCTTCTTTAAAGTGGAATAATGTGGGCAACAAATTTTTACGTGGAAATGAAGTGACCAGGTACTTAGCTCCACACTTTTTCAAATTAGCGCAGATCCATTTCAATCAGGAGCCTTGTGAAAGATTAAGTATATAAAAAGGAACAAAAAAATACTGCAAGAAAAAAAAAAACACGTAATAAAATATGTTATTTTGGGCCTCCTCAGTAGTCTCTGAAAACCTTTTATTAGTTTCCCAATAAATATAGGACTGAAAAGGCCTGTTGAGCCCTTAAAGAAGCTTCTTGGGGAGATCAAGATATTACTCGAGAGACATTACAAATGAACTCTGAATGGTTCCAAAAAGTGAGAAACTATTTTTTGAATGATAAATAAACTAGAGCACAGCTCTTGAACAATCAGGTAGTCAATTCATTTAATATTCTGAAAATATAAGGTCCTCCAAGTTGTTGATCTTACATGACTTGAACCTATAGCACCCACATAGACTCGCATACGCCAGACGAATAGATTGTTTCATTTGGTCTTGATTTCAAGCTAAATACAGCTTTTAAAGTTTATTGATATTAAGCTTTATCTTAGGAAGAAGAATTCGTTGGAAAATGCACGCACTGACCTGCTGTTTCCTGCTCTTCGAAAATAGAGTCTAGCTACTCTCCATAAATAATCCTTTGTAATCCTGACCAGGGGTATATTAGATGGACCAAGAAGCTACTTCAATTTTAATCATCCTCTTTGAGCACTTTAATACAACTTCAAAATAACTTTCCGTATGAATTGTAAAACAATCAATTTAAAAATTTAATACCCTACTTAATACATTCTATTTTCAGCAACAGTTATCGGAGGGTGCGGAAACTGTTTGGTGAGACTGGCATGGCAACGCAATGGACAAAGACTTTAACCCTCCCCGTCCCCCCTCTCACGGTTCATTAGATCATCATCAATAACATCTTCCACATAGGAATTTGACTAAGTATTTGATTTTACGTTCAGTCATATACACGGGGTCCAATGTGTATTTTAAAAATAAAACAAACGTGGAGTTAACTACACAACTAAATTTATTTAAAAAAAGACAAATGAAAGATTTAAAAATTAATTTTCCAGGGATGGTAAGAGTGTAATTCCATTACTTTGGGTTGAGGCTTGCCGGAAGTTATAGTCACGCAAGCCGCAGGAACATACGTCTAATATTTCAAAAATTACTGCATCAAAATCGAGAATACTTTGCGGTCAAGTCTCTAAAAACGAGAGGTAATATAAATGTAGAAAAAAATCAATAGCTGATAACAATTATTACAATGATTTTTAATTCTTTTCTCCTCCAAAGTAGAGGATTTTGTAAGTATTGTGCTCATTATTATTCATTTTATAAGTGGATATGGTAAAACGCAATTTAACATTCAAATGATAGTGAAGTAATTACGTTTTGAACACCGGAAAATATGTACAACTTTTCTGATAAAAAGCAAAAACAATGATTTGAATATTATTCCTAAGTCCTGACGCACGAAAATTTTTCCAAGACATTATTAGAGAAAAATCTAAAGAAACACTTCTGGTGCTTTGCGTTTTTTACAATCTCTACCCAGTCAAGACAAACATTAAGACAATATTGAGTCAACATTCACGTAACATTCTTTGATTTATTGGTTTACATTTGATATTGTATCGATGTTGTATTGGATCAATATTGAACCAGTGATATCATAACAAAAATTCATTACGGTAGTATTCATCCAACATTCCTCCAATCTTTTCGTATTACTTTTTAAAAGTTGATTGGCATCAACGTAAAAAGTTTCGCTGCAATATTAATTCCATAATTTTTCAACATTTTGCAAAAGTTTTTCTTCTTCACCGTGATTATGTTTTTTCAAGAGTAACAATACATTTGATATGTTTTCATCTAAACATTAAATTCCATAATACTTCTCAAAGAGTCATAAGGTATCTTAAAAGAATTCGTTGTCTCCCTCACGAAAAAACGTCACTCCAAATAAAAGTTGCCAAATTACCTCTCACAGATTACATTTTTACCCGAAGAATCTTGGGCGTTCTTGACTGAAAATTTCGATGATGATTTCGATTTTGATTTTTCTTCCGATCTCATGCAAAAATCAGTCAAGTTTGGACAAAAATTACACAAGTGCATTTTTGTAAAATAATCACGATATTTCACTCAGGCCACTCAGGCCAGAATAATTTTTAACAGTGTAGTCCGGGGAACGACGAATGATCGCACCTAAAATGTTTGAAAAAATGTCAACAGTCTTGCCTAGCTAGGACTTAACAGGGGCTTTTTCCGATTATCTGGTCTACGTAGTTGCACGCTAAATGCATGTTATAGCGTTGAGTCATGGGGATCCGGAAAACTTTGCCGGAAGGCATACAAACACACAGTTTATAATGTGTGCTGACAGTCTTGTTGAATTTATTCTGAGCGATATGCAAGGATTTCAGGTCGAGGATGATCCCGTTTTTCCCGGACAGAATCAAACTCCCGTTGACGCTCTTGACGAATATATCGCCGTCGGCCGTCCACATGACGCTTTTCCCGCGCATGCGCGTGCCCTCGTTCCCTTTTAGACGCGTCACCGACTCGGATCTGTGAAAAATAAGTCAAGTAAATGTTAGAATAGGACAGAATAAACAAAGATAAGAAGGATATAAAGAAAAAAGGAGGCGGTCGCATTTTGAAGATCTGTGACGCCGATATTCACCAAAATCCGAAATTCAAAGTATGAAAAACCGAACATTATGCCCGTTTTTATCTTTTCTTTTTTTTGTTTAGTTCTAATTTCAAACACTTTTATACAGAATAGTTTTCCCTCCACGAAACGCATCATTTTCAAGAAAATCGCGATGACAAAAAGCGTCTGTCTACCTGGTGCGTACTTCATGTTTAAGTGGAAACTACTGAGCGAACTGAACATATCCTTGGCTCATAAATTGAACAATTATTGGAGGAGATAAGACAAAATGATCGAATTTGCTATAAAACACGTGTTCAAATAGAAAATGACGCCAGATAACGTCATTGGGCGGTACATTTTTTCACCTTTAAATCTAATTTTATACCATTTTCCATATCGGGAAAACATTATAAAAATACTAAAAAAGCACTCTCAGGCGAAGCAATGAAACATTTACAGTTTTAGTAAAAAATTTCATGGCCGACCTCTCTAATTGACTCGATCCATATTGTGCGGCGCCAGCATCCGGTACTTTCGGCCCCAGAGCCTGGAACGGATGGTTTGTCTATATAGCCCGTAACTTTTTTTTCACACGGAAAAAAAGTGTTAGGGGTTATTCCCTAAAATCGTGGTACTATACCACAATTTGTTGGATGATACGGACATTTCTAACTAATTGTGGTAGAACCGCAACTCAAGTTAGGGTAGTATCGCAACATTTGGGTTGTTAACCTAATTTATTCGGGTACGACCACGATTAATTCGTGTTTTACCACAATTAATTCGTGTACTACCACAATTAATTGGAAATGTCCATATCACACAATAAACTCTTGCTTTTTTTTATCCTTGCAGTGTAAATATACGACTCTGACCTGAGATAGAGGGTGGTGTTGATCGGGCTGGCAATCCTGCGCGTGTGGACGATGTTGACGTCGATCTTGGACATTCCGGGGGGCAGGAAGAACTTGGGGAAACTCGTGGAGAAGACCGGGCGCCCGGTGGCGGGATCGACGACCTCGAAATTCGTCACGTTTTTCAGGTGCGTACCGTTCTTTTCGACCCTCAAATTTTGGACGGGGGTGCGATTGTGGTGGTGGTCGATGAGCTCGAAGCCCACCGAGCCGGCGGTGCCCCCGATGACGACCGGGAGGTCCTTGAAGCCGCTGAGCTTCCCGTCGGGTTTGTAGAGCTCGCCGAGGTCAGCGTCTCCGTAGAACTTGAGGAGGTTCTCCAGGGTGTTGCTCTCGATGCTCTCCATCCCGTAACCGATGCGCAGGACTTTGATGATGAGCAGGGTTAAGGTTAGGTTCCCGAGGACCAGGAAGAATATCAGCAATGAGAAGATACAGAAGGCGTGCGTTTCGCCCGGGTCGCTCTTCCTGTCCCGTGACGAGTCTTCCATTTTCTCCATCGTCTCAAAATGCCGCCTGGAAAGAGAGATAAATATTAAAACAAGCTGCTGGTTCCAACACTACTGTGTTGGAGAGCTCGCCTTTGGGAAACTATTAACAACTATTAATGATTTTTTCTGAAATTGTATATGTATTAAATGAATCTTTACCCAATTATCAGAGGTTACATGCCGATGCAAAATGTTATGACGTAATTTCATATGACAAATTTTTCACATTACAATAAATAAAGAAAAATAAAGAGAGAGAAATGGAATTATCTTTTATGAATGTGATTTTGCGGCAAATGTTGCAATGGCTATTTTTGCAAGCTTTTTCTTAACTTGTCAACAATGTAATGAAATCATATGATTTAATTTTAATTTTTTTTTTTAAATCAAGTCGCCAACTTGAATTAAGGTTATACTTTGTTAAGCTGGAAGTCTGGAATTCTGAATTTTTATCGGCACGGAGTTCAAAGAAACTATAATTTAGCACGGTTTGGAGGAACGTTTCTGCCATAATTCTTACACAATACTTATGGTATGCACTAAGAGCTGAAAAGGAATTCACTTGAATTTTAGCGTGGAGCTCGAGAGACCACTTCAAGCCTTTGTATGCGAGTGGCTCAGCACATCACGCCTTTGTAGGTATGGGGTGGCTCAATGGAGCACCTCGCGCACTGTAAATAGCACGGAGCTCGAAAGAGCACTTCATGCATCTGTATTTTAAGGTTAAAACGAACTCTAAAGAAACTCAATGCGAGGCTCAAACGAATTCTCAAGCATTCTAAATGCGAGGCTCAAACGAATTCCCAAGCATTCTTGATGCGAGGGGCTCAAACGAATCCTAAAGCATTCTTAATATGAGGTTTAAACAAACTCTGAAAGGATCCCAATGCGAGTCTCAACCGAGCTCTCAAGCATGCAATTATTTTGAGGTTAATTAACCTTCTATGGTACCAATAACGGCAATCTTAAGGATTATCCATTAATTATGCGCAAATCTCAATCTTAGTCTTAGTAACTTAAAATTAATTGAACAAATTATTAAATCACGTCGAGGTCACCATGTTTTTTATTTTAAGAAATAATAACAATTGCAAGTACAACTGCACACAAAAACTGCATTGAAAAGATAAGAGGATGATAACATACAATTAGGTTATTTGATATAAAACCATAGCAACATGCTATGATATGCTCGGCCACTGGAAAGTGCTGCTCTCTAGTGTAGCAAACGAGGAACAATTAATCCTCAGTTGAATGAGAGAACGGAAATGTTCGACGGAGGAAAACTGTAACCCGCGAAAATTCAACTTTTAGACCTTGAAATCAATGGGATTTTGGCCGTTCCTCCGACGGCAACGAGAACCATCCATTCGTCGCCACGGACACTACCAATGCTAAAAGAAATCGATCGCAAAGAGCTCTCCCGAGTGGGCGAGCTCAAAATGTGTAATGTGACCAACCATGGGGACAGGGACGTGCGGCTTGATAATGGAAATCGATAGACAAAGCGATTGGCGAAGAGGACTAATAGAAAATGGAGCGATATACTACTGGTCGAAACGGGTGGATGTTATAGACTAAGAGTGAAAATGATGGACTATTTATATTGTCTCTTGCTGGTTCCTATTAGTCTATTTCAACCAATTGGTTCGCTTTATTTTCTCTTTGCGTCTTTGTCTATTGCCTTGTCTATCAATTTCAATAATCAGCCCGCAGGTTGGTTGGCATACTTACGTCCTGCATCAAATCAACGGCACGGCGCGGCGTCTGTTGTTTTTTCTCTTAGAACTACACGGCTACTGGAATTAGTATAGCCTTTGTCTCCTCTTGAAAAATAAATAAGAAAAATTTGCTTTGAAAACGTGTTGCAGGATCCCTCAATTTTCTCTTTACGTTTTGTCTATTGCTTTGTCTATAAATTTCAATAATCATTTTGCTGAGGCCCCAAAAACTCGAAATTGAGTTACTGTGGTCAGGCTTTGGACGAGTGTCCTCTAAATAACCAGGGTGAAAAAGACCCAAAAATGTCGAATTAAACTGGAGCTTCTACTTCGGAATTTGCAGCTCAAGAAATATACGATAGTCTTGAAAAGAAGCAACATAAAATTGTAAGCTGCCATGTTTAAAGCAGAGATTGGCAGGTTGTGTTGCAATTTTACGCCTCTTTTTCGCATACACAGGAAAACGACAAAAACTACTGTTAGCAACTATACGCGCAACTATTTGTGGTCCGAAGTCGCTCAAATTGCCGTTACAGTTATTGAAGGCGAACTCCAGAGGATGAGAGACACGCAGTGAGGAGAGTTATCAACGGGTGTTCTTCACCTTCTTCTTTTTCTTTTACTCATTATTACTATTTAGGAGTCATGAAAAAATAACCTACATGAAATGTTTACTAATAAGCGCGTAAGTTGTTCCCCGTGCGAGTTCATAGCTGGTGATATAAAAATAAAAAAAAAGCTCATGTGGAGAAAAAGTGCCCAGTTTGCAGGAAAAAGAATGCTAAGGATCTATACTTCTGTATTATTGAGGAAGATTTACAGTTGAAAGGTTGATGCATTCTTGAATTTTAAGACAGTATTTAAAAAATTCTTAAAGCTGTGCCGCGTTAAAATTCAAGATCACTGGATGTATAAGGCATTCGGTTGGCAAAATTCATCAGATTTATGATTTTTTTGCATGATTTCAACAGGGGGCTCTCAATTTCTTTGTATTTTGAACTAAAATTAATAAAATTATGATTCTGCTTGAAAATACAGTAAAATTAATATAGATTACAGTACAACTTTACGCACTTCCCTGACATACAAGAATGGATTAAACCGTTTGCATTTTTTTTTTTTTTTTTTTTTTTTTTTTTTTTTTTTTTTTTTTTTTTTTTTTTGGAGAATGTAAACTTTCCGGCGAAAAGTAAACTGTAAATTTGTTTACTTACCTAACTTACGTAATCAAATTACTTAATGAACGAAAAAAGCGTTTCTGAAAATTTAGCCTCTGAAATGCAATTCGACCTTTTCCTCGATCCAATCGAAAGTGAAGTGAAAATCTCAGAAGTCAGGACTTATCATTAAATTGAACTGTTTACGAAATCATGCAGAAAAATCTGCGGATACATTGCTAGAATTATACTTAGCATGATAGCTAGTTTGGACGACCGCGACGTCGTATTGTCCGACCGGTGTTTGGGCGCAGAACTTATTGTTAGCCGCTAAAATTAAACGTGCAAGATGCGCAATGGCTCGACGCGCAGCCTCCATTCAGGGCTGCCGCTGCCTCTCGAAATGCACTACATTTCAGCTAACGTAAAAGAGCGCTTCCCGCTATCGATTTCTGCACCGTGATGAAATCTCCGTTCTCATGCAGTGGGCCTTTCCCTTCCATTCTTCTCCACTAAATTTTGGATTCACATATGATGCGATTTGTTTTATTCTCGTCGGCTGGGCGTAATTATAAGAGCACTATGTACGTTATAACTTCGGAAAAAAGTTCCTTGAGATGAAGAAAAGGGGTGAAACAAGAAACAACGAAAATCTGGAATTTTTAATTTGTGTAATCGCGATTTCGAGTAAACATTTAACACTTCCTCATGAGACAAAATTGAGGTAGTTTCATTTTTTCTTTTTAAAAATTCATTGCTTACCTAGAAATGGGATCTAAAATATTCCCTCGTCAAAATCAGGGTGGCGGTTTGAGTTTCCGCGTCCAATCCATCAAGAAAACGCTCGAAGTCCGGGTATGAAACTACGAGAACGGCATTTAATCATTGAACACGCATGAAGTATCCCTGAGAAGAAATTAATGAACGCAGATCGGTAAGTTCAAAGATGAGAGGGTAACCCAATAATTTTAAGGAGGAACCGCGATTATACGCGCACTGGGTATCGCAAGTTCACGTAAACAAACGGTGTTGCCGGCAGTTTCCGTGTTTCAAGATTCTTTCAACGAATCCGAATATTTGTAAGAATCTTTCGTTTACTCCGCACATAAATTCAGTCGAACCCTTCAAATAATTTTTTTCCCACACCGAATTTAATCGTTCTCTCGCGTAAATCATTCGGTGGGTCGTCTCTAGATTTCGTCACGCTGAGAGCGGACGTCTTTGATGCCCACGCACTTCTCTTGGTGCCATATTCTCATCGCGCAGGTTCAAACGCTCCCCTGAGTCTGAAACAGTTCAAATTTTAGCCGGAAGATCGGGCTCTCGGTTTACCCGCGTGTTTTACAGTGTTTTGATTGAGTTCGTAACACAAAACGCGTGCCGTGTTTATCCGAACATTTTTCTCATTAACTCTCTTTGGGTGGTTGGTTGTCACTGTAGTATGTGCTTGAAGTAGCACTTAGGTTGAGATTTTGCTAAAAATGACATTTTTTAGTTTCATCCCAAAGGTCACAGAGCAGAATTTGTTGAGGGAGAAGATAAAGTTATCTTCTTTTTTTCTTTGTGAGGGCTTTACCGAAAAATTCGTGAAATTCAAAGCTACCACGACCGGATTATCCGTCGTAATTTGGGCATATATAACGTCAAGTTCGAAATTAAGTAGGTTTGGAAAAAGAGCAATCTCAACTTTCACTTGAGATAGAGAAATGCATTATCCCTCTTTTTCTCTCCAAATGATCAGAATCGCACCCTCCAGGACTGTTTATTTTTTCCAGCAAATTTTTAAATTTTAATAACTCATCAAAGGAAACGAAGAAACTTAAAATGAAAAAAATTGTCTATTTATTTTTTTAAAGTTAACAGAAACTCTTTTTACTAAAATTTGAAATGTATTCGTCAACGATTTTAACCATACAAATCTGCTCAGCTATAATCAAACACATTTTTCTTTTTACCTTTCCGTCGGTAATGAGAAAATGCGTCACTTCGCACGCGCCAGAGTGCAACTTGAGCGGTGATCGTGATTTTTTGCCATAAAGTCGAAGCAATTCTATTGCAGGCGCTATAAGCAACTATTTCACCACGGAAGTATTGCACAGTATCAGACGAAAATGAAGGCGCACTAACGTTTGCTAATTGAATGGTATTGTGTACCACAGCTTAGAGTCCCACTGATCCTAAGACATGCGGCTCTTATTTGATCGGTTTATGTGAAACTTGGTGCCAGCCTGGCACTGACAAGTGGAATTTTTTGACGGAAAACTTGAATTTCAACTCAAATTTTTGAATTTTGAAAATCCGAGAAGGCGGACGTAATGTAGTCTATAATGATACCTCGGCTCTCGTTCGATCGATTTTTGTGAAATTTGGTGTCAATCAGTATTATTTGACGTAAAAGTCAAATTTTAAAAATTCAAAAATCCAAGATGGCACAAGCAGTGGCCTTTGATGCTTCCCAAATTATCAAACTTGACTAAGATACTTATTCTTTTTCAGTTCAGTTCCAAAATGGATGTATACACGGAAAAAATGACTGTGCGCGGATAACCATCTTGGTTTTGTTAATTAATAGTTGGTGCCGTATACATGAAAAAATTGATAGAATACCAACGGCATTGTATTGTCCACAACGTCTTTAGGGAAATCAATCATTTTCAATTAGTTGCTACTGGCTATTACAAATCTGTTCACCGAGACAAAATTGATGGTAAACTGCTCCATCAAGTTGACTCATTGCACCAAAGAGTGCGCTTGCGCTTCACCTATCTTGTTTTTGGTTGATGCTACAAGGTTAAGTGGGCTCATTGAACTACAGAATGCGTTAGTGCAAATTATAAACTTGTTGATTTTGAAGATCACCATCGACTCAATTAAAGTATTTTGTTAGTAGTCTGCCCCGTCAATTTTTTACGCTTTACCAACAGTGAGTCACCAAAGAAAGCAATCAGATATGGGCTGATTAGGGAAAGTATGTTGATAAATTTTCAAGAATTCATATTCAGCCCACCTTGTGTGACTGATAAGCGTGTAATAATATGTTCGTGAAACGTACTCCTTTTCCCGTCCCTATGGCTCGGGCGACGATAAAGTCGCCGCAAAACTATATGACTTCGCGCAATTAATTATTCTTGACTCTGCTCGGTTTTAATGATAATTAAAGGGCATTTATTACAACAATTCAGAAACTTGGACGATGTTAAATTTTTCACTGATTTAAAAAAACGGATTAAAACGAACTAAAATATTTATCAAAACCAAAAATTATTTCATTCTAAAAGTAAAGTATACTTCGTATCGTAATTTTTGAGGGGAAAAATAAAACTAACACTGATAGGAGGTAAAAATAGGGCCGCGAAGCGGCCCATTGATGGCGCGGAGCTCGAGCGCCTTCATGCAGGGGGTTGGACTGCGTAGCGGTCAGGGGGCAATAGGGGCATAGCCCCCTAGAATTTGACTATTTGCCTAGGCATTTGACAAAATGCCTAATTTTACTATTTGCCTGCGACATATCGATTGCAGTGTTTGAAAATTTCTTTCCTCCCCCCTCCCCTTGGCACCAAGTTTTACGAAAATCCGACGAGCAGGAACCGAGGTAGCGTTTTAGGCCACGCCCGCCACCTTGGTTTTTCGAATTTTCGAAATTAGACTAAAAATTCAAATTTAATCGATGGAATTGGAGCCGATGTATCAATTTAGGCTACGTCCGCCGTCTTAAATCAAATTCAGAAAATTCAACTTAAAACGCATCATACCCAAAATCTAAGCTCATATTCGGCTTCCTCGTGAAAAATCGATGCTATTTCATGTAACATATGTTACCATAGCATAAAGAAAAGAGGGTAATCGTAGGCGTAAAGATTCTATCAAAGCCGGCCGGTATGCGGAAGTAGGCACAGAATTCAAACGTTTGAGTTACGCCGCCAGACGCCGGCGTCAAGCATTTGGTTCGTCCGTTTCCGAGAAAACAAACTTCTTCTTACTCATCAGCTGATGCTGACCCACTCCGAATCGCCCATGTTGCCACGTCGGACTGATACATATGTTAGAATCTGCACGCCTACGTTAATCTCTTTCCTTCATGATATGGTGACATACGATACATGAAATTGCATCGATTTTTCACGAGGAAGCCGAATCTGAGCTTAGATTTTGGATATTATGGGTTTTAAGTCAAATTTTCTTTTATCTATTTTAAATCACTTAGGAAAATTTGCGGAAACTCATTAAAATAACAGTGTGTATTCTTTGAAAAACATTGATCAAAAATAAAACATTGACGGTATTTGAACCATTAATCTCCGAGATAACTTGAACACGGTTGTTCTACGACTTTTTACGTATGTTGTTTTCTTCCGCATTGGTTGTCGGCAGCGTAGCGGCCAAAGGCCCGGGGGGGGCGGGGGGTAGGGGGCGCTAATAATAGTTTTCAAAATCAATTTTTTTCTACATTCAAAATTCCAAGGAAATGGCAGAAATTTATCAATTCTTACTAATGTTTTAACAATGTTCCTTGTCAATTGTATGCTGTCGTTAAGCTAAACATCCCAGGTTTACCAGTGCTGTCGTTAAGCTGAACATCCCAGGTTTACCAGTAGGCTAGGCATGCACTATATCTAACACCATGTCAAGGCTTCAGTACTTTAGAGGGGTAATTTTTTTATTTTCTATTCTACATAATCTCACTTGTTCAACTAAGTAGCCTGGGCTTATTTGTCCAATGCTAGAAGTACTTTAGCCAATCGTCAAAATAATCCTAATTTGAAAATTTCGAATCGATTCTCGACATGAAAAGAAAAAAAGAAAAAATAAATAAATAAAATGCAGTTATAAATAACAACGACTATAAATAACAACTGGGAATCCAAGATGGTAAATGTCACCTACTATCTGGCTATAAGCACCAAAAATTTTTTTCCGTGTACTCCAGCGAATTTAAACCTCAATATCGGTGCGCTCTTCAACTTATCTAAGTTGAAACTATTTATTGATTTATTCATGTATTTATTAAGATTCGAATTTTCAATTCTTTAGCGCTGAAGTCTTTTTGAAAAAAACCGATTCAATTGGAGCTTTAGTGAACAGCAAATAGTGCAACGGCAAGTATCGTTTACAGTGCCTTCAACATCGTGGATTTACTTCAAATGTTACACCATTACGCATAAGTTCCAGGTGTCAATTACCATACGTCTTTTGCCAAATATGCACCGTGTTTTTGAAGGTGTAAACAGTAAACCCACGTTTACTACCTCGCAAAGTCACGTGCGTTCCTTTAAACTGTCTATGTATCAGGTAGTCAATACCTCATTACTAAAAATCTTTGTTTGACAATTTTAATACTTAAATACTTAGCAATACAATTGTTCATGACAGCTGTTTCAATCCTCATTACTAAAAATCTTTGTTTGACAATTTTAGTACTTAAATACTTAGCAATACAATTGTTCATGACAACTATTTCGATCCTGAGAGAGTTCTGTCCTGCCAGTTTTTGTATTTATTATTTTATTGAATTCATCAAATTCTTTGAGTCCATGAAATGCGGTTCTTTAACTAGACGTGGACAAATACAGAGATTGACGTAGAGATGACGTTAGACTGTTTGGAGCCCATTTCATTGACATTTTGTCGCGTCGTGATTATTAGCAGAATGACGAATCATCTGTACTGATTTGTTGCAGTCACCTCATCTCATTAGCTGTGCTGACAGTGATGCGGCCTGGCTTTGGTATTTAGAAAAGCCGCACGCGGCTGTTCAGAATTGCCGGTTTTGCAATACTTACCGGTCCTATGATGTTTTAGTAATGCTAAAGCAATTTGTTAGCATTCTCATAGCCTCTCCTGTTGAGCCTCTTGGGTCTCTCAGAGCCTGTGCGTTTTAAAAAACGTGGCAATAATTTCCTCAATTCTCATGTTGATAAAAACATGTGCATTTCATCTTATTATTTTCGTATTATTTATTTTTCATTTTTTATATAAACACAATAGAGCTATCAAGCAAGTATCCTGAAAAAGCTAAAAAAAGGTACACAACGACCCATGCACGTAGACGAAAATAAAAGTAAAAAAATTAGAGAGAAAAATAAATTTAAAAAAGGACTCTGAAAATTAATTTGAATTTTTCCGAAATTGAATTTTTGTTGTTTAATGTTTCCAAGGATGACAATGTTTGTTATAAATAACTTGATGTCTTTCTAAATTTTACACGACAAAATTACTCTGTAGGTTCTCTCTTATCTCTCGTGTATAGAGGATCTAACATTCACTTTTAAATTCCAAGAATGTAAAACTTTTAATTATACCATTTGAGGATAACTTTTGTGAGGAATTTTTCGCTCAAAAACGTTATGCAGAAAAGGTCGTTAAAGTAAATTTCTGACGGCTGGTGTTAAAATTCTACGAAAATTATCAACACTGAAAAAAATAATATGCTGTTTTAGCATCTAGGATGTCAAAAATGTGTCTGGTGATCCCAAGATGCTGCCTTTGCTGCCTCCGCAGTTAACTTTACATCCTATGAATGCAAATTCAACTGCGTGGGCAATCAAGGCAGCATCTTAGGATCACCAGACACATTTTTGACATCCTAGGTGCTAAAACAGCAAACCATTTTTTTCGGTGAAGTTTTTACGTCCTTTATAGCTTGCACAAAAAAACTCGATTGCAAATAAATGATTTTTGAGCGGTAATCAATGTTTCTTTCATTATATTTACCAATTAGGTGCAAGCAAAAACCTTATAGGAGGACCTTCTTTAAAACACGAATGAGTGCATGATCGGTGTGCGATACTACATTAAATTCGTAGATATTTTGATAATAAGTACATGTGCCCCTCATTAGGACTACAGTAAAGCATTCCTAAGGAACTGCCTGCGTTAAACTCATTACAGTTCATCGTACCTAACTCTAATTCTAATTTCTTGTTAATGTTGTTTTTCATTTCTCCTTAGAATAATGTGGGCCCAACTATTACACCACCACACTACGCTACGCTACTTTATACATTTGCTCACTACTTAATACTACTCCCCAGTATTCGAGTCATATAATAAGTCCCATGTTCTTTTCTCAGCCTTCTTGCATTAAAGTGATTCGATGGACGCCATATTTTGTGTCAGAACGGCATACGATATATCGCATCAATTGGTTCCATTTTTTCAGCTACTCGTCATTTTTCTCCAATTTTGAGATCGCAATTCTGTTGTCAGAAGACTAAAGCACTCACTTACCAATTTTAACAAAGAAATTCAACGTAATAAAGGCGTGGTTTTTTTAGAGAGAAAACAATGCATTCGAAACTGATAACGAAACTGCACTCGAATGCGATATTTTCTCTCTAAACAAACCGCGTCTTTATTACGTTGAATTTATTTGTTAAAATTGGTTAGTGAGTGCTTTAGTCTCTGGGCAACAAAATTGCGATCTCAAAATTGGAGAAAAATGACGAGTAGCTGAAAAAATGGAACCAATTGATGCGATATATCGCATGCCGTTCTGACACAAAATATGTCGTCCATCGAATCACCTTAAGCAGTGACCAGTGGCGTGGCTGCATTTAAACCTATGGAAAAGGATCGATAAACAGAGTGTTTGCAACAAACACCTTAATAATCGATTCTTTGCCACAGCTTCAAACAGGGAAAGTCGATAGTTGATCATTCACGCCTCATCACTGGTAGTGACGTGAAGTTGAACCTCACGTTGAAAATTTCGTGTGAATTAAGGAGGACGGTCTTTTTCAAAACAAATTTAAAGGGGGAAAAACAGAGAGAAAACGCACGATTTGAATGGATTTCTACTGTTATAATTATAGGAACAAAGAATCAGGCAGTGAGTCACAAAAAGTAACAATTTAAACCAAATTATGAAAACGAAAAAGTGTGAGGACATAAAGAAGATAAGAGAAATAAATAAGTGAGCTAAACAGTGAAAGGTGAGATGTTGGGTATTCAGGATTCTTAGCTAGATCATCCACATGAAAGTTTTTTATCCAAAAAACTAAGGGAAAAAATTCTGTGTTGATCGCTAAGATCATTGCTGTATCTGATAAACGGCAAGAAACGATGAGTGAGTAGAAGATACGGTAGCAAATGACGATGAAATGTGATTCCCCGCAAGAAAGCAGCCACTCGCAACGCATATGAGACTAGAAGTGTAATGCTGTTGAGCATGAAGAACGGCAATTAAAAATACGTACCGCACTTTTTTCAAATCAAAATGCTTCAGATTAAACGATTTAAACGATGCGAGTTCACTCTTTCTCGCAAGTTGTGTGGATGCACACTGAAGAAAAAAAAATGCCCAGCAGTAGATACCAGTTCCCGATGATATAAACCACTGTATCACACGGTCCGGCCAACCGAATATTTCAAGAGTGCATTTGACCCGACGGATTATTCGTATTTACATAATGGGAAACTCGTTTCAGTAGCTGAATTTCGGTCACCAAAAACGCTGATGTTCGGTCCCCTCAAGTGCACCGAATTTCACGGTTATGCGAAGCAAAAAATACAGTGATCTAAACTTCCTTGCTACGAGAAAACGCCATATGAACATTCAAGAGTTGCCAAATATCCTCCAGTAACTGATTAATATTTCAGGAGAGTTACGAACATTTTCTCTTGAAATTTTAAGTTAGATGTAATGAATAATGAATTCTCAGGAAAATTGGAGGACAAAAATCTACAAATTTCCCTTTCAATTGGCATTTTATGGAAGGATATTTGGCAATGCCTGAAGGCTCATTCGCGTTCTTCCTTAGCACGGCAGTATACCACTCAAAAAACGATACCCAAAACTAGACTTTTTTTCTCAGTGTGGGGTGATTGCGAAGGGGTGCTTATAGTACGTAATGGGCTCCGAATCCGTCGAAGGTGACGTGTGAGACGGAGGCTGCGGGGGAGTAGGCGACGCCGAGAAGGCTGTGGCTGGCGACGGGGGTGGCTACGGCGGCGGCCGGGGCGTGGTAGGTGGCTACGGCGGCGGCCGGAGCGTGGTAGGTGGCTACGGCAGCAGGCGCATGGTAGGCGACGGCGGCGGGCGCGTGGTAGGCGGTGACGGCCGGGTAGGCGAGGGCGTCGTTGCTGATGCGGATATCGGACTTGCGGACGCTGCTGGTTGGGGTGTCGATGGCCTTGGTGTAGGTGGAGATCTGGCCGAGGTTCCCGGGGGTGCGGAGGATGTTGGAGGACTGCGAGGCGATGGCCGGCTGCGAGTAGTAGAGCTGCGGGGCTGGGGCTGAGGAGACGGCGACTACGGCCAAAGCCAGGACGATAGCTACTTGTGCGAACTGTGGACAGATCCAAATAGGAACTTAAGAATTGATGTACGACGAAGTAGGAGAAAGAACCATAATGTGAATGCAAACTGATTGCACTTCTTTTATTAAGTAGGAGAAAGAACCATAATGTGAATGCAAACTGATTGCACTTCTTTTATTAACTTTAGCGGTCATATTTGGACTACATTTTGGAATTAAGAACTATAAAGTTCGGCCCTGTTTAAAAACAACATGCGTGCCATTAGTTTCCTTATGCACATAAGTGTTTTTTTTTTTTTCAGATGAGTTAGAATTTATAGCTCCAAATTGCAAAATGCAGTCCATTTATCAAAATGAAGCGTATTATAATTCTAGTTTTTTAGAATTTTTAAACGCCTGACGATGAGCGGTTGATCGAAACGGCCGTAGTCGAAAATTATAAGCATCAAAATTTGGAAAAATCGGTAAAAAAAAAAAAAAAAAAAAAAAAAAAAAAAAAAAAAGGTTTCATAACATCTCAAACTGATTGCATTAGACGCACGAGTCATTTAGACAGATATTTGGTAACGTAGCTAACGTTCGTTAAAAATCAGCATAAAGCTGAAAATCTGAATACAGAGGGAAAATTTATTGGAGGAAAAATTGTGCTCTTATGAGCTTTTTCCTTCTGTATTGAGATTTTCAGCTTTATTCTGATTTTTAATGCACGTTGGCTACTTTACCAACAATCTGTATAATTTAAACGGTTCACCATTGCTGTAGCTATCACTGAGGAAGAAAAAAAACCTCGGTTACAAGAAATGAATTAAGGGACTCGAATAGTCCGAGTTGAAGGCGCATAAGTGCAGTGTTTGCTATTTCGTGAAATACGTGTTTGAAGTTTCGAAATTACATGGACCCTTACGGCGAAGAGAAAGTTTATAGGTACTGACTTTATGATGCTAAAAATTTGGAATCTGGGAGCGATTTTTTTTACAGCAAATGCATGAAGACTGGTGTTACTCAAAATCATTATTATTTCATTTTTTTTTTTTCAAAAACTGATTTTATACGCCTTATCCTCCAAGCTCCTTACTGAATTTCAGATCATGCGGCCCACTAAAGTTTCTAGTCTAGGTAACTGAATTTGTCAGTCATGAAAACCGAAATTCAGTTTAGAGAACCGAATTTTCTTGTAAAAAATATGAGTTTTAGTATGACCGATAAAAACTTCGGTTTTCGGAACTGAAGTCCAATTCCCACGACTGATAGAAAACTTCAGTTACCTGAACTGAAAAGTTTCATCGTGACCATTATTAACTGAAGTTTTTTTGTCCGTGTGCACAGTCGTGTTCTGATGATTTTCGATACGTATAATCGGCAAAAAAGAACCCGTTGGATTGTTCAATAGCGCACTAAATTAAAGAGGAATCAAGAGTTTTAGTTTGAATCACATGCTGCGTGGGACCCCCTTCTTTTAGGCGAGTAGTCCCTAATTGGCTGGCAATTCGCGTTAATTTTTACGTAAAATCCTTAGTCCTTCCTTATGGGGAAAACATGGGTTTTTGTTTTTGCGATGAAAAAACCAGAAAACTAAAAGATCTCCTTTACTTAAGAAATCAATTTTTGGGAATTTTTAAAAGAGGATAATAGATTATTGCCCTCACTTCGTTGACAGTGACATTCAAAAGTAAAAATTTAGAAACAGACCCCTGTGTGGGTTTGTGACGATTTGCCACTACATATAATAGAAAATACAGAAGAAATATTTTGTGGGTTTTGCCATTTCAAAGTGCGCCCATGAACTTACTTTAAAAAAGCATTAATGAATTTACTCGGAACTTTGTATTATTGCAGGAGCAAATCATTGCAATCCCTCACACGGATATTTTCTTTTAAGGTTTTACGATTAAATTTTACCCGATGTTCCTATAAGCCAATCTTTTTATGATGCTATGTTGAAAATCACATAATATACCCATTGATCGTACGAGACCTCCCTAAGAGAATCAACTGATCAGGGAGCGACACAGAAAGTATTCCTAAGTAATAAGAGGGAGTATGAAAATGATGGACTAGGCTTTTGGAACGCCAGGTTGAAATTAATGAAAACAAATCACATGTTATGGATAGTAAATCACACCGCTGTTGAATATCACTGAACCGTCATTCCGAAAATTTATCACGTGCAAACACTGGGAAAAAAAAGAAAAAAAAAAACATATTCCACAAGTATCGACCGAGAACAGTTTGAATAGTAGACAGGAAAAAACTTACTTTATCCATGGTGGTTTCGAGTTAACGCGGGTTTGTGCCCGGTGATAGTCCGACGAAGTATATATATGATCGCCCCGTTCCACGGCCAGAGAAGCGGGGGGGGGGGGGNGGGGGGGGGGGGGGACTAGTGATGATCCCACCACTCAATATTCGGATCTCAAAGTAATTCATAAGTAATAAAGTGCAGATGAAATATCAACTATTCAATCAACACCACGGTCGCACAGTGGCAAAAGTGTCCCTATCTTGTCCAATGCGCACGTTCAAGGGGTGCAAACTTCAGCTACAGCAAACACACGAGTTTCCTCTCGATAGACACGGTTTCGAAATAAAAATGAGCATATTTCCAAAGTCTAAAATTCACTCATTTTCTCAAAATCTATGCATTAGACGGTACATTTTTCAGCTAACCTTTTCAAAAATTATAATATGGCGATGAAATGATTTGATACAGATGAGTCACCCTAATCTCACAATCGAATTTCGCAATCGGCTGATATACTAAGAAAGGGAAGAGAAAATGTAGCGATTCTATTGGTTGAAGCGGGTGGTTGCGGTGGACAAGGGAGGAAAGGGAAATACTATAGTCCACGAGAAACCCTATAGTTAGTCCATCATTTTCTCCCATAGTCTGTATAGTAGCCACTCGTTTCAACTATTGGGAAATTTTAGAGAAAAATCCTTTTAGGCAATTTTTTTTTGAAATACTATAAAAATTCAATGGTTGAGCGAAAAGGCAAGGACAAGAGCCCGGAAACGGGCATCGCCAGTAATAACCACCTAAGGCTTCATTAGATTCAATAGCCATTTCAAATCTTGCAGATCTTTTGTAAATATCACTTACAATTGAAAAAAAAAAAAAAAACACATTGGATTTAGAGTCCAGACTCTTGAAAACATTGACAAGAAAAAGGACTCTTGATTCAATCAGATCTAAGCTTACATCAAAAGGAAATCCGCTCAAATTAAGAGGCTTGGTTCTTGATTTAAGCTTAAATCTGATTGAATCAAGAGTACTTTTTCTTGTCGATGTTTTAAAGAGTTTGGACTCTGGATCCAATGTGTGTGT